TATAATAACTAATTCAAAATAAAATAAATGGAAGTAAATTAGTTAATCAACTAACAAATAGAGATAATGCAGTACGTAGTAACTCAAATTTATTAGAATATCTATGAATCAAAATTATCAATCTACGTCAATAGACTAGGTATAAAAAAATTATTTTAAGGTAAATTTCTCTCAAACAACAAAAAGTTTTTTACGTTACATTAAGGTGAACAATCTTACTAAATTAAGACACTGAACTAAATTAACTAAATATTGACTAACATAAGTGACTGGAATTTAATAAGAGAACAAATTGCATTTCATTCGAAGCGTCTGCGATTGTGGAGATGTTTCTGAGCGAATATAAAGTAAGGGGTAATACCANTTTTCCCGGATTTTACGTTTTTTTTACCCAGTCCCCTGAGAAACGTAAAATCGGGGTTTCACTGTAACACGTAGAGCATTTCATACGATGCGTATTTACGTTGAGCGTAGTTGCATTGAATTTTTAACGTAATTACGTTCTCGTATTTTAAACTGACGTTAAGAAAACGACTAAATATTACTTCCTTTACAAATTAATATTTTAATAGAACTTCTCTGTTGATATAAGTAACCATAGTTTCTATGTAAATTTGTCTAATAATTAAATTTTGGAATTATAGCTTATCGAACCATAATAAACTAAATTCAACCTTTTTAGGAGACAAAGAAGCTTTGCTTTAATTAGTGATTTAGCCAATTGTAAATGCTTATGTCATTATCAAATCTGATTCTAGTCTATAATATCTTTTTAGTCAAAATCGTTTATACGTTGATCAAATCAAACACCACGGCTTTAAAATATTCAATATCAACGTTGTTAATGTTATTGTTTAAACATTACCTGAGCTTTATTGGCATAATTAGCCTTAGAAAACTTTCAAACATTTTTAGAGACAGATTAGGACATCAATTATGAAATTTAAAATTTTTGGATGTTCTTCAATATTTAAAAATATAATGAAATTTAATTTATGACACAAAGTATCAAATAGAACAATACAAAGGGTATCTTTATTTATAATAAGCCTCATTATGAACGAATCAGCAATATTAATATATATACAGTTAATCCTAAAGAAATTCTTATCATCAATAAATATTTAAATGATGACTTATATGGACCATACTAAAACTAAATTTAACTTCCAAAGAAATTAATGATGCTTTGTTTGAATTATCCAATGCAATTAACTTATAATAATCAAAACTGACGCCTTATATAGTGATATTGCTAAGCATCGTTACATGCTTGTTGTTAAAAATATCCCTCGCCAACTTTGATTTAAGGTTAAATTTCCCATTTTCGTTCCTCTATGTTTTCTCTCTTTGTCTTTCTTTTCTCACCTTTTTTTTTCCCTTCTTAACAAATTCATAATCATAATAATAAAATAATATAAAGAATGAGGAATTTTATTACACTGAGAGGAAAAGCGCTCTTGATAACTTTTGAAACCCGAATGGATTTTTTTTTATTAAAACTTTTAAGCACTAAAATTAGGCAATGTTTAATTCCAGATATGCAATTTATTACATTTGTCTTCTTTCAGATATTTTAAACTTTATTTTTATTATTGTATAAATTTTTTTTAATTTTTTTTATGGTGATGAAAAATAAACTTTAAAGTAGAATACTGAACAACACCTTTCTGACATATTCGTTGTGGAATTCACTGGAACAATCTAATTTTCGAATTAAATTCAAGTAAAGATGAAACTTTGCATTAACAAAATCGCGTTATTTTCTTCTAAATTTTTTAAAAAATTTTAAAATTTAATTTAACAAAAGAATTGGAAATAAAATAATAATTTCTTACGCAAGCGTTTGCAATACCACTCCAAACCCCCTTGTCAGCAAAAATAATTAGCACACAACCTCATCACCGTTAGTTGCTTACATAATATTTGAACGGCATCAAATGGATAACAGAGAATAAAAGAAAGATATTTAATGCATAATTTTCGCATTATAATAAAAAAATAAAATATTGAAAATAATGGTAATATTTTTTTTTATATATGGCAAGCGTGGTGGATTGTCACATTATCTGCTGATTATTTCATTTTATTTCAAAATACATAAATAAATAAATAATAAAATAAATAAATAAATAAAAAGATAAATAAATAATAAAATAAATAAATAAATAATAAAATAAATAAATAAATAATGAAAATAATGATAATTATAATAAATTGTTAGCTTTATTAAAGTAAATGAAACTAATGAATAAAATTATAAAGTCGAATTTCTATTTTACATCTTTCAAAAGATACTGTCGCTAGTAGAGTAACTATGTACTATCGGAATTTTATTTGTGAAAAATAAATCATCTTTCATTCGAGTGTTATTTACTTATTTGTTATTTTGTTCCCGCATTGTGGATGATTCAACAGCTGAATCATACAATCAGAAGAGAGAGGAAATTTTTTCACATTTATCCCATTTTTAGATGGAAAATGGAGATCTGACTATAGCTGCAAACATTGCGAAATTGTAGTGAATATTTTAGATTATTGAAATATTTTAGAATCGATTAAAAACTTGAAATGCGATGTTTAAAATATTACACAAGTATGTTTCTTGCAATTTTATTCCACTTGACACTCACCCCCCTCTTCACTCAGAAAAAATAGAAAATCACTACCCCTTCCCAATTTTATTTGAGAAAATCGCATCCCCAGTTCCCAGCTTTAAATTTGATTTTCAAATTTCAAGATCAAATGAAAAAATAAAGATTATTTTTCTATCCTTTTTGATGAACGATAAGAAATCATCTCTTCACATATTGAAATCTGACAAATCAAATTGACTCAAAATAAACCAGGCAGGTGTAACCTGCGTGCAGTGTTTCGACAATGTAGTTGAAGAAACTATGAAGTATAAGAACTAGAAGTTTGAACTAGAATTTTTTCTGTATTACTCTGATACAGTTAATTCTATTCACTAAAATGCATTCGGAAAAAGTCAATACCTATTAAAAATTTTCAAAAAAAAATTGAGAAAAAATATTTAATTGTTATTATTTTTTTTAATTAAATTTTTTCACCTAAATTTTAAAATGCTACTCCCTTTTCAGTTTTGAATCTAAGGTAATCTAATAATCTGATTTGATATAATGATTAGATTTCATGTTTAGAAAAATTTCATTTGGGGATTAAAAGCTTTAACTATGGATTTATTTCTTTTTCTTTTCCTTTATTCCTTTCTTTTTTGTATTTCCTTTTTTGTAAAGAACTTTTGTCAAAGCTTTTTTAAATAAATTTAAAAAAACATAAATTTTTAAGTAGATTTTTTTTTTAAAAAATCTATTCTATGTTTTCAAGTGCAAATTTCACTATACGTATGTTTGTGTAAGCTAAATTTTTTTATTTTTAGTCTGAAAACGTTTTATCTGGGGTGATATATTTCAAAAACATTCATTGTAAAACTTTGGAACTTGATCTACTTTTTTTTTCTTTAAATTAAATTTAAACATACATTTCTTGCATTTAATTTTTGCATTTAATTCTTGCATTTAATTCTAATCACAATACTAGTCTCCCTTTGATTGCATTTGAGTCGCAGACAAATTTTGATTCATGAAGATTGTGCAGTAAATTGGATAAAAAAGAAAAGAATATATATATATATATTTTTTAAATACTAGTCCTATTTAATTAGGTCCTAGAATAGCCTAAATCTGTACGCTGAAGTGCGAACAAGTAATACATTATTTCCAAGTTTCAAAATTTTTCGTGGAGCATTAATGCTTAAGCTAGTTTCGAAGGAAGTCCGAATGTGATTTATCAATTTTTAAAAGTTCTGCAGCCAGCTGTTTCCGTATCAACATTACGTTATGCTTGCGTGTAATATTCGGGAAGTAGTAACCGGAATCTAATATATTGAGCTTCGTGAAAATTTTCCTTAAAATATAATCTATGCGATCCTATTTCCCGCTTATTTTCTTCGTATTTAATATTGCAAAATACTTTAGTGTTGGCATGTGTAAGTAAACTACGTTCTAACACCTGTTTTTTCCTCCGATTTTTGACGTAAACAGATAACTGTTAATTTTATGTTTTACTTTAATGGCTGGTATTTCGTAAACTTTGATTTTTAAATGCTGTGTAATATTTATTTAAATTTTATTGTTTCCTGTAATATTCTGGCTGTTTAATATGATTACAACTATGGGACAAACAAAAATAACCGGGCTTGTTATTTATTTACTGCTGAAATTTTCTTGAATTTAAAAACTGCTTGATTTATTGCTTTTTTATATCCGCAATTTCGTTATTTGTTTATCACTACGTAAGATAAAGTTCGTTTGTTCATCTTTTTTTTTTTTTCAATATCAAAAAAGAAAAAAAAAAACTTCAAGTTTAAATTATACTAACGTTCAAAGATAGCCTATTAGTGTAGTGGGAAGTTAACATAACTACTGAACCAAATTAATATTTAGTGAATGATATTATGCATAAACTAATTAAGCTTGTGTAAATATTTTAAAGATGAAACAAATAAATCTTTGGAATTATAACAGCATTTTAATTTATTAACATTAGTTTATAATTAGAGAGGATGTTAACCTTAATTGTTTTGTTGTCAACTTTCAACCAATATTTTCTGTTAATGAATTTCATCTTTCTAAACAAGAAAGAGAATTTAAGAATTATTTATAATTTATCAGTTTAAAGTTACATATTTCAGGTGGGATTGAAATCAATTATTTACAAAATAATTTGTAATTGAATTCAATATATTTTGCATTCCTAATTTTGTCGTAATTTTTTATATCTTTTATTTTACCATCATAATGTTCTTTTTATTTAGTTCTTAAAAACTAGAAAAGCAATTTCAATTTTAAAGAAATTATATTAATCCAGTTGTCTGAAAATTGTTTTTATTTTCAATTTCTAATTTTAATGTATATTTTTATTATGTATATCATAGTCTATTTTATCTATAAATTAATTATTTGTTGTTTTTTTAATAGATATATTTTCCTAAAGATGGCAAGGCTTGAAATTTTCTTTTTTGCTGTTATCTAGTTATGTTATAAACCTATAAGTGAGTATTATTTTTTCTTTCATTATTATTTATTTTAGAATTCATTAAGATCACTTACTTATTGCATGAAATTATTTTAATTATTTCTTTGCTTAATTATTAAAATTTATTCAATCTTGCAATCTTCTGGTATGTGATTAGTCTTAATTCTTTCACTTGCAATGTAGTCAGTCTGGCAACACTAATTCAACAAATGTTACAAACCTCTAAAATGCAAAACTAATTTATTATAAACGTTTTGCAACCACTGTTCTTTAAATAACAAAGAGCTTAAGTATGTCACATTACATAGAATATATTTTTGGATTTTGGATATGTATTTGCCTGGTTAAAACTACAATCAAAAGTTGCTGTTGCAGAAAGGGTTAAGAGCCAACTTGCAAACTAATTTTTAAACAAAACAGAGAAAATGAAATATGTTAAAAGATTGAAATTTTAGGGTGATAGAAAGCTGATATGTACAAAAGTACTTTTCTTGGCGAAAAGAACAGTTAACAGATTTAATATTTATGACTTACACATATGATATAAATTTTTTTTTATTTTTTATTTTCATTTATTTTTTTTATTTTACTTTCGTGGGAAAAAAATGAAAACTTATATGTATTAAAGTGCATTTAATATAATTTTTTTTTTATTCTTACTTTCTCTAAGGAAAAAAAAATTGAAGTTTTTTTCTTTTTTCTCCTTTTTTGCAAAAAGTAAAGCTAGTAGGTTTTGTATCTGTATGACACGTATAAACAATCTAGGTTTTTATTACTTAGTTTAAAAATAAAAAGCTCTAAGAGCTTTTATAATATATCGGATGTAAGTACATTATGAATATTTAATCCAAACATGACCAACTTGCAGCAGATGTGCTACTGTGTAAGATGCATGCTGCTTAGTAATTGCTGACATGTTGGGTGCTGTCTTTGTAATACTAATTTAGAATGAAATGTTTCAGGTTAATTTTTATTCTATACATAACCTTACTAACTGGAGCTTTAAAAATATTAATTGATAAAGCCTAAGTTTATACTTCTGTTCTATTTATAATTTTTTATATCGCCAGCACCTGTGAATAACATTTTTCAACTTTTTAATTTTTTAACATGTTAAAAGTGGCACACATAACGTTTAGTTTTCAGTTAGTCGTACTCTTCCCAATAATATTAGCTACTAGGACTGGGCGATATTAGAAATTATATATCGTGATATATCGTCAGTTTTGCATCGCGATATAGCGATGTATCGCGATATAGTATTTTTGAATTTCATTTACTTACTTTTCACAGAAAGTCAGATTTCTATCAAGACTTCATACGCATATTGATTTAAATCAATTTATAAATTTGAAAATATATATGTTTTGCTAAAGAAAGATATTAAATAAATTGACTAAGATGTACAAATCTTACTTAAAATATTTATTGAAAAAATGTGTGTAGATACAGAATGAAATATTTGCACTTCTTTATCGTTTATAAGGTATAAGCAGTCTTAATTTAAGTTAACCCCTAAAACACCCTTAATGAAAAAAAATATTGTTATTAAACAAAAGCTGATTTTAAAATTTCAAAATATATTTTAATTAAAATAAAAGTTAGATTGACTAAAAGCCGAAGTTTAAAATTAAAAATGTTCGAATTTTAAACTAAAAAGTAAACATAAGATTTGTAATAATTTCTTAAAATTTTCGTTCTCTGAAAGATTTCTCAGTTTAAAAATAAAAAGGGAATTTTATAAAGATATCTAGCTGAAATTATTGAAAGAAAATTTAAAAAATTAAAAAAAAAGTTTGTTAAGAAATTCATTATACACTTAAAACAAAGTGTTAAAAAATTTTTTTTTTTTTAAAAAAAGAAACTTTTTTTAACAAATCAATATTTGCTTGTACTATTATGCGTAAATAATTACAGAATTATTAAGTTCGATCGTAATGTTCAAATTCTTAATGAAGAAGTAAACACAAGTTTTGTTATATTTTCTAAAAATGATCACGCAAATAACAAAAGATTTCTTAGTTTAAAAATAAAAAAATAAATAAAAGTGAAATTTATCAATATATTTACCTAACAGCATAGGAACAAAATTTAAAAAATAAGTTCGTTAAAAAATTATTTGTATGCTTAAAACAAAGAGCTAAATAAATTTTAAAAAAAAAATGCTTCTTAAACACTATTTTTATTATTATTTCATATAAATAATTAAATTAAATTAAATAATGACCGAATTATGAACGAAAAACAAAGTAAGGCAAAGTTTCTTAATTAAATTCTTAAAAATAAAAACAAAAGAATTGTGATATTCGGTAATATATTTAGCTAATTAACTAATAATATAAAACGAAAATTAAAAAAAAATAATGATTTTACTCTCTAATAAAACGAAGTAGTAATTGATAAAAAAAAAAAAAAAAAGAAATGAATAAAATTCGCAAACTTTTCAAATTCTTTTGAACAAATAAAGTTTATTGACTTATGTCCAAAAAATAAGTTTTGTTTTAACTTTATTTCTAAAAATAAAAACAACTCAAGATTTATAAATTTAAAATCAGTAATAGAAGCCCATTAAATTATTAGAAGTTTTATCCGAAAGGTTTTTAATAAATTAAAAGAAAGTAAAAAAATAACCTAACAAATTTATTTACTTTGTAATTTAATTCCTTATGGGTGCCTTAAATTAGATTTCCGATAATTTTCACATTTAAAAATATAAAAAAAGTTTTGTCAGAAAATAAATAAAAAACTTACCTAATTAATGAAGAAACTTTTCTTTATAAATTCTTTTCAATAATAGATTGCGTTCAGAACAAGGTTACGACGGCGATCACGAAGTTAATCCCATTGAAAATAATCTACAAGAAACGATTTCAAATCGCGAAGGTGCGAAAACGAACATGTGATATAACGATATAAGGTCTCAAAAGTGATTCTGATTCTACCGCTCATCAGTCAAGGCCGTCTCAACATAACGAAACAATATCGTCTTCCACAGCGCGAGTTGGCATCGGAACGTAAGAGAAAGTCCTTGCGTGTATCGCTATATCGTTATATCGTCTTCTTCACTCGACGGCTTAAATCAGATTTCTGATGTATCGCTTGGAATGAAAGTTGCTGTATCGGTTTGCCGATATAGGCGTTAAATCGATATGTCGCGATATATCGATTTATAGCCCAGTCCTATTAGCTACCTATTCATAAGTTAAATCATAGCATTTATTTAGCTGCAAATTGAATTTTAGAAATTGCAATTTTTTACTTCTGTGAAAATTTAATTAGAAAGAAATGTTTCACATTATTAATTAAATGAGTTATGTAATGTAATAAAAAATATTAGTTGTAAAATGTAAAACTTGCCCAAACAAAATTTATTAATCTAAGTGTAAAAGATTTATTAGTTTGTTGTCACACAACTTATATTATTGTTCTGTATTTTTCATAGAAAACATTAAAAAAGTTGCGAGAAATTTTACATTTTTTTGGTCCCCTCCCTGTTTAATTATAAGTTACTTTCAATTTTAAACTTTTACTGTTATTAAAATATTATATTTTAAAAGCTAAATATTTAACTTCAGTTAAGTTTTCATAACATGGGCAAATTGATGAAACTTTTGAATCTTAATAGAATTTTTTTTAATTTAAAAAATCACATGTATTAAATCAGTACAGTTAACAAATTTTTTTACAATTTAAGTTTTTGAGAATTTATACTACATAAGGTTTTGAGAGTATAAGGCAAATCAATAAAATCTTAGAACCAAATTGATAATTTTTAAAAAATTTTGGTTGTAAAATTTTTGAAAAAAAAATTTTAAATTTTGTTTTTATACTTTTATTATTTAACTAGGCAGTTTTAACAAGAAAACTCTTCCATAAAAACCTGAAGTATATTTTTAGGTATAAAGGCAGTATAGATTATTCTGACCATCTGTACTACCTTTAACATATGTGATTTACCTAAGTAACGATAGTATTTAAGAAACTTAATTTTCTTTTAAATTACCAAATTAACATTAGTTATGAAGTTTCTACCTGAAAATCTAAAAATTGTTTGGGCAAAAGAATTCTGATGTCCCTCATAAAACCATTTTTATTTGTTTCTATATATGTTTTATAGATATGCACACTGAAAAAACTAAAGAAGTTGTTTCCGTTTTCATTCCTTGTAATTTTTTAAATTTATTTTTTAGTTTCAATGCTGATGATATGGAGTCCAGGAAAGAGAAAATCCTGTGCCACTACTGGGAAGGAGCTTTGGTTACATTTCATCACAAAAATTCTTACCTATATATCTGCAGATAATTTTTATAAACATGTTATTCTTTCTCAACACCTGATGGTGCAGTGCATTTTAACCACTGCTATCAACTGTCTGCATCTGAATAGAAATGTCAGATTGCACAAAGAAGTACTTTTGTCCTCGGCTTTTGGACTACATAGTGTTTGTCGGAGCAAGGCAGCCAAGTCGCAACCGCTCTGTTCAGCCACCAGAGCTCCTCAGGAGGTATCCGGCGGAAGATCACAAAGACTTCCCCTTGAGTCCTGATGTTGTATTTTTCTGTCAACCGGAGGGGTGTGTCTGTGCAGGGCCAAAACGTGTCAGTCTCAGGGAATCTAGTTCTTTCGTCTTTGCTCTGACTGAAAAGGATACTAGTCGTGTACGCTATGGAATTTGTGTCAACTTCTATAGGACTATTGAAAGGAGGCCTTCCACTAAAGAAAAGGGAAGGAATAGGGGTAAAAAAGCTCTGGGAAGAGTCAAAGAAGATGAAACTTCTCATGACGGCAGATATTTAGATCCATCATCTAGATATCATCAAGAAGACTCAGATGGTGATTCTAAATCATCTTCACCTATTGGTCATCAACATATTAAAAGTCATTCATTGACATCATTATGTATTATTAGTCATCATCCATTTTTTTCTACTTTTCGAGAATGCCTTTTCATTTTGCGCAAACTTATTGATGCCTCCAATGAAAGATGTCTTTCTAAGAGAGTTGCAGGCTCTAAACAAAATAGGTAACTAGCATTTCTAAGTTGGATCACAAGCTTTATTTCCAGGTCTGCAAACACTATTTCCTAAAATTTGTTATTTATTCAATATTGATTAAAAATCTCTTTTCTCTACTTATTATCAAAGGTATACTTTAATCCGATGTTTTCCTTTATTAGTTACTTTGATAAATATCAGATCAGACATTATACTATATCTTGTTAGAGCATGTGTTTTTAATTCCATAAGTTGCTGTTAAGATTCCCCCCCCCTTTTCTTCTACTTATTTATGTGCGACTTCATTTTTGGTTATGATTGTTTTTAAAACAAAACATCTAGATCAATTTAATTTTGCGTCTATTTTACATGTTGCTGTACCTAGGCTTAACACATGGAAGTGACATGCTAGTCAGCAACAAACAACAGTAATCAAATTAAATTCAATTATTTATTTTTAAAATGTTTATTATTTTCTTTTTATTTATTTAATATTTACCTGTATTATTTTGATTTTTCATGATTACTACGCATGATTACATAATTTAGTTTCACTATTTGGATATTAGAATAGTAAAATTATTATTTGTATTAGAATTGGAAACAGCCTCAAAGAAATTTTAAATAATAACAAGTTCTTCAAGCATAAAATATGTAATTTGGTTACAGGGGTTACGTGGCATGTGATATTTATTCGTATTAAATGTATTTTATTCAGAATGCAGTATAAATTTGACTAAAGACATCTAATAAGTAAAAATAAAATTTTGCTACTTGATCCCATAAATGAGATAAGTGCCATTTTTTATCTGGAAGAAGTTAGAAATAAGAATATTTGTTTAGCTTTGAAAAAATTTTCTAGCTTAACCAAAAATGTTAATTTCTGCCTATAGTTATTTTCTTTACTTTAAACATGCATTAACAAAATGCAATTATTGTGAACATAATGTTAAAAAAGTTCTTTTTAAAAAAAAAAAAAAAAAAAAAAATTTTAGAATGCCTCTAGCCCTGAAAGAAAATAAAAACCTATTAAAAATTTACTTGTAATCGTAATTGTGTGTTTTGTAATATGATAAATGTAAGTGTATGAAAATATCAAGATTTATTATTTATGTTTTAGGGATACAATTTGGTCCTACATTACTGGCAGAAAAACAGACAATTTGCCACCTGTTATTCTTCATGGGATGCGCGAGCTTGAAATGTGGATGCTGAGATTACTCAGTGCCCCGGTTCCAATACCTGGGAAAACAAGGGTGGAGGTATTTATTCTCATTTTAATACTTAACTTTGTTAACTGCTGAGTTTGTATATAATTGTGAGTTATTAGAAATTATTTTTTTAAATTTATTTAAGTAAACAAATATATATGTATAAAAGGCTACTAGCATTACAAGACAATCAATATTCACATACAAGTTTATAAATAAGATACATAGCAAGTCACAGTTACATGGTGTCTCCAAAATTCCTGCAAAAAGTAATTTTTTTAAGGCATAGATTTTGATTACTTTAACTTTTTTTATTGCTTTATAAAGTATACATTACACTGTAAGAGGAAAACTAGGAGAGTTTGTCAGTTGTTGAATTTTTAACAATGGCCACCTTTTTTAAATGTGGCTGCTGTTTTAAAAATTGAAAATTTTATTAAAGAAGCCGATGATTGAAAAAAATGGAATTAAGGAAGCTGATGATATCAATATTGTGAGGCATGTCTTTTGAAGCATTTCTGAAAATATGGTGAACATTGTATGGTTAATTTTAAAATGATGAAAAATTTTAAAAGAAAAGTGTGAAGTAAAGTAATTTTCAGAATTAAAATTTTAAAAAATAATCATAATATTTAAAAAATATTTATAATATTTTATATTCATATATTATGAATTTAAATATTAATAATATTTTATATTTATCTAAAAATAACGTTAAAATGTTTAACAGTGTATTTTTGATGAAATATTGTGATTGTCAGACCATTGTTTAATTGCCAACAAGCATGGCAGGAATGCCATGTAATTTTGACTCTAGTCAGGCGATATGAACAGGGCCCTGAGCTAGTACCCCAAGTCTTCCAAACTTCCACACCACAACCAATGAGAGCACTTTCAGCCAAGAAATCAAATTGCAATGCTCAGCAATGAAAATGATTTGTTCTTTTGTGTCATTTTTAACAACTCTGAACTACCAGCTGATATTTTATCTTTTTTTTGTGGCAATATTTACTGGCACCAAATCTTCCATGAATTTTGAGACACCTTTTTCAAGATCTACAGAATAGTCTCAACCTGCTAATATTGTCACCATTATCAATGAACATGAACTTGCTTCAACATCTATAGTAGTTTTAATAGGAAGGCAACTGCCAAGGAGAAATAACAGCATATTTCCTGATTAGCTACAAAAGAAGTTTTTTTATGCACTTAAAGATTTTGTTTTTTTATAAAGCATTTAATTGAGGCATTTTTAGCAATTGTGGCAGATAGAATAGGCAATAATCATGTTCAAATTAATATTCTAATTGTTCTTACACAAATTAAGGTCTAAAAAAATATAGATAAGAAAGAAGAGCTAACTGATTGAAATATTTTTCTGAATTTGTGAAACAAATTTTTTTCCCTCTATATTAGAAAAAAATAATACTATACTATTACCTAATTGTAAAAATTTTATTGTTTTATTCAAATTGTGTAATCTTATAAAAGATTCATGCGTTATACAGGGGTCACATTCCCCCTAAAATTCATAAAATTCCTAAAACTATGTGCAAACCCTAAAATTCCTAAAAATCTGATAAAATTTTGTTGGTGTTCCTAAAAAATTAGAGTTATAGGCTAAATATAAATAAAACAGCAATAATCTGAAATATAAGAATTTAACTACATTAATTAAAACTGTTTTAATTTTGCCAGTTGGGAATTCTGATCCTGAGAAAGGTTTTTCGATAAATAAAGCAATGCTTAATGTGAGTCACCATGAGAATACTATTATGTCTCTTAGTCTAATCAAAGATACCATTCGAAATTATGGAGGAGTGGTGAAGATCACCACAACACTATTGAAGGCAGTAAAAGAATCTTACAAATCATATCAAGAATATATTAGCAAAATGATCATAATTAATTTGTTTTTCTCTAACTTTTAATATAAATTGCTGATTTGAAATCTAATAAAATCACACAATAGTTTTTCTTAATAAGGTAATTTAAAGGGTAATAATAAAGTTTTGATTAAGAAGGTAAAAATTAAATAAAAATCCAAGTTGGTGTTAATTTATTTTTTCTCTTGATTTATTCTCACTTTTGCCTGTTCCTGAATTATGCACTTAATTTCTGATAGGTAATATGTAAAGTTGAAATTTCATTTTTACACTTTAGAGATTTCATTCTTGACTTAATAAATTTCAGAGCTTTATTTTATGGCTTGCAATTATTTATGATATGTGTGGATGAATTGTAATAATCTTCTGTTATGTAATAAACTACCGTGTGATCTGTTTTTATCCTAGCAAAATCATATATTACCCCTAAAATTTACCTAAAATTTTTTGAAAAAAGTTCCTAAAATTACCCTAAAATTGTAAAAAACTTTGCTGCTACCCCTGGTTATATGAACTATCTTTTACTTATTAATTGCATTTAAAAACGTTTCATTTCAGGTGGAAATTCTGCCCCGAGATATTCAGCCTCCTCTCACCTTTGCTCTCCCTGACCATACTAGGTTTTCATTAGTTGATTTTCCTCTTCATCTCCCTTTAGAATTATTAGGTGTTAACACTTGCATGAAAGTTCTTACGTGCATTATTTTAGAACATAAGGTGAGTGAATTAATTTAATTTGACCAAATCTATGCATTTTGTGTATTTGGAGTTGCTCATTTACATCCTTTATCACTTTTTGGAAATTCTGAAAATTATTTTTGTATGTGTGTTTTTAACATTATTTTTTTATTTATTTAATGCTAATCTAAATCAGGGGTTAATGTAAATAAAAGATCTACACTTAAAATCTACCATTGTGTATTATTGTATGAAAATGGATAATTACAGTCAATTTTTTAAAAATCTTAATGCATTCAGAATCCTTCAAAACCACCAGAATACATTTTATTACTTTTTTATGAGTGCTAATTATTAAGTTATTTTGAAGCCAGAAACGTTTACTTTCGTTTTCATCTGAAACGGGTAGTTACGTGATTATTCACGAATTGACGTCACTCATGTCCGTCTGCCATTCCTTTACAATCGCTGTGCTGTGAATTCCATTACGTTTTTGCTTTCATTTGAATTTTAGTAATTAAGTCCAACAATTTTAGATGGTAAATAACTATGTGGGAACAAAGATAAGTATAATAAATTGTGCCCTAATCTAGCTTAATAAAAATGTGGCTTAAAATAACTTTTGTAATATTTTCTAATAATAATAACATATAATAATTTATATGGTACTCATTGAAACATTGTTAATAGTGGATGGTTCTGAATATCAAAGATTTTTTAGTTCAGTAAAAAAGGGTTTAACTATGTTAATCTTAGTTTTAAGGCATAATTCTAATTATTTTCATGTTAGTGAAAAAAATTTTGAATAAATTTTTTATATTAAATAGTTCTAGATTTTAAAAATGTAAAAAAGCTTAAGTTATTTATTTTTTATTTATTTATTCTAGCTTGAATTAAATCCAGGGAATTATATTCAGCATAACAGTAGCCTTTTAAAAAAATTGCGATCCCAGCAAAACTTTTAATTCATTCTTTTAAAAAAAAGTCAAACTAAAAAGAAAGAAATTAATATATTCTAGTAGATTTTATTAACTTTATTTTAATTGCGTTAATATATGTTATGAGAGTATTGAAATCAAGGACATGCATTTATTTAGTTTTATGTTAGAGAAATAGGAATTAAATTTTATAAATACATAGAAAAATAATTTTTCACCATAGTGAAATTCCTATTTACTCAAAGAATAAAAATGGTAAGAAGTGATATTAACATTACTGTATATTTAATTATTTAATAAATAATAAAAAATATACATTAGAATATTTCTTTTCATTTTGCATAAGTTTTTTCTTTTCTAAATTCTTTAACTTTAGTGAAGCAAAAATGTCTAGCTTATTGATATTTGCTAAAATTATGGAACAAAATGAAATTGCATTAATTAAAATTTTAAATATAAGCACATAGACTGTGGTGATGATGATGGGCAGATATATTTCAATGAACTAGATTCTTGAAAGTGTGTATTCGTTTTCAGCGATACCAATAGCTTAATCTGAGATTTTTTCCTCTCCTATTTTAATTAAATTTTTTTCATTAAAAATGCATGATGCATTAATTTTACTGATTTAGAGCTCTTCTTAACAAGCACTAGCAAATAGTTTGCTGAAATAAGGAGAGAAATTAACAATAACCATATATGGTAAATACTATACTGCAGAAAGAAGAATTAAAATTTTAAAAGTAAAAACAATTTTTCTAATCATGGAAAAATTCCTATTTACTCAAAGAATAATGTCAATAGATATGAGCATTAATGTGTATTTAAATATTTAATACATAGTGAAAGAATAAGAAATAAATTGTAATAGTAAAAAAAACGAGAAATCATTAATCATATATAAAACATTTGGAAACTACAATTCTAAAGGAAAGTTGCGCAATGCAGCGGAAATTCCGTAAGAAAATTGAAACCAATAGAACATTTTAAGGAAGTAAACAATAAAAAAATGGAAAATATATTAATGACATCCGAAGCTGACGTCGTCGGAGGGTAACAGCCTCGAAAGTCATAAAAACGCAAAACCTCTTCTATCGAGAAAACACGAAAAATGTCTAAAATTTGCTCTCTCTCTGTACCTCAAAGGTTTTGCATGAAGTCCAGGAGGAGAGAAAATTACATAATACAAAATACAAAAACAAAATACAAAAGTACAAAAAAAAAAAAGTTGTTCGAAAACCTACTTCAAAATATTCCTTTGTTAAATCAAAGCAGACAACAATCTGAAAATCCATGACTAAACTGCTTTATAAACACATTAAATGGGGGCATAGTCTGTATGTGAATTTTAGTTTGGTTATGGATTTTCAGATTGTTGTGTCAGTACTCTCCCCAACCGTACCTAAATTTTTCTGGCTTGGAAACTACTTGCGACATTCATTATATTAGAGTGTACTCCAAACCACTGAGACTGGATTGGAGGAAATGTAATTCAATTAGAAATCCAAACTTTCCTACAAGGAATTAAACCTTGACTCATGGGATTTAAATTTCAAGATAAATATAAGTTATAAGCTAATAATTTAAACTTCCTCAATAACTTAACAATGAAATTTTTCTCATACGTAAATACTAATTTGACATATACTTCAAATGGCTTTTATGATTTTAGTGTCACATTTGTTTTAATTAATCTTGAATGAAACTATAAAGGTTTTTTTATGAATTTTACCATATAAAGTACTTTATCAGTATAGCATTTTATAATTGTTAGTTCCACTATTTATGTGCTCTTTTTGTGCAGATTTTAATGCAATCCCGAGATTATAATGCCCTCTCAATGAGTGTAATGGCCTTTGTTACAATGATTTATCCATTGGAATACATGTTTCCTGTGATACCATTGCTTCCAACTTGTATGAATGGTGCTGAACAGGTAATAACCAATATATTCATATTTATTTTTAAAGATAGCATAGATGATATTCATAATGAGCATAAATGAGGCAAAGTTGCAATTTAAATGTGTTCTGATATTTTTATTAACAAAGAAATCTTTCCTTACTAGTGATTTTTGATTTTGTGTGGGATTTTTTTTTGGCTTGTTTGAAAGAACAAATATTTCATAAACTTCACAGTTTCAATAATCATCAACTTACAGCTATATTTAAAATATCAAGATAAAATCAAATAAATATACTAGAACACATTATATTCAACTCTGTCATTTCAATGCTTGCTAACAACTTGTAGAATAAAATTAATAATAAGAACAATTGTATACTATGTTTAAAATAAGTTATGATAATAGTTAATTCTAAGAATAGTGTGTAAAGAATTAAAAAGAAGAAATGTGTGTCACTTATTAAGAATTCATCTGTTGCTATCTTTAGTAAACATATATAAAGGTTAGGATTATAGAGATTTTGTGATGATGAATAAAAAAAAATTTCTTTTAACCCTTAAAGGTCTGGAAATATTTCAAGTTTACTTCCCATTAGGTATAGTTTTAAAGTTAATAATAATTATGCAAATAATTATTAAATTAGTTGTATTAGTATTAGTATTAAATTAGTTAATTATTATATTAGTTGCTAAGTAAAATTATAAATTTGCTCATATGGCGGCATTGGTCTGTTAAGGGTAATAGCTATTTTGAAAACTGATAAAACATATCATAAAAGTGTCATAAATGTATTTTTGTAATACTGGTAAAATGCATAGGATTGCAAGAAAAATGTGTAGCATTATTTAAATAATAATTTCTTAAAAAAGTTGTTTTTCAGTATGAGGGCTGAAACATTTCACATAACCTTTCTATGTACTGAGCCCCTTTTCTTAATCTTCTGATATTAAGCATCTAAGCAAACAAAATACATTTTAACTTTCATTTAAAAATACTATTTTTTTTTATTATACTAACCAAACTATTGTGAAGTTCAGAAGCAATTTAAATTAGCTCTTAGCAAAAATATAAAGAAATAACTTAATCTATAGTAATTTTTCTTTAAAATGTTTAAATTTGTTTTTTTAAACTTGTAATAATTTTTTTTTCTGGATTGTTGTATAACTTTGTTTAATATCAGACTATTGCAAAATTTTCTTTGTCCTACATTCTTTAACAAATGAATAAATTAATATCCTTTTTGAAGACCTCTTTTTTTATTAAATTGAAGAATTAAGCTTAGTCTTCCTGATTTCTTGAAGTTTAGTTTTTTTTTCAATTAAAAGATATGCATGTACAGAAGGAAATTTTAATTAATTGAAATTTAATTAGCTTTATAATATTACTTTAAAAAATTCATTTTTTAGAATTAAACGTTAAATGTCTTCATGTAATTATTTAGTTTCAGTTCTTTTTTATTTTTACAGTGTATAATTAAAAATTATGCCAATAAAAGTTTAAATTATGGTAAACATTTATCATCTTTATTTTCCCTTAGCTTCTGTTAGCTCCTACACCATATATCATTGGGATTCCTGCTAGTTTCCTTATGTTTAAAAGACATTGTAGATTACCTGAAGATGTGTGGCTAGTAGATTTAGATTCTAATCGAGTAAGTTCTAATTATTAAATTATTCCTGAAATTTATATGAACTTTTTTACGTTAATATTTTTTGTTCTAACAAATCCTTTGTGTTTATTTTTAATATGTTATAGATAACTAAACCACCCGGAGTTGAAGATCTTCCACCTCTTCCTGAACCTGAAGGAACTATATTACAGAATCATTTGAAACAGGTAATATAATAAATCAGATTATTATTTAAAATGTGAAAAAATTGATTACCTTAGTTTTATCTTTATTTATTTTTACATAAATCTAGCATTTTTATTGTCATATTAAACTATTAATAGGTACTTCTTATGTGTAATAGATTATATATTAACTATTTTAAAATTATTATTCAGTTTATAAAGTGTTATGCTTGGTAGTTGTTTCTTTACTCTGGCAATAAAAATTAAAATTTCAAACAATTGTAAAATTTGATAAAATTTAAAAATTGGCCAATGTTTGATAAATAAAAATGTTTAAATAGAGGGAAAATGTGCAACTACTGTGGTGTAAAATATTGTTTCCATCAATATGCTATGCGGACTGCATTTGTGATGTCTGGTGGTGCCACCCTCAAACAAAAAGCAAAAAAAAAATAGAGAAGGTAGGCCTCTAATGGAGAGCGGAAGTGTTGAAAATGTATGCTAGTAGTTTTGTTTTGGTGGTTTAATTATGTTAACTTTTATTCAAAATTCATTTACACATGTTAATAAATGTTTTAATGTTATAAACTGATTTCCATTTTTTTGGAGGAGTTATATTTCTTGGGAAGCATCAGGGTGATGGAAAGAAGGTAAAATATACATATTATTACAGCATTGCTTTAGAAAACTTATGGAGATTGCAATTACTATCATTCTTGTTACCACAAACTTTGATAACAAAAGGTATTTGATATCAAAAAGAAAGAAATGAAAATCTGGACTCACAATTTTTTTTCCTATTCTGGTAGTAAGAAAAAACCTGCTTTAGCTGAATACAATTTTCAATCACCTTTAAAATCAATATATATTTTCAATCACCAAAAATTTTTTTCTCTTTATTTCTAAAAAGCTTAAAATGTTTTCTTTATTTTCAGTTATTGATCTCTTTTTTTTTCCAAATAATTTTATGAGCTATTTCTTGAAGCTGTAATAAGGAAACACAATATTTGTGAGAAGTTATTTACTGTTGATGATACTGTCAATCAGAAGTTTTAAAAGGAGTTATAATGTCTGGGAAAGTTGACAAAATGGAAACATTTAGTAAAATGAAAAAGTAAATATAACAATAATACTTGTAATAAGTGTTTTCTGAAGTAAAAACATGTTACAAGCTTTACATGTTACAAACATGTTACAAAACATGTCCAGCTCAATTACTAGATTGTTTAAAATATAAAAAATGCAATAATATTTAGCCTCTTAAGTTTTTTATAAGAATGAAACTTTCTGTATCAACCTTTGACCATGTGTTATTGTGATTACAATACAATTTCCTTTTGGTTTATTTTTTTCCAGGCTCTAGCATCCATGAGTATGAGCCCTCAACCAATCAGAAATTTGGATAGAATTCAACCAGGAGTAGCTGACCGTTTAGTATCGCATGAACCTCCACTCCCCCCACTGGCTACAGGTTTCAATCCCTTAATCTATGGCAATGATGTGGACTCTGTGGATGTTGCGACTCGTATAGCTATGGTTCGCTTCTTTAATTCTCCAGGTGTTCTAGCAAATTTTATGGAGCATACAAGAACATTGCGATTATATCCGCGACCTGTTGTAGCTTTTCAAGTTAACAGTTTTTTGCATTCAAGGCCTAAGTTTTCCCAATTTTTGAAGGGATTTGTTCGTACTCAGGTATATTAATAATTATTCCATATTCTTTTCAATTAATATTTTTGAAAGTTCACTCCTTAATAGTTTTTTTTTTTAAAATTTGTTTTAGGCTGTAGAGTTTTTTGCAGAATGGACTCTGTCTCCAACAAATGTGGCTTTCTTAAGAGTTCATACGGGTAATTACCCTTTATACATTTTATTTTCAAAAGGCAATTTGTAAGGTTTAAGAAAACTAAGTTTTCACTTATGGATTTACCCTTTTTCAATCATCTCTTTTCTGTTGCTTTTAGTCTTTTTACAAGCCCTTGTAGAAACTACCTGGTATTTTATAAATTTTAATTATCAAGATGATTTTAATGTGTAAAATACAATTTAAGAAGTCTACTTGGATAATTAGTGTTCGACTGCAATAAACTGTATGAAATATAATTTGTTATTGATTGTTTCAAATTGTTTTATGAGTATTTGAAGGTAATGCTTAGCAGGATTTAAACTATTCTAATGAAATTAATATTTAGTATAAAGTTATAGCTTTCTAATAAACCATTAATTTGAATTTCGTACTGATGTCATTATCACAATAGTGCTTCATTTCGTGATAATTATCTAAATAAATTTCTTTGGTTAAATATATAGCCAAATAATTGAATAATTTGTTTTTCAATTACATTTTGATAGTTTTGGACACATCTCATTTTTAAAAGCTCTCATCAACTACAACTCATTGACAAGTCCAAAATAGTGATTTTTCTGAAGTTCAATCCTAAGTGTTTCGTCTGCTCTCATCCCTATTTTTGATAAGCTTAAAATAGAACTACCAATTTTTTAAATTTTTTTTATTATATTTACAGTTGCCAACTCTGTTAGATTTTAAATGATAACTTCATTTTTTCTGATTCAGTAAAAAATTATCTTGTTTGTAAAATAAGTAGATTTGTAGCAAAATAGATTTTTATTGATGCTCTAATAACTGCTAAATAATAAAATGAATTAGTAGAAATACATTTGAATTTTTTCTTTCTTTCCTTTTTTTTAAATTTTTTTTATTATTATATAGAACTTACTGTTTTAAAATACGTTGAAGAATATCATTTAACTATCTAAAATGAATGCAATAGCTATTTCTATTCAAATTAAAATTTCAGATGTTAGTAAAATAAAAATATTTGATCTTCAGGTTTATTTATTTTTAATCGTAAAGGAAAAATACTATAGTTAATTTAAATTTGTAGTTTTTAGTATATAGCTTTTTCATTTTATTGAAAAAATCCTTAACATTTCCTGCATCCAAAATATTCTAAGATATTATGGAATAGCTTGAAAAAGAAGTCTTCTGTTTTTTTTCTTTTCTTTTTATATCAACAGCTATATTATATTTTAAATTTCAAATTTATCTCTTAACTTTATTGTAATTTAAGTTTTAAAATTGAATCTCTTATTTCAGGAGTTTTTGATCCTACTCTAGTTGGAGATAAACCCAAATGGTATATTAATCAATTGGAGCCATTGCATTTCAAAGTCTGGAGTGAAGGATCAACTTTAATTAATTCGCTTTCTTCTACTCTACAGTCTGAGCCCTCTACAGGTATTAAAATTGTTATTTTAGGCGATCATGTATTATAGCTAATATAATTTTTCCCACTTATGTATGTTGTATTGTCTTGGTTTATTTTAATCTTTACTCTTTATTATTAATTGAATCAGATGAGAGCTGTAGTGATAGTGAAGGTGCTGGGAGTACAAGTTCATCATATTCTTCTCTTAGTGATTTTGTTACAGATATGGTTAACAGTGAAATAGTTGGTGAGGGATTCCCAGGTTTGTGTTCATGTTTATCTAATTTGCCATTACTAACAATTTAACTTAATCTTTTTTAATTTATTTTTTTTACTACTCTGTCCATTGATATTCTTTGATAAAATACATTAAATAATTATAAACTGCTTTTGTAAACTAGTAACTGCACATAAATGTTAGATTCAACTCATTGCATTCAAATTGTGAATATGTTTTTAATAAAATTATTTAAATTGCATTTAAGACATCACTTGCATGAAATTATTTTATTATGTAATATATAAACGATGTAAGGTTTTTAATTTTTAAATAAATAGTAGATTTTTTGAGATTTATAAAGAGATATGACATTATTTTGAAGCTTCAAAGAATTTTTGGGCGATATGAATGAGAAGCCCCTAAGCCCCTCCTAATGCTTTGCTTATCACAACAATTATTATTTTAAAGTGAAAAATTTAAACTAGCAGTAAGTTAAACTTTCGAATGATCAAATATTTTCATCAGTCCTATCAGATTTAAGTCTAAGAAAATTGCCTATTATATAAATATGACTTCTTTCAATATTTTTTTCTTATCTTGTACTATTCATTTAATTATTCTTTTTAATCTGTGTAATTCAATAGATTTTGGAATTATAAATGAAATCTAAGATTAGGAAAATTTATTTATTATTTTTTACCAATACACAAACAATAAATAAAAGACCTCATTACATTTGGATTTTGAAAATTCTTATTCCCTTGAAAAATCAAACCTGAAAAAAAAAAGTTTTTTTGCTTTTGAAGCCATAAAAATTAACTATGAAACTTAAAGAGTGTGAATGTATTTCTTTCCTTTTACTTAAGAAAATGCTGATATCCAAGGTTATTTTTCATATTTTTAGCTGCTTCTGGAATTGATGAATCTAGTAATACTCAAGTGCTTTTTGATCATCATTCAGTTTATCAACCTCCAAGTACATTGCAATTGCCAACTACTGGTATTAATAGTAGTGATTCTGCCTTCTCTATACCTGGTTCACTTTCCACATCATCATCACATTCTTCACTTTCTAGGTTTGCTGCTTTGTTTTAATGCTTAGAATATGTTTTAAACTTTTAATTCTTTTGTTTGGTGTGAAAACTAAATGTAAGTTTTTCTTTATGTTATCTAACGAAGAAATATTGTTCATCTGGAAATTTTTTAAATAGATTTGTGCAAATGTCTTCATAGATAAAAGGTTAATACAGTTGATATTCTCAAATTTAAAAAAAATTAAATTAATAATGTGTTTATATGTTTTTCCAAATTTTACTTTCCCCCATTTAAGAATTTAGCATCAGATTTTAATATATTTTAAAGTATTTAATGCTATATGTTCCAAAGTTTTTGTTGCGATTGCTTCAAATATCTTAAGTAAAATGTCTTTCTTTATAACTATTTCATGGTTTGGATTTGTGACATTTTAGTCTCAACACTCAATTTTCAAAACACAATGTCTGAACTTGCCATTTAGAGTACCCAATTTAGATTGAATCAGTTTAGCTTTGATAATAGAATACAAACAAGAATTTATGTATACTAATCACTAATACTTTCCATATGTGCCTTGCTAAAAATTAGTGAGTAACTTCTTTTTTCTTTCTATATAGGAATATTTTATCTCTTATTCAGTAATCTCTCTTTTGTCCTTCCATGTTGTCAGTAAGATATTTCTGTTAAAGTTCTTATTTAGTGGTAACTTCAGAAACCTTTAAAGTATCTGCCCCAACAATACTAAGGAACAGTTTGATGTCAAAGTTTTATCTTTAAAAAAATTGGCTTATTATTATCATCTATACTGCCCCAAAAATTGGAATTATTCTTAAATTTCTAGTAACTGTTTTTCTGTTAAAACAAGAGCCTTTAAATATTTTAATTTAAGTAATGAAATGACTTAAATTAATTAATTTATTAAATTGAATTGTATTCTAACTTTTGTATGTGATTAAAAAAATATAAGCAATGAAAGATGCATTCTTTATGTGTTGTGAATTTGACTGAACTTGTTATATAACTTATTTGTTAAAGACTTGATTAATTGAATTTTCATATGTCTTGTTTCATCGTTTTGCAGTAGTCCGTCTTATAATTGTGATCCTGAAGAAGATCTTGCTCGTGCTGCAGAACAAGCTGTTACTCCAGGATTTCAACCATTAGCCTACAGATCAGAATCTCAAGTGAGATTATTTTATTTTAAGCTTTCTTAATTTTACTTTATGTGCCTAATTTGTGAACTTTTTACAAAGTTTAGCTCCCACCCCTTTGTCTTGTTTCTGTCAACAACAAAAAAAGGGACTATTTTGTGTAAAATTTAGGTCAGTCGGACAACTTCAAGACAACCTTCATTAACTGTGAATTATTGTAGTATTGTAAAATCCATTTTTCAGATAAATCATTTCCTTTAATAACTGCAGGCTTATAGCATTAGACATCATGATTTAAGTCATCTATAGTAATATATACAATGTGCAGTTATCAACCAAAGTAAGAATTGTTTCCTTAGTTTTTATGACTGCATGGTCATTAAATAATATGATTTTATGTAATAAAATTTTGTATCGTTCCCAAACTTTTCCAGTTAGATTATTAATAAAATTTAGTATGAATCAAGATTAACTTTTTTGTATTGTAAAAATGAACACTGTAAATATGTTTTTGGAAGACAAGGAAGAAAATAAGAATTTTATGTTAGAAATTTCTTGAATATTTTTATTTCTCGATTTCTGCTAATATTTTTTAAATATTTTAATGTATTGAAAATTGAGCAATGATTTTTGTAGTTGTTATTGTACAATGAAAGATTCATTTATATGGTTGAATCAACACTTTAAGTATTTGTTTAGCTGAGTTGCAATAATACAGTGATTGCTATATTTAATTATCTTTATAAAGGATCAAAGTTCTATCCTCTGATTATTTGAAGTCACTTACAATTGGCTTCCAGCTTACCAATTTAGCTTGTTTGGGTAGTAAAAGGTGTTACTGACTACTTGTTCATCATCATGATGTTAGTTTTGAAATTGCAGAATCTTGTAATCTTTTGGAACTGGCCATTGTGGGTGTTCTTTGCTTTGCTTTTTATCTAGACAAAAAGGCTATTTTATGCTCAAGGATGACTGGGTTTTAAAGTAATATGCATCATTTATACTGTTAACATTATATTGTTCTCTTAATAATTCAGGATCATGGAGATGGGGATACTGAAGTATTTAGTAGCCAAGAAGCAGAAACATCAACACTGACACCTTCAACAATTCGATCAGTTATCTCTCCTCAGCCACCGATTCAAGGTAGAAGTCCAGCTGATAGCCTTAGTAGTGATGTTGAAAGTATTCATGATACATTGCACAGCATTGGTAGTAGCCCAGCAACTTCACGTCCGAAGACTGGTAGTGCTGCTGTATCTTCAGAGCCTTCAGTTGATAAGGGCAGCAGTGCTAGTTCTGGAACTCGTACTCCAACGAGAACTCTGAGTATAAGCAGTGTCTTAAGCAGGACTGGTAGCCAGGGAGGTGCGACTCTCACTGCACAGAATAGTCAAGGCTCATTGTTCGAGACTATGGCTAGAGAAGCTAGAGAGGTAGCACGTGAAGCAAGTAAAGCAGCTGTAGAAGCTAGTCGAACTGCCATGGAAGCTACTAAGCCTGCCCGAGAAGCTGGAAAGAAGAGTCTGTTAAAAGTAAGAGCTTTTTGCACTTCAGTTAAAGAACCATTAAAAGAGCTGTCTGTGTATGTTAATTTGTACTAAATGTGGATTTAAAATTCGAAATTAATTTGTTTTTTAGAATAAAAATATAAAAAAAGTATTTACATACATTTTTTAATTGATTTTGTCAAAAAATATTTGTTTATTGTTCATTTCAATTTACACCATTTATCATAAAAGTAATTTAGTATTTTTTTTTATTAAAAGCATTTATTTGTTAAAAATTTCTGGTTTATTGAACTGTCTTGTTTATTATTGCCCGCTTATTAAAACGATGCAAAAATGTTGCTTTTTATTAGGTTAATCTATAAAATATCTATTATTTACATGAATTAAATGTGAAATACAACAATGCATTTACTACAGCAATTTTTTTCTTTTAAATTTTGGCTAAAAGTTGGGTATTATATAATTAACTATGGGAAATAAGAATCGTACTCAAAACTTCAGTGTCTGAAGTCTGAGTGGACTCTGTATTTGGATGATACAAAATACGCAAAATAAAAAACACACCACTCTTAATAACTTTTAATATAATGATTGGATCTTCACATTCTAGAACTATTTTGCCATGTAAAATTACGTACTTTAAAATGACTTAAAAAATTTTATACCTTCAATTTAAAATTTTTTCGTCTATCTTTTAAATAAAAAATAAATATTTAATAAGTTATTTTTTGCTTGAAATTATCTTTGGATAAATGAATTTTATAATTGTGCGTAAAAAATTTTCATTTCTTCAAAAAGTTCTCGAGATATGGTGTAATACTCAAAAAGTAAAATTAACATGTAAGAGGTTGGAATTTTGAACCTGTCTCCTGACAAACTATTTGGACCATATTTTTCAGATTGCAGCTACCCCCTATATTTTGAGGGTCACAAAAAAGTTATTAAGTATGGTTTCTTTTTTCATCTTGTTCACTGTACAGCAATTAATAATTCAAATCAAATCAACAATAAAATCAAGAAAAATATCTTTGAATAAATTGTTGCTTTCATTAAATTTTTTGTAATTTTTTATTACTATACAATAGTTTTCAGTTTTAAAAATTCAAAAGATATCAAAGGTAAACAATGTTATAGTTTTTTTTTCTCTGTTTGTGGTTGATTCTCTTGCACATGTCTGAAAAATAAAAATTGTTCAAATGGAAAATTGTTTTTACTTCATTTAAGTTAATTTAGTCAACAAGAGAAAGAAGATAATTTTTTTTAAGAACAAGTTTTGACTATCAGCAATAAATAATTCTTTCTTTAGCAATGTTAAAAAATGTTAAAATGCTGTATAAAGTGTCTAATAAATTTTGATGTGTGTAATAAATGTTTTACATTGTTCTTTTTATGTAAACTTGTTTTAATATTTGATTGTTAAGAAAAATAAAAATTTACCGAAATAATTTAATTTTAGAATTGGCAAGCCTTAGGGGAACCAATGACTGGAAGTAAAGACAAGCATGCTGCTGAATCTACAGAACTTGTAACTAGAGATGGTGGTTCTAGTCCAGGTTCTATCATGTCAACAGTTAGCAGTGAATTGAATGGTATAGCAGCACAAACATCCAGTATGCTTTCTGGCTTCTTCAGTAAGAAATTCTCATTTTCATTTTTCTGATTTTTTAAATTTATATATGGTGTTTTGCAATGACCGCCCTAAATATATATAGTTTTTGTCAATGATGAAGTTATTTGTCAACGATGAAGTTATACAAATATGCACATTAGGAATGGCAAATTAACATTTAAGCATGGAAAAAATAAATACACTATCAAAATGTAAATAATCATTACTGAGAAAATTGGGTCTGAAAACATCAAAACCTGTTTGATTGCTAATGGAAACAGAATTGTTAAAAAGAGGGCTTCGGCAAACACCTCTAAATTTCAGGCTTAATTTCACTGGCAATCAAACTGGTTTTGATTTTTTTCATCCCACTTTTCCAGTAATGATTTGGCAGAGTTCGATAACATTTTTGTTTCTTCCTTGCTTAAATATTAGAGGCCACTAATCTGTATACTTTTTTTATGTAAATTTCGGCTAGGATTTTAAATAATGCATTAAGGGTGGTTCTTGCAGATCCCTTTGTATGTAAGGAAATCAAAATTATGATTTTTTTGTGTTCTTATAAAAGTTTTTTTATAGTTACATTCTTATTATTTATGTAGGTAGTAGATCCAGTTCCATTTCTACTAGAGCCAAAGATCGCTCACAGCCTTTTGGTCCTTTTCCTAAAGGTAATTTTTCTCAGCAGAAACATTTTCCCAATACCATTTTTTTAAAATCCTTAAATATCCTTCTCATAATTAAGTTTATGTCTAGTAAATAATATTGTGTAAGGATTGTACTTAATATTATAATCTAAGAAGAAAGTTTTCTAAATTAATAATATTTTGAAGAAAAGGACATGAATCAATAATTAAATGTTTTAGTATGGTACTTAGAATTTTAATATAATGACTAATGTTCATTTGTCACTGAGCTGAGATAGTATTCTAGGGCTCGGAGCGATGCAAATCTTTTGCTTTGGTAGTATTTATGGTGAATTTTCATTAATTTGATTTAATTATTGAAAAATAATTGAGTTAACTCTCCCCCCTCCAAAAAAATGAGCTTTTAGTTCATTTAACTTAGTTTGTCAATATTTTTAACCTCCTTAATTAAACTTATAACTTTGCAAATTGTTAATTTTTTCTTATTTTGTATGAAACCATCTGTTTTATAATAATGCTCCAGATAAAATATGTTTTTGTCTTTTAAGTTGTTTTGTTTGTTGGTCCTAAATTGCATTGTACAGATTTGGCTTAGAAGGGCAATCAAATTTTATTTTAAAGTATTGTTTTAATTCTTTTTTATTTTTTAAAACCATTTAAAACAACTAAATCATTAGTTTATGTATGGTTAAAATATTAAGTTTAATTTTCAAAGTACGTTATGAAACATGACATGCTACGTATATCTACAGAAAAAAAAAATATCTGCAGAAAAACAAATTATTAATACAACACTTTTGACAGTTAGGTTAATAGATGATGGAAATATCCATTACCATCATTTTAGATTTAAATATTCTATTAAATTCTGTGAGTTAAGGTTTTTCTTATCAGATCAGGTATTTTTTTAAATTCGAAATTATGATTTTACGTTTATAAGATAATCTAATATTTATTGCCGGTTATTTTTAAGAAATTATTTAAGCAAGCTATCAATAGAAAAAATTTATTTAAAAAAAAAATATTTATTCTAATAATTTTCACATTATGAAAAGCGCAAATTATGAAAAGTATATGCATTTATAAAAAAAATGTATTGCCACTGCAGTTATCAATTAGAAGTAAAATAACTAAATTCAACAATATAGAACTGTTTTCCCAATATCCATTCTCAATTTCATAACACTTATTTTGCTTTTCACCATTAGTCAAATTGTTTTATTAATTTTTAGCTTATACATAAACCAAGGGCATATTCAGAACTGGACTTGATGCTGTTCCCGTCCTGATAATTTAACTGTATGGCCCTTATAATCTAATTATAAGTCTTATTGATAAAACGATAAAAAAAATTTTCTTTATATTCGATATTTTCAAAATAATTTTTAAACCTCCTTCGACTATTTTGTTCAGAATTGATGATAAATTTTGTAATGTTGGGGAAATCCACCATTCAGGATTCTATAACAGAATGAAAATTTGGAGCCGCTGTTCTATTATATTTTAGGAACAATGTATCTAACTTATTTGTGTTTGTATTACATTTGGGTGTGAACTTCTACATTTTTATAGAATATTTTTAAATTTTTGTTACTTTATTTTTAGGTCTAAGAAAAGGCCCTTTACATGAAAAAAATTCTCTCATCAAACATGCAACTCCCCAAAAGAAACAAGATGCTCAAAAATTACAAATGTTTGAAGAACATAAAAGCTCTCACGTGTAAGTTTAAAGTTTATATCTAGCCATAAACATTAACTAACAAAATTCCCCCTTTTTTTTCAATTCAGTTCATTTCTTATAGCTTATGTCTTGTCAAGTATTCACAAATCATCCAATCTTGCCAAGTATTCATTTATTTTGTAATCAGTATCTTTTAACAATTGATTGCATGTCTTTCATGGTCTATTTAACTTTCCTTTTCATGTGTGTTGATAATATTCTATAATACTCTTTTCCGTTGTTGTTATGTACTACTGTTAATTTAGCATTATTGTGAGGAATTCCCCATTTTAAGAAGTTATTATTTTTTTTTGTCAAAATTTCTTTTTATATTGTTTTTAGTTTCTTTACAAAAGTTGGTGTAATTTTGACTGTAAGACCAAGGTACTTTGGCTTGGGTTAATTATAATCATCACATATTTTTACTCAAAACTTTTATGAAATATTGCTTTGTTATACCTATTATTTGTTCAGCACACTTAATACCTATTAGTCTCTTATTTATTATTAGTCTATAAATATATTTTTAATGTGTAATATTTTTTATACATATTTATGATTTAGTAAAAAAAAAATTATGTAACCAAATCATTGTTTCAATAAAATTTGACTACTAAAATATTAAATGACTGTTATTTTTATTATTCTGCTCATGTTTTAATCTGAAATCATATTTCAGGGATAACCAAACATTTTTGAAAGAAGTTATCAACAATGTGTTAGCAGGAGATGGTATAAGTTGGTTGAAGTTTGGGAAAGTCAGAAAACTCATGGAAGACGAAAATTATCGGAACTTGGTTGTTTCTCGACTAAATAAAACTTTAGAAACAAAAGTTGGACCAGATGATCATATTGATGATGTTGTAAGTATCCAGAATATATGTATGTATGTATTTTTCTGCATAACTGACCATACTATATAATTTATTTTAGTTAGAGCTAGTTTTATTAATTTTTGGAATAGAAAAATTTCTATTTTCTTAATAGTGCCTACCTAAACAAGTTTGGAAGGGATATCAGAGACTCCTTCAAGCGGTTATATCAGGATTAGAACATACCTATAGTAATTATGGTCTAGGAGGAATGGCTAGTGCTTATCAAGTCTTGGAAATTGCTCATACACATTATTATTGTGAAGAATCAAAACTTGATACAGCTTCTCCATCTCAGGTACACATTCTAAATCATAACTATTGTTTTACTTTTTTTTATTTAAAAAAAGTCTACATAAATGTGCAAATTAAAAATATTTTAGATTTATGAAAAGAAAATTTTTTTAATTAGAATTTCCATTAACTATGTTTAATACGTTTTCAAAAATGTATTGTATATTTTTAGACAAAGGTCTAATGATATACAATACATTTTTAAGAGACAATATGCAATACAATGCAAACTTGGCATTCATTTAATGAAGAGTTATTCCTCTTGAGAATACAACTGTGGCAAGACTCGTAATTTGAAGACTCAAAAATACTTCATCCAGTGTGTTTGTGAGAATACCCAATATAATGTAGTCAACAATGCGCTATACGAACTGATGATTTATATGATGTTTAGAATATATGATTCTCGATGTCAGATTGGACTTAGTTTTGAATGTACGGAAACGTGACACAAGTCCTAATGCACTCCTTGCTGTTGCCTTAAAAACCATCAATATTCGTTTTCCCCCTGATTAATGGCTTCACATCTACACTAGCGAATCTCTCTTGGGTTTCTCGCAGGGTGCTGGCTCTGGTATTTTTAATGAAACCTTTTCTTTTTATCTACATGCTGGGCCATTTTCAACTCACTTTGATGGAGAGCTCAAAGCCATCCATGTTACTCTTCAACATCTTGCTGTTCGTCTATTGAAAAAGCTGTGATTTTTTTCAGATTCTACGTCTGCCCTTCAGGCTTTGTCAAGCAACCCAGAAAATAGTAGTTCCCTTGTATTGAGCTGTAGAGAGGTCCTGAAGAAGATTTAGGGATTGAGGGTGTTGAATTTCAATGAGTCCCATTCATTGTGGTCTTCGAGGAAACAAAATGGAGGATTAATTTTGGCCAAAAAAAAACTTATATTCTTCAGAGATCCTGTGGAGGTCTATCCTCCCATTCTGCTAAACTTGAAATAAAAAGAATATTCAAACAATCGTTCTATTGTTTGGCATCTCACACTGCTAGCGATAAGTCCTGGAATGTGCTCTGTGGAACTTACTGTTCCGGATTCACCCCGTGCTACTGTAGCAGCCATGTTGAGACTTCTGACCGGACATGATTGTCTATGTTCTCATTTATTTCGCCTCAAGCTGACTGCTTCATCAGATTGTCTTTTATGTAACTCCGGACAAGCCTTGACTGCTGCGCATTTGGACGCGTGCTCTGCACTAAAAGACTTTGACTGTATTGTTAAGAAGTACTGGAGAGCTAGAAGTCTAATGACCTAATAGTCAATGGCATTTGTTTAATAATAATAAATAATAATAATTTAACGAAGAGCTATATAGCAAACTTTTTCAAATTAGGAGTTCCCTTTTATGTTAATTTATAAATTTATGATTCTGACTTTTCTGTATTTTTTACTTCATTTTACCTTTTTATAAGGTAAACTTTTAATTTTCAAATGTAGACTATAAGTTATAGCTTTCGAACACATTTTAATTGATATTGCATTGTTGAACACATTTCAATTGTTGTTCAATTTAATATCAGTTTATTATCTCGGTAATTCATAATACTCTAGTTAAAATTTTGATATTGAACAAGTTGTATGTATTTTTCTAGCGTTTATTTTTAGTTATCATTTAAAATGTTTATAATTGTAAAAACTGCCTTTTATTTTTTCAGGGTAGCAGTCCATTTGGTAGTGGAGAAAACCTATATAAACATCTCTCTGATTCGAGTAGAACTGAAGATCCTATGAATCTTTCTGTTGGTCAGTAAATAAAATAAGTTGTTTTTTAATTAATTTTTGAATTCCAAGTACATTTTATTTAAAAATTTTCCTTATCTTTCAGCAAGCTCTACTAAGAGTAGTACCAATAGCAGTCCTTCTGATCTTCAACATCATGCTTCACCTATGAGTGAGAAGGAATACCAAGAAAAAGGCCAACTACAAGAAGGACAATGCAGTAAGTTTTTAATTTTTCTTTGATTTATTCTTTGTTTTGTTCCAAAAAAAATGTAATTTGAAAACATTTAAAAAAAATTTTTTTTTTATTTGTGGTGCTATGGAAAATGTTTTTAAGGCTCCAGCTTTTTTAATCTATTAAATTTTTTCTAGATATTTTTATATTATTTTTACATTTATTTATTCTTTTGATCATACTTAGGGTTTTGTACTTCCAGGTGCACTAACAGCAGTATTTACTTAACACTAATACTAATTATGCTCTATGCTAAGCTGTTTTTTAATAGTTGCATTTATATATAATTCTTTTCTTTTGATGCAGATAAGTTTTTCCTTTATGCAAAGGCTCCTAATCTTTACAATTATATTATTTATTTGTAAATGCATACTTTTAATTTGTTATATGCATATAATTAACATGGTAGGGTTTTTTTTAATTTACAGTTTCATCTTTTGCTGTACTACTTCATTGATTTTTGTATAGTTATTACTAAACGGCCGAAAAGTGGTTGAAATTGACGGAATGATTAAAGTATCTGAAATGTTTATAATTGTATTATTTAGTCTAAGATTGTTTTCCTTGGATATTTTTAGTTAATTTTTTTTTAACTATTCTTTTTTTGCTAAGCTTTTTTCAAAGCATTTATTAATACCTTTACCAAATTAATTTTTTATTTTAACGTAAGTTCATATTAAATTTTCTATCTATGTGTATTATTATTTTGCAAATTTTTACTCAATACAAATTAGCGTAATGATAAATGTCTTTTATGATTAAAAAAAATTAGTACTTTAGTTTTTTCTAAAAAAAAAAAAACTTTAGCAATGTGTTGCTGTATGAATATTTGATTTCCATTAAGAAGCATTTTAAGTTTCCTGATCTGAAGCATTTGGGTAAATTCGAGAAAAATATTTTTTTTTCTCCATAAACAATTTTCCTCTTGAATAACAAGAAAAAAATGGTTCTTATGATAGAAAGTAAATAACTTAAATTTGCAAAAACAAAGTATTAAAATTTCAAAGTGTTGATATTCAGTTATTTTCATTTAGTAACATTGATATTTTTAAATATATTTACATAAAGAACCTTATTTATATTTTCAGATGTTATAGTTGTTCAAATTATTTACTTTATTATAGAGTATCATGTTATTATTTTTTAGATGTCCATATTACTCCTTCACCTGAAATTCAGTTATTCAGTTATTTTCATTTCATAGTTCATTTCAGTTATTCAGAAATTCAATGATATTCAGTTATTTTCATTTAGTAACATTGATACTTTTAAGTATATTTATATAAAGAACCTTATTTATATTTTCAGATGTTATAGTTGTTCAAATTATTTACTTTATTATAGAGTATCATGTTATTATTTTTTAGATGTCCATATTACTCCTTCACCTGAAAGTTCAGAGCATGAAGAAGCAACTGACATGTTTCGCAGCATAATAAATGCCAAACGAAATATTCTATTTTCTAGAATTACAAGCGTCGAATCAGAAGTAAGTTTTGTGAATTAAGTCTTTTACTGTGGCATTTAGGAATGAATTTTGTATACTTACTAGATTATTCATGTCTAGATTAGTCTGAAACTAGTTTAATTATTTTATATTTTAAATAAAAAGCTGCTTTTGGTAAGTATGATGGTCAGTATTCATCAATTTTAGTGCTCACAGTAGGTATCTCAATTGGAAATCATACTTTGAAAAAATCAGCCAATACAGTCTAAGCACAATCATTACCCACAATGAAGATATTACATGTTAAATTAATAACAAAATTCAATGGTAAATAGATGCTACTTCGTTCTAAAAAGTCAATTTTAGTCCAAATTTTAGCAGTTTAGAAAAACTGCTAAAATAAATGTCTTCATAACATTCATAATAACAATAATCTTATATGGTTGTGAAAGATGGACTGCTAAATAAGTGCAAAGGGAAAAAAGAAACTGTAAATATTTGAATGAAAATTTCTCTATATATTTGGAACAGTTAAGGAAAATAACTTTTGAAGAATTAGTTATAATCATGAACTATTTTTCAAAAGTGGTAAAAGAAGAAGTTGAGCTAAGTTCTCAGGATCATGGGAATAGAAAATGACGAAATCTTGCATTGAATTGCTCTGTTAGGAGGTAGCAAGCTGAAAATTTCTTGACCTGCTCTTGATTGTAGTGCTCATTGAAGAAAAAGAATTCAATATCTCATATTTTTAAAAACATTTAATGTTTATCTTTGGTTGTTAAAGATATTTCATACATTCCTTTTTGACAGTATTGAGTTCTAAAAAAATTTTTAATTAAATTGTGAAGAAAAAAAAAGTTGATGAGAAATTGAGGCATATTTTAGGAAATAACTTTGAAATAATATATTGAAGTATGAAATTAATTACAAAAATTTGAAATTAATACTTGATGAAGGATCGTAAAGGATAATAATAGTTGATAAAGGATAAGATAATGTGTTATATATTTGATGTCTTTCAGGTTTCGGAAGCAGGCACTGCTTTAAGTCAGAGCTCTGACCAGGCAGCTCCAAGCTGCAATGCAAGTGATACTGGAAGTATGACCACTAATCCATCATATCATAGAAATCTTAGAATAAATCAAAACTCTTTTCGCTCTACAGTTTCAGACAGTGAAATTGAAGCTGGAAATGTAAGTGTTAAATGTTTTTTTAAACCGTTCTTTTACTTTAATTGTAGAAAGTGAAATTTATTGCAGAACCCTGTAATGTTTCTGTACCTACCAAATCGCATTTTGATCTACCTCTTTTGCTCAACGAACCACTTTTTCTGGTATTACTATGAAAGAAAAGAATATGATATTAAGAGGGAGATCATTCTCATCAATTTTCGCATTTATTAAATGTTTCAAAAGGACTAAAAACTGGGGCACTTACATAATATTAAACTTAACAAGGCATGTATGAGCCTGCTAATGTACACATTATAGCTCAGTTTTAGAATTTATATTTAAAATCACTTTTGTAAATATATCTCATAGTATTAATATTAGACCAATTTTCTTAATTTAAAAGTTCTTGTGCTTTGACGACTAGTTTTATTGTTGTTGATATCAATTCAAAAAATGAAAAAAAGGCCTTTTTATAGCATTTTTATATTTTAGATCTATATTTGGATTATTTAATTTAATACAGATAGCTAAGACAAACATATAAGACCAACTGTAAGTCTTAAGTAGATTGAAGGTGGAGCAACAAGTCTGTATATGATTTTAACCTAATTATAGTTTTCTTGGTTTTGAAAATTTTGTGTTGCCATTCTCACAATCATTTCTACATAAATTCATAATTTTAAACTTTTTTTTCGATTTATGCTTGAGATGGATCAACAGGAGTTTTAAAGTGATGAGGTTTAGGCACTGCTGTTATAGACAGCCGGAACAATGTTTATACTTAGAATCTAGAGTATACAATTTTAATCCCTTTCTTATGTCTTTATTTTTAATGTAAATGTGTAATACCATATCTTTTATCCACTGTATGATAGTAAGAAATTAGAGCTGTAAATTTGAGTTAAATAAAATGGAGTTGTGAAGCTGCAAGTATATGCATAATTTTGATCTCCTATTTTAACTTTAAATGTGAACTGATCTAATTTTTGAAAATAAACTTTGAGGTTTTGTAATGGGTAGCCATAAAATGGCAAATCTGTGAAGGAGAAAACCAAACAAATGTCACGGAATTCAATAGGATCAGTGTAATTAAGCAATGTTTTTTTCCTTCCAGTTTCTAAACAATCGGCAGAAACGAACACCTAGCATATGGAGCAGTAAAAGTAGCCTTAGTACTGGTTTCCGCTATCACGGAGGTAGCTTGATTAACACGTCATCGAATCCTGTAAATGAGCTGCCACGAATGTATCTTTTTGAAGGTTTATTAAATAGAGATCGATCAACTCTGTGGGATCAAATGCAATTTTGGGAAGATGCATTCATGGATGCTGTTGCTCAGGAGAGAGATATGGTGGGAATGGATCAAGGACCTGGTGAAATGATGGAAAGGTAATTAGCATTCCGATTTTTTTCAAGCTTCAAGATTGTTTATATCACTTTTTTTTAACTCTAAATAAATTTAAAATCAGTGCAAAAAGTGTTTGGAATTGTTAATTCTTGTACGTCTTGCTTGTACTTTTTGTCACTACAGTCAGTTGCTATGCTGTAAAGTTCAATTTGGTGTTCTTTGTTAAGAGTCTTACACACTAATCTTTTATGTGCTATTGTCTACAATTTCTTCTGCATTTATGTCCCATTTTCTGCTTTTTTTTTCACTAAGTCTCAAATCTTCTGCATATTTTAAAAATATACATTAAAATTTTGTGTCTTGGAACTACACACCTGCATACTCGTACATGTGTGAGGATGGGCTCTAGTGACTTGCCCAGATTATGGCACCTTGCATTTTCACTGTGTTTCAGCATTATTAATATTTTAGGTCATTAATTGATGTAAAATGAAAGATTTTAATCATCTGATAGTACAAAAAAAATTTTTTTTAATTTCATTTTAGATCTATTTGTGCTAGTTATGTTAAAACACTTACATTCCTCTTTAGGACATTATATTCTAATAACTATACCATTGATTGTTTAAATAAGGAATAAAAACTGAAAGCATGTAAAATATTCTGTATTTTAGGTAATTTCTTCTGCAATTTTTATAGTACTAAATCTTCTGAATTTTACAAAGTGGTGGTTGGCAGGTATGCTATATAGTTTTTAAAAAAACTCATAAGATGCCTATTTTTTTAAAGTTTTCTTTGAGTTTCTAAGAAATACTAGACTGTAAAAAATAATTCAGATAAAATATTAAAAGACGTTAGAACTGGAAATATATTCAATAAAATATTTTTTTCTTTTAATCTTCTTACTTATCTTCTAATCAGTTTGCCATTTAAAGGTCTTTGGCAGAGTGCTTTATATATGTTTTGTAATATTTTTTTAGGTATCAGTCTCTAGCTACTATGGATAAAAAGAGATTAGAACATGATGAAGACAGGCTTCTATCTACTATGCTGTATAATACAGTTGCCTTTATGGTAATGATGAAAGTTAACAAAGCTGAAATAAGGAGAAAAAATTGTCGTCTGTTGGGAAAATGCCACATTAGCCTTGTTTATAGTGCTGAAGTCAATGAACTCTTAGATCAAATTGTAAATCTTGTAAGTCATTTTAGTTCATTTATCAGTAATTAAAATTTATTGGTATAGTGGTAAATTAAAATTCATTATTATAATTTCAAAATATGTTTTGTCTGTCTGACAGTGTTTCTTAATTTCTATCGCATAGTAAGAGGTTTTCAAAAGCTAAAATGATTAAAGAAGTATTTTTTTAAAAATATAATTAGTGTTTATACATTTCCTTTCCCCTACACAAAAAAGGGTAAAATAATCTTTTTGCCTTAAACTGCTACAAATATTTAAATGAAATACTTGTATTACATAAAATATTTTTTTACTGCTGTGTTATGCATAAATTGGAATATCTTTTTATACATCTCTACAAGTTATATTTGTAATTGAATTCCTATTGAAGGTATGTGAACTGTAAATTTATCGTGTGAGGAAAAAAAATAATTGTTGTATATTTTAATTGACCAAGTGGAAAACTATTTTGTACAGTTCTATTTCCTTACACCATACTAGCTGATTTTAAGCAAATGAAAGATTATCTTTGAGGAGAAATGGGTTCTGTCTCTTTTCAATCGCTTTAACAAATCAACCCGATAATAAAATACTGTATTTCCTAAACTGTTTTTCTGTAGTCTCTTTTTAATCAAGCAAAGTCTCTTTGATTTCTAATCGTTTCATATTAAATCAGTAAATTCCTTTTAATTTAATCATGCTTTCTTTTTTCAGCATGGTAATGATATTGACCTCAGGCCCTTAAGTAGTAGACAGATGCATCGACAGTCCTTCACTGTACATTTAGGTGTAGATGCCACTGGGGATATGTTATTTATGGAAGTAAGTTATATACCTTTTATATAAAAAATGTTATTTAGCAGTGATTCCCAACCTTTTTACTTTTGCATACCATTTAATGCCCTAAGTATTAATTAAAATGACTTTGAAAAGTATTAATGTAAGTTATTTATTTTATTTATTTAATATTACAAATTACAGAATGTTAGAAAATATCAATGCATCATTTATCTTAAAATAAATAGTAAACAAAAGGTCCGATTAAATTGAATTATGAATTTCCATTCAGTATGAAAATTAAATGTATATAGAATACATTTATGGTGTTGTTCTAGCTTTTTTTGAGACACAATAAGTGAACTTTCTTATAAATTAGTTTATATGAAAGGAATCGTATACTTCAGAGTTTGTGTGAACAATGTATAATATTTTTTCCTTTTATTCAAAATGATGCCAAATCTAAATTTTTGTTTTACAATTTCAAGCAATAGCCACTGTTTGGACCAGTAAATAATAAGTAGTTAGTTCTGTTTCAATTAGGAATTTAAAAAAAAAAAAATCTAAACCAAATATGTTGTAATTTCTTTCCATACCACTTCTGATTTTTCTAGTCTACTGCCAAATTTGGTATATTTAAACTAAGTTGTTGATTTTTTTTTAAAAAACTATTTTTCAATGTTTGATATTTGCTATAATTTTTCTAAATTTGTTACTCATCCTTTTTATTAGGTTAGAGATGATGGCATAGTGTTACGCAGCGTTAATGGTGCGATAGTGGAGAGATGGTGGTATGAACGGCTTGTAAATATGACATATTGTCCTAAAAACAAAGTGCTATGTTTATGGCGTAAACATGGTGGACAAACTCAACTTCGGAAATACTATACCAAAAAAGTTTGTGTTTGAATTTCTTCCTTTTTTAAATTGTGTTAGTGCATAGTTTTATTTAGTATTTAAAGGCCTTTGGGTGATAAAGTAAAAAGCAACGTTTTTGAATTGTTAGAAAGGTGATTACGTTAAAAACACCCCGATTTCCATCTAGGCCATAACATGTTTCTGTATATTGTATTGTTATGAAGTGGACATTTATAAAACATATGTCTGGAAACCATTTTAAGTAAGAGATATGAAGATGTAACCTTTGCAAAAGGTATGGTTTAACACTATATTGATTTAAGACTTTCATTTGTTTTGAAATGCTATGGGACCATCCACAAATGTCATGTTTGGTGGGAAGAGGCAACAAGAAGTTGATATCTCATATTTTGTTTAAAATAAAAACGATTATAATCAAACTAAATATTTTTATATTATTTCTTTTTTTTAAAAGGTTTTCTGTAAATTATTTTTCATTCAAAGTAAATACACACAGAATCATTCTTGTTATGCTAATAAATTCATTAAAACACATTAGTTAAAATTTAAAAATTATGTTTGAACTATGATCTATAACATTAAGCTTTGTTTTTGAATTGCAAGTATATATTTTGAGTATTTTTGCTTTGCATTTTGGGGAAAAGAGGGTATAAGGAAGTGTGGAGTAAAGATGACGCTTTATGATAATGGGGAGGAGGAAAAACATTTGGAAGAAAAGTGACCTCATTCATGGATAGCCCTTCTAAGATTATTTAACTTTAAAATTAGTAGTTGTTCATCAAAACATTTTGACCTTCTTTATAACTTAATTTTAGTCTGTTTATACATCAGGTTGTAACACATGTTTTTCTCAAAAAAATGTTCTTAATGGAATTAAAAAAAATATTTGAAGGCAGTATCCTTAGTGCAGATAGCAATCACCACCCAAATCTATAATTTTTTGCCAACGTTCTTGTAATTTTTCAAAGCCTTTGGCCTAGAAATTTAGAGGCTGCAAGTCCGAAAGCAGAACAATCTCATTTTAGCTGTCCTGTGCTGAATCAAAAATAGCATTAGTAAAATGTGGCTGCAGGTGTGAAAAAATGTGGAAGTCTTTAAAAACGATGTCAGGGCTTGGTATGACAAAGGATCCTTAATTCAAGTCTGCACGGCCAGTGAATGCAGACACATGTAGTCTTATTTTGAATGAACAGTACCTTCTTTCATCAGAGCTCAGTTAGAGGTTTTCTCTTGATAGCTTCAACACTGGCTTACATCTTGCTATAATCCTTACTGTTCATAGTTTTACTTTTTTCCATTCCTTTGTGGATAATACTGCTGTAATCCCACTAGATAAAAAAACATGATCTTTTTAGTCAAATTGCACTTTGCGATGTTACTGAATGCTGATGTAAATCCACTTTTCATCACAAGTGACGATTCAGTCTTGAATGTTGTCGTTGCATTGATATTCGAGCAGCATGAACAAGTCTGTCCTTATCTGCTTGAGTTAGCTCAAACGGCCCCCAGCAATTAAACTAATGAACTTTGCACCAACCAACGTTTGACTCCTTTGTTAGCTCTTGGGTGGTTGAATATTAATTTTCTTCCACAAGTTCCTGTTGACTGGCCTCATCAACATCAATAGGCTAGCTAGAGCGCTCTGCTTTTTAAAATCATAGTCCTTGTTTTTGAATTTACGGTACTAGATCCTCAGAATGTCAAATTATTCAACAACGGTATCTGAAATTGTAGTACCAACTTGTGCTTGACAAAAATATTTTTTTTACAGATTTCACAAAACATTGCTTTAAAAGTCTCTTATTTTCAAATACCAAAAATAGTCAAACGAAATATGAGCAAGTATGCCAACACGAACTCTTTATGCAGGTGATATTAGCGGTGGATGGAAACTTTCTTTACAACCTAACATTATACAGCATTTTGAAGATTATTTATTTGTTTTATTTAATAACATTACATTTCACAAATAGTTTCCACAAATTAGTTACACCATTATGAGGAAGGAATTTCTGTCGCTGTAGAGTTCACAAAGAGAAAAGAAGAAAAAACACAGGGTCACTTTTATTAACTTTTGAGATATTGGTTGGATTTTTTTTCTTCTGTTAAGTGCTATGTCTGAAATTAGAAGGTAACATATTTATCACTTTAATTGAGATGGTTCATTTTTTTAATAAAAAAAGACTTCTTTCTGAAGAAATTTTTTTTGTTTTAATTTGATTCAGCGTTAAAATACCACATTTAAAAAAAATTGTGACATATGGAGCTTTCACTGACAGTTATTAACTTTCATCATAAAAAATAACCACAGCAGTTTTTGTAATAAGTAATTCTAAATAAAGCAAACAGTATTAAGGAATTGGGCTGTTTTTAAAAAAATAGTAATTTAAAACAAGATTTTAATTTATTGATGTGGTTGCCACAAAAAATTTATGAAACCAGCAAAAAGTAGAAAGATTTTGACTGAATGAAATGAAATGAAATTTTTGTTTTAATACATATAGAGGGCTTCTAATTTTCACACTTGCCTTTTAAATTATAAATTTATGTTTTTGCTGATAAGATTGTCTTATTCCTCCCACATGTCTTATTCCTCCACAACTAACAATATAATTATTTTACATTAAACACCATGATTACTTCGCTGATTAGTAATAATTAAACAATTTATTCCCAAACTTAAGGTTTTTTTATATTACTGAATTTTAAAAAGAGTTTATAAATTTACTTATATTTCTCATAAAAAGTCTAAATGCTATTGAAAGTAAAAAAGATGTTTTAATCTATTTGTTGCTAGATAAGTAACTGAAAGAAAATTTATTTCATTTTCAAAACATTTGTCATAATATTTAAAAAATATATATAAAAACGAGTTTATTTTTGATTAAAAAAATAATGTATATAGTGATGGGTAGTTTATAATTAAGAACTGTTAAATCTTTTACTTTTCTATTTTTTAAAGTAATTTTATTTGTAAGTATATTTTTTATGACAGTTAATACAACGTGACGATCATAGATAAACTTAATGAAATATTTTCTACAAGTATTTTCTTCGTTCTGAATTTAAAATTCTTAAAAAAAGTTAAATTAAATTTCACATGAAGAGCAAAATGGAAGATAGGTTTATGTCCATGAAAACTGATTGCAAGAAAAAAACGAATTTGATGGTAGATAGGAAATATTTTTCTTCAGCACGACCCACATTCACTGTGTAATAATTCTTGCAGGGAGCTGATTTTCCACAGCATTATTTTTCAAAACGTGATGGTCCTCAAAATGCCACAGATGACAGTCCATTGGTCATTTTGTGGAAAAAAAGACAGAAATGGTTCTTCTCCCTTGATCTTCATATGCTTTCTGTCAAAATCTATTATCTCTTAAAAAGTTTTTAAATGTTTTTCAAAATTTGCCATGTGATTCTTGCAATAAAAATTTTTTCCTGACTGCTATGATATGATATATAATTATATTTTACTTTTTTATAGTGCAAGGATTTATATTATTGCATAAAGGAATCAATGGAAAGAGCTGCCCAGAGAGGAAATGGCATGTTGCCAGGTTAGTTTATGTATATGTGGAAATTATTGTTTTTTATTATTAACAGTGAAACGTAACATAATTGAAGAGCTGAGTTTATGAAAGTTTTAAGTGACATTTAAGTAATTTTGAGTAAATTAGCTAATATATATAATAATAGGAAATAAAGATAATATCTTGTCTTTATTTCTTTTTTACAAGCTATTAATTAGCAAAATCTACAAATAACTTATTAAGCTATTCGAATCATAGCATTTACATCGTTAGAGTTTAAATTTGTTTTTAAAAGAAAGGCTTTCTATGGCCAACAGAATCAAATTTCAAATTTTCTGGAATCAAATTTAATTTTCGGATTGATTTTCCAATAAATTTTGGACTCTTAATGTATAATGTGTAATTTATTGAATTTTAAGAAAGAATCTTTTTTTTTATCTCAATAGAATATTATATTGTACTAAAACTATATAAAGAAATTAAAAATAAAACAGAATCCTTGTAAAAACATATTTAAATAAAGTGACTAAGTCCTTAATCAAAATCGATCACAAATAAAGACAAATTTACCACAGATAGGCTTCGTTAAATAATAAATAAAAACCTTGTTGTACTATTTTTAGTGAGAACAGCTTAAAAAAAGTTTAAAATTTTTAAGATTTTGGTTAAAATTGAGATGATTATTTATTTTCTATAATATCTTTAAAATAACTAGGAGGCTCTGCTTCCTGTTGGCTTCTCTCTTTAAACCTCATGGTTGCTTCTCATTCATAATTGAAGATCAAGGTGGAAGAATGGTTTTACTTCTGCACTTAAACTATGAGTTTAACTACCGAGCTTTAAAGATATTTAATTTTTTCTAGTGGCTTCTTCTGCTTCTTTTTTTAAAAAATATTTTGTAAAAATGCTGTTTCCATGACAGTGGTTCTATGTTTTAATTTGTTTCATTAATGAAATTTCATATTTTCGATACTGTGCCCAAACCACGTAACTCCGGAAAGAGGTGATTGTTTACAAATCACCCCTTAAAAATTTCATAACGACTAAAAATTAACACAATCCAAGTTGGTGCTCCCATTCTCAAGTTATTTGCGAACATATATCTTGCCCGAGACAGACTTTTGCTTTTATATGCATCTTAACCTTTGTGTAGGAAATTAAACACACATTAATTAAATATTCTCTTTAGGAACAGAACTTGGAGGAGAATTTCCTGTTCAGGACATGAAAACTGGTGAAGGAGGGCTGCTTCAAGTGTGCATGGAAGGAGTTGGTCTTTTGTTTGCAAACAGTAAAGTATGTATTTTTTGAAAAGTCATTATTTCTGTTGATACTCCTGTGTATTATTTTAATGAATTATTATTTTGAAATTTAGTATTTGAGATATTTCTATCATTTACACTATTAATAAATTTTGTCCTTATATTAATCCCATTTTTGTATCACAATCATCTCTTACAGCATTCGTTAAGTGTGTTTAGTATACAATGTCCCGCTTCACTCGTTTTATTATCACTTTTATATTCTGTATAAAAGTAATTTTTAAAATCCTACACACTAGTTCCTGATATAGCTTATTACATAATGTTCTGAGATATTTAGAATGAAAGCATAGTTTATCATTCCTATCTCGAGCAAAATTTATTATTATTTTTTATCTCTATTCTATAACTGTTAAAACAAAAGATATTAATTCATTTTGTGAAATTAGCCAGTTTTATATATTTTTTTTAGAAAAAGTAAGTAAAAGGTATGAATTGCAAGCATATTTTAAACTGCATAATTAATTACATAAATGTTTACTACATTAATAAATATTACCTTTAATGAAGCATATTTACTTTTTTTAATTATGCTGTGATTGTTCCACAATTAGCACAAAAATTTTTATTTTTCATCTTATTTGAAATAAAAGTTGAGAGAAGTGGAGATTTTTCTTCTATTTAGTCATTGTTAATGAAACTGGTATGGATTAAAGTTTTTGCAATAAATTTTTTTTAAACATGTTCAATATTCTGTTCTTGAATTATTAATAAAAATGAGCATTTAAAAATTTCTAAATAATAACTAAATGATAATTGAGAGATGCCAGTCATTTTCTTATGTGTGATATGTTTGATATCATTTATGAAGTTTTGTGGTAATTTATTTTATGTTGTGATGTTTTACAATAATGTTAAGGATTTGTAGGAAGTTAAGGATTAAGGAAGTATGTTAAGGATTTGTGAAATATCCCTGATCTATTTGTTTTAAGTATAGAATGATAATAAAGAGTGTCTCATTTTATCTAATGAATATTGTTTAATTTCACTCTTTGAATCTATAAGGTTGATCACAGAATTATGAAATCTGAAAGTATGGGGTAAATTGTGCGATAAAGTGATATCATATTTTGAATGGAAGAATTCTTATAAGGACTTTGTTTCCTTAAAACTTGATTGAACAAGAGTTTCTTTATTTATTTTTATTTATTTATTTATTTTGTAGTCACAAATATTGATAAGATACAACTGTATTAAAAGGTTTCGTGATTTTGTTGTGAAACAAGTTCTTAAGCTTACACATTTATTGGAGGAAAATTGTATTGTACATATCGATTTCTTAACTAAGATAATTTTTATTTTATCTTATTAATAATTTCTGGTTAGTTAATTGTTATAATTATATAAATTATATTGATGACTATTTTCCTTATATTTTAAATAGTTTTAATAGAGTTATTTAAATTATTTATTTGGTTAAGGATAATTTGTGAATATAGTAAATGTTTATCATAAAAATATCAGAATCTTCGAATCTTGAATTCTAAATAATATGTTGCTTTAGTTATGATTAAAAATCAACTATTAATTTTTACTATCTGTGTACTGTTCCAAATAAAAGAAGTTTGAGTTGAATTTTGAATTATACTCTTAATAGTTGCTAGCTCCCTACCTTTTTTCAAGACCTAAACATAAAAAAAAATATATTTTTCCCCATTAAGCTTAATCTTTAATTTTTTTGGGGGGGTGGAGTTGAAAATATATAATTAGCTAACATGTTATTCGTCATATAACTATTATAAATCAATGTGTTCTTATGCTCATTTTTGCAGCCGTTACTTGTTTTATTTAAATTTTTTACTAAGAAAATAGTTTGAGCATTTTTTCGGTTGTTTCTTGCTTTATTTGCAATACACCTGTATTTTGATTTATGGCATTCTAATTTTATAGCAAGGACCTTCTCAAAAATCCTATGGCTTGCCTGTCCATTTGATCTATCACACACTACATTGATCCTGTATACTAATATAGCATTTATAATAATTTCTATATCAAATCAGCTGCACTCTCTATTTTAATTACTGCAGCTGATGCTCTTTGCTAATGTAATTTGTCACGCTAGCTTGATACATTTCATATTTTCTCTAATTTCCTCCCATATGCAGGCTACTCATTTATATACTTATTCTGCTCCATTTACTGGACTACCTATTTCCATCTTACTATTTTTGGAATGGACTGACTCATGCATGCCCTTCGAAACCTGCTAGTTCAATATATTTTACTAATACCTGCCCTTTCAAAATTATCCTTCACAAATAATCTGATAGCAAGCGAAGGGGCTTTTGAGATGGTCCAAAAACATGATAATATATTTCTTTGACCTGAAAAAAATATACAGTTTTTCTAAGGAAGCTCTTTTCTCCTCCATGCTTACTTTCATCAACACCTGAAGGACTTTGAGGTACTACAGCCCTTCATTTTTATGTGTTGCTGGGTCTAGAGTCTATTGTAGTCTAAACCTCTAGACCGTCATGTAGTAGTGCACCCTTTGTGTCATAAAAACAAGGGCTTGATTATATTATCTAGCCATTTTGGGTGAACATATTGATCAACCCACAATTGTTGTGCACAGAGTTATGTTAGTTTAAATGCTATAATAGCTAACAGCATGATATTATGTTGTTTTAGTTTTGTAGTTTACATTTTTGATTGATTGTTATTTGACCATCTCCAAAGTTTCTTTTCACACCACCCAGTTGCTTGCATGAATGCATGGAATATCCTTCTTTCTATATTTTATTTTCAACTTCTAGCATCAACGTGCATGTTTGTTTTTATGAAGCTTTGGGATAGTGCTTTATTTTTCTTTATGGCTTTTTCATGGATTGAAGCATGATTTGCATGGTTGTGAAATAAATGTTCAATTACGTATTTTGTTGTTATAGTGAATGATGTTTGCTGATGTTGTGATAGTTTTTTAAAAACAAATTTTAGGCTTTGTGGAACCTGCAATTAGCTATTTTTTATGTTAGCTTATGAAGTTAAATGTTTACTTTTTTTTCTTGTACAAATATTTTTTTGGGATACTTTTTTTTATTTTTATTTTTAGTAAAGTTCAGTGTTGCAATCCACTTATTTGGTTTACCACAACTGGTAAGGTTAATTAGTTTCGCTTCTTAAAATGACAAAATATTGTGAATAGCAAGTTTCTTGTTTCCAATCAATGCCTCATCGATCTGTCAGTAAAGTAAAGGAATTACTTTGAAAAATCATCATGAGAAGTAATTGACAAATAGATTTACTTTATTTCTTTGAAGGAAAAAAATATATTCCAATGATCCACAAGAGATAGATTTTTCCTATTCCTTCGTTTAAAATTATTATTTAAATAAAGTTTTTTTAATTTATCTATTTTTCAAGTATCAAATTTCATTTCTTTTTTTTCCCTTATACTAGTTTTTAAGTTTCTGAAACTTTATTGCTAACGAATAATAGAAAATTCTACAACTCATTTTTTGCTGAATATATTATCCTTGAGTGTCAAAAACTTTTTAAAATTCTTTATCTTGTTAAATTAATTGTTTTAATTATCATTTATCACAGTCTGTCATATTAAAATATTTACTTTATTTTATTCCCTAATTATTCATGATAATGTTTATTTCGATATAAAATTGCTTTAACAATTAGTTTTTCATATCGTTAAATGTTTTAGATTTAACTAAGTTAAGATTTTCAATGTAAATGTGGAATTTTCATATTTTGTCAAAGTTTAAAAACAAATAGCTGATTAACAGTGAAATTAGCCAATGGCTGTTGCCATCATGTCACAGATTTTCATAAATTTTTCTTTTATGGAAAAGCTCTTAATAAAAATGAAAAAAAAAAATTTTTGAGAATAATTAGATTAAAACTACGATTAGTTGGCCATTTTGATATTTAACTCAAATTAAAGAGAATAACTACAGATAGTTGTTTATTTTTCAAAATGTCTATACATTTTTCTTTCTTAAGCCAATTGTGGTGTTATTTGAAGGTTCTGGTGTTAATTTTTTGAGCCAATTTCGTGTTATTAGAAGAAAAATGTCAACATTCCGCTATTAAGCTTTTAAAATGTGTGCAATTGTTTATGTAAGTTTTAGTTTAGTAAGTTAAAAAGTTTTATTAAAATAATTTTTGAGAAATTTTTTTTGCCAAATTTCAAGAATTTTTAATTGGGAAGTAACAACTTTTATCACCTCAGTTTTTTTCTTCTTCATAATGTTAAATATCATATTTTTCAACATAAAAAAATAAAGATGGTGTTTTTAACACAGCAAAGCAAAATGTAACATTAAACTGAACATCCAGTGGCAGCAGCTCTAAAAATTTCTCAATATAGAAAATCAAAAACATATTTTCTTGACCTTAATTTTTTTTAAATATAAATCAATGAAACTTTTTAAAAACTTATATAAATATTTGTATAATTTTAATAGCTTAGTTACAAATTGTTGACATGTTTCTTTCTAATGACACCAAAGTTAAAGAAATAGATATTTTGAACATATGAGCCTTTATCTGTAGTTATGCCATTTTCTTAATTCTTGTTCAATTTCAAAATGGTTCCCTTATCGTAATTTTAATCCTCTATTATATTATAAAATTGTAATTGCTCGCTTTCAGTATTTGTGTGATATCAATATTATAAGTTTGGTATACTAGTTTAAAAATATAAATAAAATTAATTAGTGACTTCACACTCACTGTAAATGCCCTCATACGAATTGATTAATCGTTTACACATAATCTTCTGCAACACTTTCTTTTATAATTGGCTGCTGTCTGTTCTGTATTTCAGAAGCTATTGCGTGTGTCCAATTTTTCATTGGGCAGCTTTTATATTCGAACCTTATAGCTTTATAGGTATGTATACATCAAATTTGCGTAAGAGGAAATTTTTACCTCCCTCAAAACAAAAAATATTCATAATATATTACCCTTTTTTGTGGTCACTTCTTCGTGTTATCAATGCACTAAATTATTAAAAAGTAACGTTAACTATTTAAATTAAAGAGACTTTTAGACTTGAGTTTGTACTTGAGTTCGTTGCATATTTACATTTTATTGCTTATTTACATTTTATTGTGAATTAGCTGATCAGTTACAGGTTTACTTGAATCAATGCACATAGTTTATCTAGTTAACCATCAGTTGGATCAATCAATGCAATCATTTCACAAAATAATTTTAAACCAATGGTAAAAATGTTAGATTTCTAAACATACCTCTGATGTGAATACAAATTGTAATTAAATTTTAAAACATATATCTAATTAAATTAAATGTGTAGTAATTCAATCTGTATTCTACTTATACATTTTTGTGTGTTTTATATAATTGTAACATACATAATAACTAAAGTTCCTGCATCTAAATATAGTTTAGACAGTTATGTACGTTTAAAACCATCAATATTATCAAAAATACAACGTTTCCCTCTAAACATGCTTTGTTCCTCTCAATTTTTGAAATTTTTTGCTCGCAGTTTGATTTTTATGGTTATCATAGTGACTTTTTATTGGAGGTGATATTTGGGGTAAGGCTTTATAATAAAAGTAAAATAAATAGTATTTTTTATTATGCTAGTGAAGGACATTTTATTTATAAGATATACATTGATACATTTTGCAACAAGGATTTCCAAACGTATTTATTATCACTTTAATAAATGTGAAATTAGTGAATGATACTTTTAATAGTCATTTTATTACTCCATTTTGAAAAGAAAAACTTTTAAAATACTAGAAATTGTTGTTCTTTTTAAACTTCTCTTTAAAATACTTGTGCTATTAAGTTCAGAAATTAAAGTAAAAAGAATATTAATCGTGGCAGTGTTTTGTTTAATTTAATGTTAATAAAATAAAAATTTTATGATAATAGAAAGTCCAGTTTTGACAATTATGTTAAAATAAAGAGTGAAAATCTGATTTATACTTATAGTTTATTGCATAGCATTAGTCAAAGGTTAAAATTAAAAAACTTAATTTTCAAAATTGAAAATTATTTGATTTAAACATTTAACAGTTTGTCATTTATTTATATTTCCTTGTGCAAGATATCATGAATAGATGAAGAAAAATTTAAAATTTTAAATAACCGTCAAAATATGTACGATAACAAACCAGGTTAACATATTTAACTTGGAAATAAAATAAACAGATGTTCCTTTTTGAAATGGTAATAATAATATATCCACATATTATTTTTTACCAGCCAAGAGACACAACATTAGACTAAAGTTGAACAAATTATTGTTCAGTTGATTCAGTTCTTTAAATAGAGAAATATAACTTTATCTCTAGTTTGTTTGCAAAGTTTTCTTCTCTAAATAACTTCTTAGTAAGAAAACTAATATTTCATCAAAAGATTAAATGTTTATTTCTCATATAATATTCCAATGCCAGATGTTATATTTTTAAAAGGAAATTATTTCACACAGTATATGGATATGTAACACTAATATTGCATATAATAGATGCTTTAAATGCATTTTGAAAACAATAAAAATAACTAATACTTATTATTTTGAGATTACTTGCTTTGCTTGTCATTGCACTCTATTTTAAATCTGTTAGGAATATTTTGTTTAATTTGTTTTTGGCAAATTTTGGCTTTCAGGCAATTACAGACTTATCTGTATATTGTAAATCTATGAACTATGTTTAGATTCAGGAACTCTGATGATGGCATTGTTTTATTTCCATTTCTATATAGCAGTTTTTTTTTACCTGAAGCCATCTAATTCATGTGGACTACTGTATTCCAGGGCTTTTTGAATATTAAACTTCGAAATAATTTACATTTTTTGATGTCTATGTGCACAAAAATTAGAATTTTGCATAGGCTTTCTTTCAGAAAAAAGTTGTGATATTAGAAAACAAAAAAGCTTTCAACTAGCATTTAAAATTGTAACAGATGTATTTTTCATAAGTGATGGTTGTATCTTTTTTATTTTCAAAGGTATCTCAGTTTATTGAAAAATTATCTATATTATTTTTTTAAATTTTAAATTACATTGTTTGTAAGGTGTAATGTACAACATTTTTACTTGGTATGAGCTGACTAATATGGAAGATAATATAAATTTGTCAAAAACGAATTTGTGAAATATATTTAAAATCCAAATAATCAATTGAATAATACCTTTGCAGAAAGAAATCTAAATTAAAATTTTTGAAAATTGTATATTTGCATATATGGGTACTTTTTTACTCAAAAGAATGAGCTTTTACTTTCTAAAATACTTGTGGGACTTTTAAAAAAAATAGCTTTGTAGCTTTGCTGTTCATAAAATTGCAAAACTAAAAAAGGTATACTGTATCGAATACGGTGTATAATTGGTTATGAAATTAATCAAGTATAAATGATCATTCCTGCACTTTGAAAAGATGGTCACGGAGAGAATTTTGTCTGCAACTATAAAACTTTATGCAGAAACATGGTTTTGAGCCGTGCAATTTTTCCAGAATGTTTTAATGCTATTTGAATTAATATTTTTCTCTTTTAATATTTTTATTACAAATAGATTTATAATAAAAAGGCAGGTTTAATTTTTCGTATTCTTTCTGAATATTTATATGCATTTATTACTCTTCACCAATTATACAGAAATCTATTGGAAAACATATTTCAAAATTGTATCTATATGCAATTTAAAAATTTTTTGTACACAATTCAAGTTTTGCAAGGTTTTGAGAGTGATTATTTATAAACTTTGATTTTTATATCAAACTTTTATTATTTTTTTATGGAACTTTAATTCTAGTGTTTATGCAGTTAAAATTGAACTTTGACATTTAAAATGTTATTACATCAATACCCCAATACTTTGTGACCTTTTGCTAGTTTATTTTCGCTCAGAGACTGGATTTTAGACAGTATTGGACTCATTTTCTGATTGCAATTTTGTTTAATTATAATCGAACGACTAATATTAGAGATACTGTTATAAAGTACATATATAAGCTTTAGTTCTAGTATTTGTAATATATTCTTGATCTCACTTTAACAAAAAGATTGAATTTCTATAAGATTTTAATTAAAACATTTAAATATTTAAGGCTTACTCTTACTCATGAAACCTTTGGTTTGTCACCAAGTTATACACCTTTTTGCTATTTTACTCACTTTCTAACTATCTTTAGCATCGGTGTTTTTTGTTAAAGCCTTACAATGAACTCAGAAATTTATATTACACGTGAAATTTCCAACAATCACAATCTTCTCATTTGAAATCTTTCACCTTTATTTGTTATCACTCTCCTAACATCTTTAAACTTTAATACAACACTTCAGATTCATCTGTATTTGATCTGTTTCATCTTTCTTAGTCTCTGCTTTATATTATGATGGAAATGTCTTTTTTGGGGAGTTTAGTTTAGCATCATCTTTAGTATATAGTTTTATGTACCACCAAGTAAACAAAAAAGAATGAATGATCAGTCACAAAGATAAACTAATGCTGTTATTGCAATTTAATTTCTTAAAAATGTTTTAACCGATTAATGTCTAGAATCCCTTTTTAGGAACAATTTTTAATTTGCATCAAAAGTTTTTTAACATACATTTTACATAAATTATTTTTAAGTATGCATTATTTTTTAATTTTAGGAAGAGCATAAATCAAGGCAGTAGTAGGAAATGTATATTTTAATTTCTTAGCCAGACTCTAAAGTATGTTTCTTTTTTTTTGCAATATTAATGAGGGAAAGGCAAGTTTTTTATTAATTTATTAATGAATGCTCGCATTCAACACATTGTTTTTACGTATAATTTTGAAATTTTCAAAATTTTTAAATTTGTTAGTGGTTTTTGAATTACATAAAAAACTTTAATGTCTCTTCTACCGATCATTGATGTAAATAAATAATTTCCAGTCGTTTTTTTTTTTTTTTTTTTTTTTTTTTTTTTTTTTTTTTTTCAAAAAATTTTTTCCAGCTAATTTTTTTACATTTTTATTAGTGTGCAAAATAATGGGATAGAAAACTCGAAAACAAGAATGCAATGACTGTTAAATAAAGAAAAGCAGAAACATATTTAAAATCTAAAGCTTACAAATTAATTCTGTTTTTAAGGAACAATAGTGATTTAATAATAAATTTAAACCTTATCCCAGTTTATTATTACAACTTTAATTAAATTAAAACTTTTTCATTGCATATTAGGCTAAGTAATTTTACGTTCTTTCTAGAAATCTAGAATATTTGTTTTCCCTAGTGTTAAAAAATTGCAACTTGGACATTAATGAGATAGTCTAAAATTTTATTCAGTTTTAAATTTATTACTTTTTTATTTTAATTAGTTTTCATTAATTTAAATATAAAAAAAAATGAATGTGTCTTTAATAAAAATTGGTGTCATTAATAAAAATTGGTGTCATTAATAGAAATTGGTGTCATTATTAAAAAGAAACCTTTCTTTTTTTTGCACACAAATCTATTATAAACTTCTTTTTGTGTTTTTCATTATTTATGTTTATTTTAAAAATCTTTGTTGGTGTAGTAGAAAGTTGAAAATCTAATGAATAAAAAAGTCATCTATTTGTGTAGATTGAGTTTAAATTGGATTTTGTTACATTTTATTACTTTTTACTTTACAAGTATCTGAGCATCAAAACATAAATAAACACTTTATTTTAAGTTGTTTTGGCAAATTTTTTTAAAGACTTAAAAAATCAAATAAATGTAAGAAATTTCACAGTAGATACAGACTTACTTTTCTGTTTAACAAAACACTGGAAAGTTTGGAAATAAATGTAAAGAAAATTAAAATGAAAATTTTTTGTAAATATATAATCAAATAAGCACTTGGTTATAACCATATTAATAATATATAATCACTTGGATATCACTCACCAAAACAAAATCTTATCTACAATTATATGTTTCCTTGTCCCTTTTGTTGAAATTTATTTTGTGAAGTTGAGTTAAAATTGAAACCATTAAAATTTCCCTAAATAAAGATTTCCCTTGCTGTTTAGTTAAGTTTGTTTAGTTGACATTTTAATATGTTTGCTAGAATAAGATCAACCCTACCTCCTCTACGATTTGCAATTTTAGCGTACTAAGCATGTTTTAATTTGATGCACTCCTTATTTTTCCCTGATGCATGTGTATAACTATGTTTATTGCTTTTTATTTTATTATGTTTATAAGCTGCACATCACTTTTAATAAGAGTTATAATGAATTAATTTTGTATTTCAAGTAAAAAAATGTAGCTGATATTAATTTTTTAAAGATATTTGTTATTATTGGTAGCGTTTTTTTTGTTTGTTATTATGCCATCAAATTGTTTGTTGCAAGAAAGAGGCAGAGAAAAGTGATAGGGATAGAAATTACAATGAATGAATTCTTACTTTACAGTTCTTTGTAAGGCTGGAAAACATAAGAAAGTGTTTCACCCAGAAGGGCGGGCTGTTTATTCTGGAAGAGTTTAGTAAGTTGACATGTAGTAAAAACATACCTATAATCTGTTTCTTTCTTCTGCTTTCCATAAAACCCCACCTGGGATATTTTCTTAGACCCGTTGTCTGTATTTCGTTTTGCTGCATTTTCACATCCATCCAGTCTGGCCGCTGACCTTGCATGTTCTCGTGTTCTCCTTCTTCCTTTTGGATTGGAATGCCTGCATCTTGTGTTGTGATGCTATATTTAAACAAAAAATATTTCTTTTACATTACTCAACAACTGTTCGTCTTTTATTACTATTACCCTGGTTTGTGTGACATATCTTCTCTACAAATTTTACTTTGTGCACATTTTCAAGCATTTTTCTCTTTTTGTTCTGTGGCGTCTAATTTGTGTGTTGTCTCTATTCTTGTTATTGGACACCTTTTTATGAAACTTTTTTGGTAAAATTTCACTTCCTAAGAAAAATTTCCATTTAAAAATTTTCTTGTAGAGAGAAAAATAATTAAATAAATGTTCACATTATATTTTATTTAACTTTGCTAAATAATACATAATTCAACTAAGCATGTTCAAAAAAAGATAGGTTTTTATTTGATTATTTTGCCCACTAACAAAATAACTGTTTTTAACTGTTCAAAAACTTAGCAATATTGGTATTATGTAAATTTTGGTGTTTTTTTTCTTTCTGAAATTTCTTAAAATGTTATTTTTTATATTTGGAAGTTTTCAGTATATAATAATTTTCTTAATCAAAAGTAGTTGAAATTAAATATTGAAATCTGAATTTAAATATTCTTCATTTCATATTAAATAACTTAAATGTTAATAATAATTTTTAAAAAAATTTTTTTTACCTTTCAAAAAACAATTAAGATAAAATTAGAATATTATTATCAAATATAATTTGCTGTCAATTTTTATGAAAATTATTAATTATTTATTATCTTATTAGTTATTTATTATCCCATTAATAATTTCTGAAAGCTTTGACACGTGCATAATTTTCTTATACAGCTCCTTAACATAAGAAGATCATAAGCTTTAAAAAGACCAAGATATTTGTTGTAATTTCTTGATTCAGATTTATGTCTAAACTTATTTAAGAAAAACAAAAATTTTACTGAATGATTATGGTACACAAAATTCATATTAATAAATAGATTAAATTCTTGAAAGGAGAAACTAAATTCAGCTGACACAAAGTCAACACATTTGCTAAATTATCCTATGTAGTTTTTTAAAATAAATTTAAGATCCAAGACAATTTATTATGAAAATTAAATAAAAATGTAACATCCAGAATACTTAAATCTAAACTAGAGCTTATTGATGTTATTTTTTGTCTGTTTCTCCCTCCCCACATTTTTTGCTATCATTATATTATTTTTAGTATCTTTTATTCTCAGTGATGCTTTCTACCTTGACTAACCAGATTTTTTTATAAATTTGTTAGTTTCATAATTTGTGTTTTATTATGTTGATTATTTATTCAACTATTTTCATATAATTTTTAATTCACTACAAATGTTACAGACAGATAATGATTCATAATGTTATAACGATTAATATTTGCAACCTCTCTTTATTTTCATTATCATTTGTACTTGAATAAATTATGAAACTCTAGTTTGTATTTTTAGCTTAGTTTTGTTGAAAGCAGGAGTTTGATTTAAAAGAAATTTTCTATTTTGCAATTACATTTTGTGTCACAAAGTGTTTAGGAAAATGGGCAATGCGTTACATTACATCATTCTAGTTCATAGAAAGCTATATTTTTTATAGATAAAAAAGATCAAAAAAAAATTTTATTTACAAAAAAGTTATTATCTAAAAATAATTGAAATAAAATAATAAAATAAAATTTTAAATAAAGGAATTTAAAATCTAGATGCCAATTATATTAGCATATGCTGTTTAAATTAAACAAATAAGCAAAATAAATGGTTAATAATTAAAGACTAAGTAATGCTTTAAGACAATGCAATATGTGTAATGCTGTTCGCTTAATAAAAAAAAAACTTGTTTTTGTGTGATAGGAAATCTTAGCTGTTTTAAAGTTAGTAGTTTGATTTATTATTTCAGCCATTTAACTGGTATTTATTTATATATTTTTAAATATGATTATTTTACTAAGTTAATATGGGTTACATTGAGTTATTGTTTACATATTCAAAAGAAATATATCAATGAGAATGAATATTAGATAACACCAAAAGCGTGTCATATTTTTAAATGAGAATAAAGATATTAATTGCTTAAAAATTTCTAAACTATTAATTATTTTGGATGAGTCAGTTTACTTTAGTTAAATGTCAATTTTCTATTGAAATTGAAATTTGTTGATAGTGGGAGAAGTTTACTTGTTTTGTGTTTAAAAGAAAAACTTAAAACTTATTTTTAATAGTTGAAAATATTTAGTGGTTAGATTGGCTCGGTCTTCAAGATTTTAAAAAGCTAAAATTGTTTTATAAACAGATTTCTAACTTAAAGCTATCTTACAGTTTTCTTTTACGTTTTATAATTTTTTATTTTTTGTTGACGTTTGTTTTAATTTTAAACAGCATTTTTTTTTTCTAGATTTTCTCTAAACATTTGTTCTCTTCATTATTATTTCTTATTTTGTTTTCTTTTTTAAGCTAAGTTCAATTACCTTTGAAATTTTAATATTCTCAATTTTGTTTACATCTTTCTCCAACTTTTCAGAAATTAAACAATTTATCATATATCATAAAAGAAAAGCACTGAAACTAATTGTGTCTGAATTGTAAAAGTAAAATAATTTTCATATCTTAAGTTAAAAGGAAAACTTTAAAAATTCAAAAAAAAAAAAAAAAATGTTAGTGATATGTGTTGGTACATCAACAAACCAAATTCATTTATAGATTTTCATCATTGTTTTTCACACCTAAACTAATGACATTTTTAATGATTTGTGTACTTGTCATTTGAAATTATGATTTTTTATTCATCATTTCACTGTATTAATTCCATAAGTCTTTCAGTGCATATGGGATTGATGCTTTTTTCCAAATTAGATATGTTGTATAGATTATGTCTATTGTAATAAATCTCTTAGGCTTCATCTAAGTTGGAAAAGCTTTTTCTTAAGTTTCAGTTACTTGCTTTTCTTATGACATAATTCATTATGTAAAGTTTTCTTCATTGCTGGTTTAAATTTTTGTCATCTTTGTACTGCAATATTCAAAATGTTGAAAACAGCAGCAATTACAGGCTTATCATAATTTCATTCTCAAAAGGGGTTTTTATCATTTAAGAATTTTCTGTATTCTTAAATTATGTCACTCATTTTTCATAGTTGTTTCGGTTCTACTGACATTTTATTTTATTGTTTGATCTGTGACAAAGTGGTAAAATAAAAGTTCAGTTTAGAAGAAAACTTTTTACTTCAACTATTACTTGGTTATCAATGTTTGTACAGAATTTTTGTATCTAAATTTTAATACATACTTGATATTGTTAGAGGAATTATTCTTTCAAAACGATTTTCTTTTCTTTTTTTAAATTTTTTTTTCAAACCTTATTTTTGTAATTAACTTTTTTTACCCTACTCTTTTTCACTTTTTGCAACATTGTTTTTCACCCTCTTTCTTGGAATGATAATTTTTAAACTTAAAATTGCATGTTTCTCTGCTTTCTGTGTTTTATAAGTTTTTAGTATAAATTTTTAATCTGCAATATATTTTTGTTGAGTATTGAACCTTTGTAAACTGATTGCTTTTATGAGACATGTATGGTGTATATTAAGAAGTTAGTTATTGGAAGTAAATTCAGTCTCATGTAAATGTATTTGAAATAAAATTATTTTAACACTGATTGTTTAAAATATTGCATCCTTATAACTGCAGCTATTAGTTCTAACTAAGCTTTGTATTTAAAATAAAATATATATTTAATGCCCATATCATTACATGCTGTTTAAAAAAGATAGTCTGAAGCCTTTTCTTATATCTTTAATTATATTTCTCATCACAAAGAGAATAATTTTAAGTATTACAGTTGGCACTAAAATTGCAATAATGTAAAAAAAAATGGTTATAGTTGAAGATTAAATTTTATGCTTTTAAAAAGTATGCAATGCAGTGAGTTTTTAATTATGTTCAAGTATTTTTTTTTTTTTTAATGTCATACATTTTTATGCATTTTCACAATTTTAAAATTCACAACTCTTTTTTTTTTGTTTTAAAATGAGCCATTTAAATCCATGTCAATTGTTAACATGAATATCCAACCTTCCTAATCTTTTTATTTTCTGTGAGGAATTTAGGGAGGGGGGAATGTTCAACCTGGGAAAAATTTTACGAAATTTTATAGTTAATAATGAATTTTTATTCTTAATTAATTTTTCTAGTTTTGTCCTGTTATATTAATCCTCATTTCTATGCCAAAAGATACAAATTAATGAATTAAAAATGCTCAATGAAAACAAATAAATAAATGATTGAAACTTCTAAGTCTCTGGTTTCAAAGAGTCGGTTTACTTTATATCGCAGCTACTTAATATTGATTTTTATCATTTAGAAAGATAAATTTATATAATTTATAATAAAGATATGCTGCATTTATTATTAAAAGCATCGAACATTAAAGCAATATTTACATGTAGATTTTTATAGGATCCCATGTATTTTTATTATCCTGGTTTTCCCACTTTTCGAGAAAACATTTCAAAAGTTTTATGAAAATAGAAGATTTATATTTCATTAAAATTTAATTTTTTACAAACTATTGATTATTTAATTATAATGTTCACTTTAAATATAAAAAAGGAAACATTACAATCATAAGTATTAATAATAAAATGACATTTAACTATTTTCTCTGAAAAGCCTCACATTTTTCTCTATTTGTTACTCTGTAAAATCTGATTAAATAGTAAAATTAAAAACATTTCTGCATGTAACTATACATTTAATGTTGCATTTCTAAATATTTATATTTTCTATGAATGGGCATGTGCATGATTAGTGTTCAATTTTATGTGTATTAAATTTTTAATAAGTGTAATGTTTCATTTCCATTAAAATTCATCATGTAAAAATGCACATCAATAAAATCTAAATCTAATGACTATATTTACAATTTAAAAAGCATTTGAAACTCATTCAAAATTTATTGCTTAATGTTCTATATTTAAGTGTTACATTATTTTAATCCATATAATCATGTTAATATATTTTTAATTTTAGACCCCAAAACAAGACAATTAGTCCAGCGAAAATATAAGTCATCTTTGGTAAGATCATTGGAATTTTGTGATTTAGTATTTTTTCACTGCAAATTTATGTAACAGAGTTGTGTTTAAATTTAAGACAAATAATTTTAAATGTTTTAATATTTTTAATATTTAAATGGAATTGTACAAATATTATTAATTATTTTAAATAATAAAATTAAATAATAAAATTAAAATTATTTTACTTGTTAATGTTTTATCTTGTTATAGAGGCACTAATATTATATTTGTAATAAAGTTGTACAGTTTTTAATCCCCAACAAAAGACAACATTTTAAAGGTACTGTCAGCAATTGGCTACTTATTCAGATTAAGCAAGTAAACTTTAATATATACTACTATATTTTATGGTAAGGCATTTGGTTAATCCTTTGTTAGAAATTTAAATAAGATTCATAAAATCATAAAGAAAATGATGCACTCTAACACAGATGAGACACTAAAAAAAAATTATAAACAGTAGTTTTTTTCCCTTTCACTATAATAAAAAAGCAATTATTAATTTGTTTACATTTTTAGTATTGTTCATTGAAAATTTTTCCATTTATTAGAAGTTTTAAGAATGATTTTCATTCGTTAATATTGTGTTTTTTTATTTCTCATGAAGGTAAATTTTGTGCAAGTTTGAACAATTAAATTTATTCATAACCATTTTAAGTTTACACTCTTAGTATATAAATTTTTTGCATAAAGTTAAAAGTTCGCTATTTTTTTCTTTATTTCACTTTTAACAACTATTTTAGATTTAAAAAGATTAAATCTAGTAATTATTATGAAAGGTGATTATTATGAAATATAAAATTAAATATTTAGCATTGTCAACCAAAAAAAAAATGGACAGCTGACAGTTTAGGATGTATAAAAATGCAGGATGTATTAGGATGTATAAGGATGCCCTACAATTAAGAAAAATGGATTTTCATTGTTAAAAGCCCATGAAATAATCCAATTACTGCATGAGATATTTCCTGGTCGAGTACTCTAATATTTTGGTGATCAAAATCGGCTCCTTAGTTTGTGTGAACACCATTGGGTTTCTCTCTATGGAAAGTCAGATGTATGTTAACAAGCCCACATCCACCAAATCATTGATCAATGCTGCGTCAATGAAATTTAGCCACATTTCTGCAAAAAGGTCATGGAAAATTTAAACAAAGGAATGCTTATGGGCCAGCAAAGCGGTGACGGTCATTTGCACGATGTGCTATTCTATATATAACCTTATCCTATGTACTTTATGTTTGAATTAAAATACATATATAAGTGAGAGAAAAAAACTGATTTTTGTATTGATTTCAAATCTTGTCTAAATTTTTAGACAACCTTCAGTTAAAATTTCCTTGGAAATGGTTATTTAAAAGTTTATATGTTTAAAAATGTAAGTTAATTTAAAAGTTATTTTGGTTAAATTCTTTTTAATTTCTTTCAAAAATATATTTAATTTTGAATATTTATCTTTTCTTCAGTTAGGAATTAAATTTGTTTACAAATATGTTTATACAAATGCCACTTTTACATATGATCAAATTCATCATCTTTGAAGTTTTGAATCACTTTTAAAAAATAATACATCAATTCAAGCAGAGTTATAATAAAAAAATTTTAATCATTTAATGTGTGTTTAATTCAAATATGTTTTAAACTCATTTTCGAATTTTTATTTTGTAGAATATAAACTTTTTGAATAATATTTGTTTACTGATTATAGGCCTTTCAACAAATTTTTTCAAAAATATAAAAATTTATTGTGCTAAAATGCACCAAACTTAAATGTTAAAGAAAATTAATTTCCAAGAAACCTGCTGTTTTTTGGAATCATGAAAGCTTATTGCTTTTGAATATTCTACTAAGCAAGCTTGTGCACATGATAAGACACTTTTTAACCATATAATTTTATGGTATTGTATTCAAGGTTTAGAATCATAAATGGAACTCTTTTTATCTATGAATGCATTTCATTATTATTACCTAATGAAAACATTTTTATATTATGGTATTGCATTGAAGATTTCAAAGCATAAATGAAGCTCTTTTTTACTTATAAGCGTATTTTAGTTGTATTAATAAAAAACATTTTTTCCTTTTAAATGACATTGATTTTGCCGAAAACAAAACAATTGTGTTCAAATATAATCAAGTCTGTAGGAAATTAAATTACTTTTTCTCAATAAAAAAGTTTATTTTTGCTTAGAATAAATTTATTTACACTTGCCTTTTTTTTATTCTCTTAATACCTAACAAAATGGAAAATATTTTTGACAATGGAACTACTCAGTAATTTGCAGTAGTTTTGTAAATTGTTGTGCTTTAACTTTTTAGTTGATAGCTTAGTAGATTTTTGTTCTTAATCTTTCCCAACAATAGTTGGTAATAAAAGTTAAGTTTTGTTGAATAGTTTCAAAAATAACCTTCAAAGTTATTCTACCTCTTTAAGAAGAAGGGCTGGATGTGTAGCGTTTTTAAAAAGTGCCTAAAGGTGCTTATTTTCGATTTTTTAAAAGCCCTCAGAGATGCTTTTTTCATTGGATGTTTTTAAAAAGTGTTCAATTTTTCCTTTTCCAAAATGAAATATTTTTTCTTTACCGTGTCCATTTTCACTATAAATTATGCAAAAAAGCGTGGTTTCACATTGACACAATTAATTCAACCACAATCCATTTCGGTGTACCATCGGTTCGTAGCCCATGAAAGCGTTAATCATTTTACATGTTTAATGAAATACTTACGGGTCCGCATGTACATATAATGAGCAGAATTCAGCAGGAAAGATTATTGCACTCTCGGGTGTAATTCTGTTTCATTTTGTAAGAGATGATCAATTTCAGGCTTCAACTTCCCCTGAGATCCAACATAAAACTTAATTAAAAGTCCAATAAAAAAATTTGTCTAATTTTTGCTGATCACGGCTACAACTAAACATTGCCAATTTTTTTTCTCACAGCAAAAAAGAATTTAATTTCTTTCTTTATTTCATATTTTAATTTTATTTATGATTTTAATTTTATTTTTTGAACTTGACTTTGGGATCATTCATTAATTACGTATTTTCATGTGCAATCAAAAATAACAAAGCTTCATCATCACAAAATTTCCATCTCCTTTTTATACGTTTAATTTAATAAAGATAAAAATTGATCAAGATTTGTAAGATTTTTATCTGAGGGACCATCCACTAATTGCATAAGAATTTTAAAACATTGTTTTTCTTCTTATATATTTTATTTATTACTATTGTATCACTTTTAAAATTTTTAGTGCTTTTTTTAATTTGTTTAGGAAAAAACTCAAAAATATTTAGAGGCAAGATTTTAAAAAAGTATGAAGTGAAGGACTTTCACTATTTTAAATGCAGTAAAAATCTTGTCGTTCAGATTTGTCATTCCAAAACATCTTTAATTCATCTCTTAATGATTTGGTTTAAAAATAATTGAAATGAGAAAAATTCAATTATCTCAGATTTGTTAAATATTATGAGTGTGGTGTAGACCTTATAATAATTTACTTATAACAAAAATATTTAGTTTCAATACTTATTGTAATTACATTTCAAAATTATTGACATTTTTTTTAATCATTTCATTAAGGAAATACTGAATGAAATAAAAAGGGGCCATTCAATAATTTACATTTGTAATATGAATTTACTAAAGTTTTCTTAGTTTACTTAATTCTTCAGACATCTTTATAAATTTGGTGTAATTAATAATATTAATCTTGTTAATCTTTTGTTGAATATGCTTTTATAAATAACTTTTATTTAAATATAAAAAATGCACTTAATAACCTTTTTAAATAATGTTAAATTAATTATAATTTTGAATTAAATGTTTTTACATAATTAAAGTAATTATTAATTTAAAAAATAGATCGAGTATATGCATATTGCATATTGTTTATGTAAAAATGAAGAACTTTCATCAATAGGCAAAAAAATTTTTATCAGTGCACATATCCTAATTATATTTTTTAAAAGTGCTTAAAAGGTGTTTGTTTTTTGTTGAAAAATTTGGCTACGCACTCTGGAGGGTTTTATTTTGATATTAGATTCTGTTTCAGTTGCTAAGTTTACAAAATCTATTAAATATCAAACATGCATTTATGTATCTTAGTAAATACATAAATGTTACAGGCATTACAAATGTTATAAAAAATAACCTTGTATCCGCTTATATCAATTAAAAAAAATTGCATTAGACCTTTGAGTGGAGATTCGAATGTTTTGCAGCAAGTTAATTCTTAATTTTTCACGTAGGCTCCTGAAATATGTGTAGCAATTCTTCGTATTCTTGGTGTCCATGTGGCTAAACGTCCAGCAGGATGCCTCAATTGATATTCCAGCACTATCATACTCTCAAATATGCACATGCTGTTATGCACATGTTGGTGTCTTTTGTTGCTTGTAAAGTAGTCTTTATTTACTTTGTTTTTGTTTTTAAAATGTAGTCTGTTTTTAATTTATTTTATGTTTTTTTTTGTTATTAGAATGAATGTCTGTCACTATATAAATCCCATTTTAGAATTATTAAAAATATTTGTTTGCTATTATTGGATGTTTTGCTATTTTGTTTGCTTTTACTGCTAAAGCTATAAATTATAATTTATTGTTTGTTTTTTTTTAATTCTGTATGCATATTTGTTTCATATTTTCTGAAGTTTTCCTTGAGATATATTATAATAAAAAATAAAGCAAAAATTTTTCTCTATCACTATATTATATTAGATAAAATATAACGTTTAATTAATAAGGCTGATTTTTAAAGAGAATTATTGAAGTAACATTAAAATTAATTTAAAAGACGTGAATGACAAAAACAAAATTGAAGTCTCTTGTAGTAAATGAATTTGACTTAATGTCAGAGTGAGCGTTTAAAATCGCATGATTAAAATTGTTGTTCAAGTCGCATGATTTTTTAAAAAAATTATAGTATATTTAAAAACAATTAATTTAAACAAGCTGATTTTTTTTACAATTAGTAAGTGTAAAATTTTTTTTGTATAATACAGTTAATAAATACATTCTTTAAAAGTTTTTTTAAAAGTCTGATATCAGTGATATTGAGAGTTCTTTACTAAGAAATAATGAATGAGATATTTAGATAAATTATTATATTTGCATGTATATTCCTTTCATTAAAAAAAAGCATTGAATTAAATAAACTGACTATTTTAAATAAATTATTTATTTAAATAAATTGATTTTTTTAAAATTATTATTTTTAGTATAAATATTTTTTAAGCAATATAATTAGAAATACATTATTTAGGGTGCGATTTTTTAAAAAGTTTTATTTCCTAATGAAGACTTCTAACTGAAAAACAATAAAAGCGATATGCATATAAATATTTAAATTTTCAAATTGGCTGAAAATAAAAAAAGGGGACTAAACATGGATAAGAGTGCCATGAAATTTTTTAATTATAAATTTATTTTCAATGTTAGTAAAATAATTTGTGCACACAAAACATTTTTAATTATACCCATTTTTAGTTTGTCTATATTTAACAAAGTAACTTTAAAATTTTTTTTTTCAGTTATGTGTTCTGGTCTAAACTAAACTCTTCATAAGATAAATTGACAAATAGTCTCCCAATCTTAACAGGTTGAAAGATTAGGTTAAAAAAAAATTGGTTTAACTTTAGCCACGAGATCAAAATAAAATTGTGGTGTGGTCATTCCATACTAATTCTGCCACACAGTGTCTGTGATCTTAATATCTCAAGAGATTTCAATGTATTATACTTCGAAAGTTATTTTAACTGTCCATAAAGAAAAGAATTAATTTTTAATTAATAATTTTTTCTCTCATAAGAATATACCTAAATATCTGTTTTATAAGTGTAAATTTTAAAGTAACGGTAGGATTTAAATAATGCAATTATTGGATTGCTTGATATTTTTTGTTCTTAATAATGCCCGACTTTTCCTAAAAGTATAACAGTGACCTTAGGAATACAAAAATACTAAATATGTTTGATAAATAATTACTTGATACAATTCAGTGTTTTATAGTGAATGTGTAATATTATGCATGGAAGTTCCCCCGCTAGTTTTATTTCTTAATTTATTTTTATTAAGTTATTTGTTTGCTAATTTTTAAATTTTTTCTTCAACTCAACCAAAAACTTATTATTTATGTGCATGCTTTAAGAAATTTTGAAAGAGTTCAGTAAGCAGGTTTGTTATAGGTGTGTTGCATGTGACAGAATACAGCATCAATTTTCGTATAAATGCCTAAGGTTAAAAGCATCAAGTTGTAACTATCGTTTTGAAAATGCGTTAAATAGAAACCATCAAAAAAAGTAATAAATATTAAAAAATCTTTGAAAAGTTGATGATATGCAGAAGAAAATAATCAATTCAATAAATTATCAATTTAATCAAATTAAGATTAAGCAAAGAGATAAAAAGTGACAGAATAAAGATTTTATTTAAATTATAAAAGGTATGATGAAAAGATTTAACAAATATTTTAGCCAAAATTTTGAATTCAATTTCTTATTTTTAGTTACTAATTGATAGTATTCTTTTTTATATCGTGATATCTTTTAACTCATAATACTATAAGTGCAGTGTAAAATGAAATAACATAGTAATGCTACATTTATATATTTTACGTAACATATTTTGCAGTTATTTCATCAGTTTTACTAATATAAAGTTGTTTATTATATTTTGAGTTTTAGTTTTTTGTGCTTTATCATTAAAAAAGACATAGTAATGAGTGATCAGGCTGTAGAAAATTTACCTTTTCAATCTTGTATACAAACCGTACCACTGGGCTATTTTATTTATATTTTCAGCAGTAACATTTTTATTTAAAGGCTATGTTTAGTAAAAAGAAGAGAAAAAAAACGCACTCTCAGTAATCAATCAGACCCCCATATTTAAGTGGTCAAGAATTAGTTCAAAAAAGGAGGCTAAGAATGTTAAATTTTTCACTGAATTTGTAATTTTAACTGTCTGGACTAATTATTTCTCATATCTAGAGATAAATAATTAAGGAAAATGATAGAAACAATCCCTTACACAATTGAGATGACATCTTAGTATGTAAAATTATTATAAGGTTAGTATCTAAATATCTTATTATTACTACCATGTGTTTTTATTGCATACTGGCCATAATATTCACCTACATATGCCTGCTAATATCAAAATTTACAAGACATTAAGTTTTTGTATTCCATTAGTTTTTAAATTATTTCTGAAAATGATATAATTCAAGCTGTATAATACATTGCATTTATACAAAAAGTAAGATAATAAAATATTTATAACTAGTTTGGTATTTTTTATATTCATTTAAAAAATATATATTTTGTGTTAAAAACATAGGATTATTTTGCAGGAATAGACAAACATTTAAAGTGACTCAAAAATAATACAATTAAAAACCTAGAGCTTTCTCCAAATTAGGGGAAAATATTTATTTGAAAATTTTTTTGTTTGTTAACTTGAAACATTTCTTCTAGGCGGACCAAATATGTTACGCTGTTTTATGTGTTTTTTCTTATATCGCGGCTGGAATCGAACAACGAAAAAGAGAAGCTGCTAAAAGGCTTATTCACAGTGAAGGATCATCTCCAAAAAGCACGATTCCAAGACTTCCAAAGAAAAGCTGACTTGTGCTTTATGTCTATTGGGTTTTTATCTAATTCTCTATGCAACTGCTTCAAGATGAGTTTCTCTCTACTGCAGTTCATAAAAAGATATCTCTATACTCTGTGAGGCCGTAACTTTCGGCAGACTATTTTTTACTTCCAATTATGAATGTACTTCTCTTTACTGAGTTAAGTGCATGAAATAAGATAAATATGCAATATTAATTAAATACATGTACTTTTGCCAAATGCATAAGGGATTAATTGCGATATAGAATATATTTGTGTTTGGCTCCTCAAAGTCATAATTTTATACCTTTGTAGAACAGTTTATTCATTAACTGTGTAGATTTTGCTCCTCTTGGCAAGTGTAAATAGTCAATGAATGTTATCATAAAGACTATTCTTACTTTATTAACGTTCCAGTTACTGAACCAATCCTAATATGAGAAGGAAGATGATTGTTAAAAGTGCCTATCTATTTGTGTCATAACAAATTGTGTATTTGCGATCAGATGCAGTTGGATTTGTCTTTTTATAGTTTTTTAATTGTTTCAGGCTTTATCGATAAATATTTTAAAATATTAATAGTTATTAACAAAAAAAATTTCATGTAAAAGTTTTTCTTTTATTAGAGAAAGGTGATGTTCAAAATTTCCTTTAATTTTCTTAAAATGAAACTCTCCCCATAAACATAGTTAATTTTACTATGTAATTATTAATGAATCAATCGGTGGCATTATAAAGATTTGTTTCACTTAATGGTAAATTGCATACATTTGTTTCTATGGTGCTTGTGAGAAAATGGAAACAAATATACTCTGTACAAGCTGGTAAAATAATGCATTTAATGTCCATGTAGCTACTGGAGAGGTCTGCTAATGCCATTACTTAACTCATTAAAAACTTTAATCATCATTTAAAAAATATGTTTTAAGTATAAATTATTTCTTTTTAATGCATACAGTAATTTAATATAAGTTGGTTACTTTAATCATACTAGATAATTTGAAACTTTAATAAATAACAAGATGAATTTTTTAAACTGATAAACTTCTATTGTTAAATTATATCAGCTGCATGTTCTTCAAAGGAAACAAAAATGATGATGATATGCTTCAATCCGTGAAAAGAAATATATTTTCTTTTATGTACAAAAAGTAATTATAATAGAATCAAATTGTATTAAAATAAAAAATATTTGTCTAGTCATTTCTAGTCAAGGAATGAAAGAATAAGTGTGTTCAATCCAATTTATTTTCTGTTTTAAAAGTTCTTTCTTAATATATGTATACATGCTAAATTCTAATTAAATTGTTAAAACACAATTTTGCTTGTTTTAAATATTTAGACAATTTATTTATTTTGTTTTTTGTTTCACATTTACAATATTAAACACTCACAACATGCATGTTACATTTAAGACAATGTTTAAGTGGTACAACTGATAAACAATAATTTATGCTTATGTAAATATTAATTTTCTATTTTGAGTTCTTTGTGTACACGACTTGCAATTTTTTTTCAACATCATTATTAACTGTATAACATTTTCAAGCTTTTTTCTAAAGCAAACTATCAAATATGTTTCTTGTATGTTATTTTAAATTACAGTTCTGACATAAATTGTAAGAAAGTTTAGTGTATTCTTACTATTTTTCAAACCCATGATAATGAAGTAAATCTAATGAAATTCTTCAAATATGCATTTGAAGTAAAAATGTGCCACGTATGTAAATCATAAAAATTGCACAATTTAGAAGCAATAATATAAATGTATATAAATTTATCTGCTGTTCCTGTATTATTTTAATTTTGTTATTCATTTTAAGTTCAAATATTTTTTAAACTATATGTAATAAATGTGGAATTATGTATATTTTTTTTCATCATATGAATAAAATTATAGAATTTTAATGTTTATTTTTTTATGATTACAAATAATCCAATTTTCTTTGTGGACCTTAGCAATTGTGTTAGTCTTAAATTCATAAAAATAAATATTTTTATTTCTCATAAATAATGGAGACAAATTAAAAAAATAAAACTTCATTTTCAAAGATTTTTTAATTAATTAAATAGAAGATTGTGGATACAATTTCACGGTGCACTAATGAACATGATCTAGATTACTCGATTGGAGCTAGAGCAATGGTTCCCAAACTTTTTCTTTTTGATCACTTTTTGCATTGTAGGCCAAAAAAACTTCCCCTCCTCAAACAAACAATAGCAAATAATTATTTAAAAACAGTCAAAATCTCAAGCCTTTGGTATATTATGTTAAAGAATATATAAATCCACAAGTTTGTTAAAAAAGCAAAGAGAAGACTTTGCTTTTTATCTTTGAAAGAAGTTTTGCTTTAGACCTATTAAGTGGTAACAAATTATTGCGTAGAAAAACCATCTGAAAGGAATGTTTTCATAACAAAAGTACTTAAATAATCATTCAAGTACATTGGCTTTAATATTTTACTAACATATATAATAATGTTGTGTTAAATCTTCTAATAATTTGATGATACAAAACCGAAATATTTGTTATAAACTTCTTCCACAAGTTGATATTGATTTCCTAGAAAGTTCTGCCATTTAATTGTCCATGATCTTACTTAGTATCCTCTTAAAAGTCTTCGGTTTCAGCCACTTTTATGAACCTAATAATAGCTTAATGATACTAAGTGCACATAAGTGAAGAATGATAACAGAATCCTCTGAATCTTTTACCATATCAACTGCTATGCAAATTTTCATCAAGTAATTAGGTTATGAAGACTCATACAGATTTTAATTAGAAAAACTATATATATTTTTTTGCAATTGTCAATTAGAATATTTTAATTGACTAATTGGAATATACATTTATTTCTTAGAAACAGCGGATAATTGATCTCTAATACGTCCTAGGCCATGAAGCATTGTATCCAATTTCTCTTTACTCAGTTCCACATTTAGAGTTTGAAGGTGATCAGGCTGATTTTCAGGATAAACAGGATCAAGTACCTGAAATAAAATAATATATATTAATTAAATGTAATGAAAATTAAAACCAGCACTAATAGTTGTGTCATTAATTGTAAAAGTGGTGTAACTCTATTTTTAAATTTTTTTATTAATTACATTTTATTTTAAAAGTGAAGCAAATACAATTACAATAATTTCATTAAAATCCCATAGATAAAGCTCTAGGCTAATTACATGTATTTGTTTTCCTATACATAAAATTTGTAAAATATACACATTATTCCCAAATTATTACTAAATCTAGTTTTTAATTGTTAGATGTGTAAATTATAAGTTATTTTAAAATAATTTTATATTTTTATAATGAATTGCAGACATACAAATCACATTGACAAAATAAAACCTCAGTAGTTGTTGATAACATGTACTGGCTTCAAAAAGAAAAAAAAGGTGTACAAAGTAAAAAATATTACACTCTATATAACATACAAGTTAATGATCAGATTTTCACACAAGATGCAATTTTAATGATTCATACAGAAACCTTTAATTCTGCTAGTTAATTAAAGCAGACGGTATAGTCCCACAAATTAAGACCTCTCAATGATATTTATACTTTTCATGTACTTTGTCATATCTCTGAAACTATTTACAGGAATTTAATTATTGACTCAAACTATTTAACTTTATTTCATTTAAATTTTGACATTTTAAAATTACATAATTTAAGATTATATAATTTTTACACCTTGCAGTTAAAATTCTTTTAATTGTTATTAAATCAAATAATAATAAATTATTAAAAAATATTTTTTTAATGCTCTTTGAATAATCAAAATAAATTGATGCACACTAAACTTTTTTGATTCATATAAATAGTTGAAAAATTATGAAGGAATCGAATTAAAATGGAGTCAAATTTATTTTACCAGTCCTTAGATCGGGAAGATATTTTCCATATTGGATTTCCCCATATATTTTGAAGAATACTAATCTTAATACTCTTTAGAGAGTAATTTTGTAACTCAATAAATCTGTGCTTATTATTTAGAATATTTAAAATATGCATTTTAAAAGATTAAAATTGCATCCCAGCATCAACGTAACAATCAAATAAAATATTAATGTAAACTTTTTATTTTATACTGTGCTGCACAAGTTTACATTATTAACAATAATGAACTTTTTAGGGAATTCAGATTAGGACACAAACAAAAAAAGGAGGGTAAGCTAAACACTTATTACTTTGTTGTTCAAATATGAACTGTGCTGATCACTATTTTCTGAAAACTTTTGCAGTTTTACTAGCCTGAAACAAATTTAAGATATACCAGGAGATGCTTAATTTTTTTTTTTTTTTTAAATCCATCTCTGAATTTTACATATTTGACACGCTATAGCACATAAGCAAAGTCACTGTCCAAATAGCAATGTCAAAAATGCAAATAAGTATGATTCAAAAATAGTACTTCTTATCCATAAAAATCCAACTTTTGAACCATTAGTTTGATTCAGCATAAAAAAAAAAGTTCATAGGATGCAATACTTCACTTGTATAGAGAATAATATCAAATGTGTAAATAAATAGGTACAGGTCAAACATTGTACTTCTTTTAAATAAGCCTATTGTCACAAAAACACTATAAAAAGAGGGTATTTGAATAATCTAGATGTAAATTGTTTACATACAGATTACTTTTTACAGTTATTTTTATTGAACTTTTTCTTTATTTGAATCTGAAAATTCCAAAAGTATTTTTCAAAATAGTCATTTTATAAGAATTGGAATTTATTGCACACCAATAATAATTAATTAAAACTAATAAACAGAGTAATATATTTAGAATAAATTTTAAAACTATGAAAATCAATTCAAATTTTAAACAGTTTCATAAAAAAAAATTTTGCACACTTTTAAATTAAAGAATTTGTTTTTTCAAAATTTTTTTTATAATCAAGGATTAAAAAAAAAAATATTTAAATAAACAAAGCTTGTTGTATGACATTGCCATCAAAAGATATTGTTTCTGATTAATTTCTTTATGGCTGAGTCTAAAAATATTTTCTCATAATTTTGTAGTTTGTATTAAAATTAAAATGCATATTTTATTACATAATACCTTATAAAACTATTGTATAAATTTCATAACAATGAACTTTATTTCAGCAGGAAGAATAATAGTTCAGAAATTGAACACCTAAAGATAGCATATTAAAGTAAGAAGCATTCCTGTAACAGCCCAATGCGAACCAGGGAGTCAAAAAGGTTAAAGAAATATTTAAAAGTACAAGGTCATGAAGGTTAAAAAACCAGTTTAGAAACTTAGGTCATAAAGATATGCTCCAGAAATCAATAATGAATAGTACCTTCAAATTTAAAATACATGTTGGCTCACTCATCCTAGCAATCTTTCCAGATGCCATTTTTAAATCAACTCTCCAGTCATATTCAACTAGTCTTGGCACTGACACTGGAAGGAAAAATGATTTACTCATTTTTTTAATACAATAATATTGATCCTCTGTAGAGAAAACTTAATTTCTAAAATAAAATAATAATAATAAACCTGAGTTAGTTATTGCTGCTGTCTTCCATGATGAAAATTTTTCAATGAATATTTTTGATACTAAGTCCCGTAGGTTTTTATGAAAATCTTCAGGAAAAAGTGATATAATGCTTTCATAAGTAGAGTATCCATTAAATAATATGAATTTAATGAAATCACCCAATGCAGAAAATAACTAAAACAAAATGCAAAAATTAGTACTACACTGAATAATTCATAAGCTTGGTAATATTAAATATATAAAGACAAATCTTTTTATAAACATCTTAAGCTGTAAAATAATGTGCAATAAATAGGAGTAATAGTTATGTACTATATTTTACAAGTTTTAATAGGGTTAATTTGAATTTAAGTTTAATTTTTTAGTGAATTTATTTTTAAATCTAGTGTAAAATTCCATGATGCATAGAAACAAAGCTTTTAAAAAGATGAAACATTGACATTTTATGTTTTGAAAAGGAAATAGTTAATTTCATGCCTGCATAGTTTTAAATGAAAATGAATTAAAAAAGTATATATCAATAAACTGTTACAAAGTTACATATGCACCATAATTTTACTAACACTATTAAAATGCGCAAATACATAATACAGTTGTATAAAAAATCCATATTTTTTCCTACAATTTCATTATTTTTTCTTTTATCTTTGCAACACTATATTTTTGTAAGGTAAGTATTTGTTTCCAAAAAATGTCCACACTTGTTTTTTTAAGAGTATTGGGGAAGACAAAAAAGAAACAAATAATTTCTGATGTCAGATTAGAATGAACAGTAAATATGACTTTTTTAATGAACACTACACTAATTTCGAATCTATAAACTTAATGTATTGGTTGTTGCAATCGGAGAAGAATTGTAGACAATTTAATACATTTTTTATAAATCAAAGCTAATCAAATTATTTTTATAGGTGAATATTTTAAAACTCAAAATCTATTTGAGTGAAAAAAAAAATTTCCAGGTATTGGCCCAAAAGAAACGTGAAAAAAAAAAATCCCAGAAAAGGACCCTCTTGAAGGGTATTATTCGTAATCATGCCCAGGTAAATCTCTACACATATTTTTTCTTTTACTTTCAGCAAGTCTTTAATCCCTTCGGCACGTCTAAATTATAGTTGGAGAAAACAGGTACAGTGGGTGATCGGTTAACGAACAGATCGGTCAACGAACAAATCGGTTAACGAACACTTTCTCGAAAGATTTTTGTGTTCGGATAACGAACACTTTCAGGAAAGATTTTTTGTCGGACAACGAACACATATTCGGATAATGAACAAAACGAATTCTAACGAACACTTCTCGGCCTGAAAAAAAAGTACTATTAAACGTTTGTTATCATTTTGCATACAAAATAAGATCACTGAAAGGAGAAATGTTTAAAGCATGCTTAGTATTGATAATTACTAAATGAAACTTGAATTATGGAGAATGAAGGAGTAACGAAAATCACATCTGCGAAGCAAAGAAGTGCCATTCATGATAAATGGAAAGGTTGCTTTTAGTTTGGATAAATGAACGGGAAATGAAACGAGATGTGACTAGTAAGCCTATCATTCAAGAGAAGGCTAGAGAAATTTGTGAGAAATTGAAAGAACAAACTCCAGGTTCGTCATCCGAGGAGTTAGAATTCAAGGCTACCACTGGCTGGTTTACAAAGTTTAAAAAAAGGTCTGGAATTAAAGATGTATTAATGCATGGTGAGTCTGCTAGTGCAGATGAAGAAGCAGTTGAGAAGAACTGTCTCAAATTTCAAGAATTCATTGAAACAGAAGGGTATCGTCCACAACAAATATTTAATTGTGATGAAACTGCTTTGTTTTGGAAGCGCATGTCGAATTGTACCTACATCACGAAAGATGAGAAAAGTTTTCCTGGGCATAAACCTATGAAATACCAATTGACGTTACTTTAGGGAGCTAACGCTAGTGGTGATATGAAGTTAAACCACTTCTCGTTTAGCACTCTGAGAATCCCAGAGCATTCAAAAAAATTCCATAACTAAGAGCAAACTGACAGTAATGTGGGGATCGAATCAGAGGGCATTGGTCACACAATATCTTTTCAAGGAATGTCTTGTTTGTGCCCCTAGCATCAGGGACTATCTTGATACCAATGACTTGCCGTTGAAAGCACTGCTGCTATTGGGCAATGCACCAGGACATCCAAAGGATCTTGAAGATAATTTGCTGACAGACTTTCCCTGGCTGACAGTTCAGTTTTTACCTCTTAATACGACTTCGCTGATTCAGCCGATGGATCAGGAGGTTATTGCTGCTTTCAAGAAATTGTACACTCGCGCGCTGTTTCGTCGGTGTTTTGAAGCAAGCCAATTCTCCTCAACAATGACTTTAAAATAGTTTTGGAAAGAAAAATTTGACATTCTTGAATCTATTCGTATCATTCAAAAGGCGTGGTCAGAAATCACACAGCGGCAGTTGATTTCTGCTTGGCGGAAGCTGTGTCCATTCTTCGTTCAAGGAGACGGAGGTGATCAGGGAGACACCTCTGAAATTTTGACAACTGCTAGAGATCTGGAATTGGAGGTGAATGAGGATGACATAGAAGAGCTCATAATGGGGACATGAAGATGAACTGACGACAGAAGAACTCCAAGAAATTTTGAATGAAGAACACCAAGAAACACAGCGAAATGTCTGAACAAGAGGAAGATGAAAGAGGACCAATGCCGACATCTGCCATTAAAGATCTTTTGAAAAAGTGGGAGGATGTCAGAGCAATGGTCTTAGAATGGCACCCAAACTAAGCTGATGTCAGTAGGGTTGGGGATCTTTACAACGACAATGCTATTAATTACTTCCGGAAAATCTTGAGAAAGAGAGAAAAGCAATCGACATTGGACATGTTCTTCAACGCCCCATAAGCATAAAATGAAAAGGACTGATTAATATGCAAGATTGTATGCATGTATTATTTTTTAAGAAACTTACTAAGAAATTATAAATTTTTTAAAATTTAATTTTTTGGATCTCCTGAATGAATTAATCGATTTCACATGGAAGTCTATGGTGAATCGATGATCGGTTAACGAACAATTCGGATAGCGAACATAATCTTGGAACGGATTATGTTCGTTAACCGATCACCCACTGTATTGATATGTAGTTAAAATTCTGAGTCTTCATAATCAAAAGAAATTCCTGAATTTTTAAAATTCTTCTATTTTTTGCTAATTTTACTTAAATGTAATATAAAATCTGCACTTTTTAATATGACCTCCCAATAGAAGAACCTCATAGCATTCTTTTGATGTAACTATGAAACATCCAATAATCCCTTTGAAAGAAAGAAGAGTGACACAACTCTTAACATTCTTATCTTAAGGGATCGTGATTTACAGTAAGAAATGGTAAAATATGGATTACTTCATAACCCAAAAAGTTACAGCATCGTGTCGCAATTGGCACCGAATCTCACATGCATTCAGCAGGTTAAAAGGATAGGTACATTCGCAATAACTGTAAATTTCATTTCAAAGGGTACAATAAATATATATATCATACTTTTTTAGTTTGAAAATTCATTCTCAATTTTTGAAAAATATTAGTTCTTTAGGAAGTTTATTTTAGAGCTAAAATATGTTGTATTCACATCTCATTTATTGGAATTTATAGACTTTGCTGGAATAGGATGTATGTGATTAATACAAAATGCCTGCTCATTACCAGCATATTCGGACTACATTTTAAACAGTATTTTTACTTACATTATTATGTTGCATTTTATCATTTATAGTGCTAGTTTAAAATTCTTATTAAAGTATCAAACTGCAGTGTTAAAATTATGGCAACTTTTATTAAGGGTTATTTGGTACTTTTATAAACTCTCGATACAACTCGCATTATAACCTTCACTTTAGTTTGGACAATATTAAGCATTGGCTGTATCATCTAAATCTTGGTTCTTTAATTTAATGACTTGATAAAATCCTTTTTTGAAATACAATTTTGTGATTACAATTATGATTTAAATTGATGATTTTAATCACATGAATCAATAAGAAAAATCACCCAAAACAAAAGGTTCAAATTTAAGTTTGAAAAGTTATGACTGGATAGCTTGGTAAAAAAATAAAAATATTGTCTTTATTTCTAATAAAAATGCCTTTTCACATAAATAATTTATTTTTCTAATAGTTAATGAACAAATAAAGAATATATTTACCTTTGAAGCTTCTGTTGTATCTACTTCAAAAGAATCTGCAACAGGTTTTAAAATTTGATTAGGAGGTAATTCTTTTTCTCGATATTTAAAAGCATTTTCAACAATATCTAAAACTTGCTGCTTTGAAGATGCCTAAAAGAGAATAGTACATAAAATAAGTCATATAAAAAAGGTTTAATAAAAGTCATTTTTAAGAAGTAAGTTATTTTAAAATAAAATATGAAAGTATTGAGAATATATTTCTTAAAAGTAAGTCAAATTCCTTTTCAATTTTTAACTATTATTTTTGTATTTATGTAGTTGAAGTTATTTAAAAATTTGATTTAAATTCTTTTTTTTTTTTCAAGCAATACCAACCATAAAATTTCACACATACAAGAAAATGCCAACACCACTATCCTAAAAAATGTTTAGATTTTAAGACTTCTAAAATTAACTGAATTTTTTCAAACACTCTTAAAAAAAGCTTCAAAATTATAACCTTTTTTTAGAGAATCCCATACTAATTTAAAAATAAAGCAATTTAAATTTTTTATCAGAATTAAATATTTAAAATCAATTAACAGTTACTAAATGCAGAAGATACTGATTCAGTTTATTTTTAACAACATGGAATGCATATAAGTAAAAACTAGAGTTAAGATTTTTTTCCCCTTCCTTTATTTGTGATGTAAGGGTTTATGACAATATTTTTGACTTTTATTATCAAATGCCATTTGTTCGGTCATCAAACTACAGGCTCTCCAATATTCCTCTACTTGACTAGAACATTTTTGATCAAAACGTGCAATTACTTTAAAGAAGTATAATCAGAAATTGATTTATGAAAACAATTGCTATAAAGAAAAAAAGATGATAACCACATAAATATACGCCATAACTGCAAAATGAATCTATAATTAGATTGCATTTTACCATCAAATTAAGTAGCACTTTGATTCGAAATTTTTGAACTACCCACAAACCTAAAAAAACCTGAGTGTTCTTTTTTAAAAAAGAAAACAATAAAACCTGCACTCAAATGGTGTTTTTTATAAACATATTCAAAATATGCCCTTATATCAATTGTTATTTTTTATTTAACTTATAAATATATAATAAATATTAATGCATAATACACAAAGATACATAATCCTACTTTCAAAACTTAGTGTATTTCGATAAATATGTTAGTAACTTTGAATTAATATAAAAAATTTTCCTGCTTCATTAAAAAAAAAAAATCTATTTTTTAAAAACAATAATTTAAGCTTTTTTGATATTTGCTTTCAATTGAACAGGTGCAGAGTACAGGCACGAATAAATGTATTTTTTATCTCTTCAATAAATAAGTTTCCAAATAGGAATAAAATAAGCATATGTAAGTAATTCTAACAAAATATCAAAAATAGAATTTCTTAATTCTTTTCAAAAGAATATTTTTGTGTCATAAAATATACATGTGGATAAATTAAAATATTTTGTTAGTAGTTATATATTAATGCTACAAAATAATAATTTAAATATAAAAATTCATTAAATTTCAAACCATGATAAAATACTGACTATAATGAAATTTACGTTAACTTATTTTGCAGAATAAATTTCATTTAATAAAAGTTTACATGATTGTTTAATTATTTTAGTGATCACAACAAAACGAATTCTAAACACATAGTTTTAAGAGCAATTTGAAAAAGCTATTAAGAAATTAATAAATAAACAGTTATGTAGTTAGTTTGTCTGCAAAACATCTTGAATTCACAAAAAGAAAAAGGAACTATAACGTAAACATTTAAAAACAAATAAATAAAACAGAAAACAACCTATCTCCTTGACTCCAATATTATGTTTTTCATTCATAAAAAGATGGTACTACATTAAAATTAAAGCTATTCTCTTCATTTTAATTCAGTATTTTCCTATGAAAGTTTTCTTTTGATCTAAAATTGTTCCCTTTTGATTTAAAAATTGAAATTTCACCCCAAAAAAGTGTTAAACTAGGTAATATCTTAAATAAAAAAAACCAAAAAAAAAAAAAACTAATAAAACTCACCCCAAAAAAAATTTTTTTTTTAAACCCTGCTTTGATTAATAGAAGTCAACATAATTATTACTACTAATGTAAATAGAACTAGTGACAAAATTACAGAGAATGTTGGATGTTTCAGTGTAAAGGTGGGTGTAAAAATATCAGTCAATTCTCACAAAAAATGAATATTGTTAAAATCACTTTCATAACAAATTTAACCTAATGTTTCACACTTGTAAAATATTTTTCAGCTAAATTATTTTGTTTAGCATAATTGAGACCTGTATTTCATCATAATTAATAATTAATATCTAGTGACCAGTTAATACCCAGCATATCTGTATGAACCGATGAATATTTCTGTATGGGTACCTGTTAGAGACATGAGAAGGCCTCAGGCTCATTTATTGAAAAAAGTTTTCAGGATCGGGCAAGCTTGATTCATGATAAAATTTTCATAAACTTTTTAACTACTTTGAAACAAATGCTTGGTTGAGTTACTGAGAATTAAAAAAAATTACATTACATTACATTTTAAATTTACAGCGATCTGTTACTTCTGTTTAGTGCTTTTGCTTTATGAGGCTAGCACTAATTGTCAAATGATTTTATTTACTTTATGAATTTGACTTTCAAATTTAATTTTTATTTTAGTCATCTTGGAGTTTCAGTTGATTCAGTTCTTCTCTTTGTTTTCTCTTTTACAAGTTAGAGATAGAAAAGGTTTTAATTTACCAGTTCCAATTTTAATTTAATAATTAGACATCAAAGGCCAAGTGACGAGGTGGTAAAATTTTGCCTTTATCTGGCGTATATCTCTGGCCCTATGTCTCTGGGGCTCGAATTAAAATTCTCCAGGCTCAAACCTCAAAAAGAGAGCTAAGTTCATCTCTAGTATCTGTTTATGCCACCTAGATTAGATAAAGTGCAAAAAAATTTTAAACTGGCAAAAATTTAAAAAAAAAAAAAAAGAAGAGTTATATGGAAGTTAGCCAGGGGGTCGCTACAAGATGACTTTCTCTTGTGATTTTTTTTTCTTTTTAGTCTTTTGTCGGTTAATGCACACAAATCGCTAAAATTAGTGAATTACTTTGGAGCAGGCACCGATACGGAAATCTTCCCACTAACCGTAATAATGCAAAGTAATAAAAAAACTCTAAAAAATTATCTTTTTTCGGTAACTTCACTGATTTCTTAAAAAAATTTTTGGATGTGGTGAAAAATTTAGAAGTAGTAAGAAACATGAAGTTCTAAAGAATTTTTATAGAAACTTTACACTTATAAACACATATTAGTAAGTTCTACACATATCGCCTCAATGTACAACATTAGCTTAAAAGTACATTTTATTTTCCGTACACATAAAGAAATTTAGGATACGGAAGTTACATAGATATTCGATGAAACTAGAACTTAGAGATAGATATCTAAACATTTATATACATATTTAGATTTAAGTTTATTTGAAAGTTAAAAAAAAAAAAAAAAAAANCGTTAATGCAAAAAAAGGATATTAGAGAGAAAAGATAAATTTTCGGAATTTATACAGAAACTAGTAAAATGTATTAAGATGATATATTTCAATTACTTTCAGCAACAGAAGAAGAATATCAAAGTTTATTTGCAGACTTGCCATTTCGAATATATCAACTATAATTACAAAAACATAGTTAATTGGTAGTGTATAGCGTGAGGATGCCTGTGAATCCTCAGGAAACAGGATGATCCCTCAAGGCATGTTTTCAAGCATGCGCAGTATACTAATCATAATGAGTAACGCCTCCTCCCTGTCCTTCCTAGTCAGATGACTACGCGATAGAAAATGGCGAGAAATGGCATTTCAAAAATGTGACTACTTCAAATTTATCCAAAACTAATCAAGGATTACATAAAGGGTATGTGACTATACTTTATTCAAAATATTTATTATCTGCCTTTTCACTAGAAATTTATACCTCCTTAAGAGTTGAATGATCATTTCTTTAAAATATTTGACTAACGAAAATCTTTATTTGATGTCAAAATGTGCAATGACTGGTGGATTACCAGAGGAAACCCGAATAGAGAATGATTTTTAAATTTAAATATGTTTATGCAATCCTTTGTAATAGTATTTAACGAGCATTTAATAATATATAGAGAAAAGGCAGCAATAAATATATAGAATAAAATATATTTACTACTCATAATACTGTGTTCCCTTTTGTTCACTCATTGACTCAATAGAATATTCATAAGATTGCCATAAATGACATAAGAAAAATAAATAAAAAAACATTTCATCAAAGCAATATATTATTTAAGCAATAATGAACTTCTACTCACTGTTATAAAAAAATACTTTATTTTCTTATAAAAAACATTAAATTTTCAGAGTTTATTTCTTATTCCCAAAAATTCGTTTGAAATTAAATATTTATATATAAAAATATAGGGTTTTTTTTNCATAAGGTCTTACTCCCCCCCCCCTTAGAGTACGTACATTTTATTAGTCTACCCCCCTTTTTCATAAAAATTAAAATAATTCTGTTTTAAATAAAATTAAATATTTATTTAAGGAGTGTGTAGGAAAAAGTCAAATTTAAATTTGGTGTATGCTTATAGTGTACGTACTTTGTATAATACCACCCCCCCTCCCCATCGTACAAAACCGTACAAAATAGCGAATCCCCTCCCCCCCTTCGGGATGTACGTACTTTTTGAACGGCCCCTTATTCAGAAATTCATATTTTATGATTTAGCAAGAAAAAAAAAAAACATCTTTGCAGCCATAAAGGCAAAGAATATTTCAATTATATTTATTTGTATTTGGGAAATACATTCTCTTAATAAGATCTAAGATTTAATTTAAAAAAGTTTTTTCTCAGATTTCAGTATTCTTTTCAAATTTTTATGAATTTAAATGACATAAAAATGACTGCGAAAACTAGGTAACTTAAGATTTAATCTTCAATTAGAGGAGCAGACATAAACTAACAGTGAAGCAAAATCAGTTTTATTGCAAGAAATTTATTTTGATGGGGCTCAAATTTCAATGTCTATAGAAAGCTATTGAATTTAAATTGCATGCACTTTATGAATCCTATTGTTAATCAATATTATTAAATAATTCTGTTTATTATTATTCACAATATGAACTACTGGTATAAATTAAAATTATCTAGCTCATATATATTTAATAATCCTACATCATTCACTATCTATTTGTTTGACTATCATTCTGTTTTAATATTGATTAAATGTAGTTTTTATTTTGTATAGGTATTTTATTACAAATATTTTTTCTACCAATTAGAACCTCTAAACGATTTCTACCAATTAGAGCCCACTCCTTCACAGAATCAGGTTTTATTTTAGGGCAAAACAATGATCCTTTGGAGAAATTTCGATACAAACTTGAGTGAAATTGACTGTTAGAATGTAACAAAAGCAAACACAATTATACTTGTCATGTAACTGGCATCTGGTTATACCAATTTCACTCTTTTGTACCAAAGTATAATACCCATATGATATAATTCATTGAAAATTAGATGTTTTAAATACAGTTGAACCCCATTATAGAGAACTGCCCACTGACCTAGAAATAGGTTTACTATATCCAATTTCTTTAAAAAAAATTACTTTTTAGCATATATAAATAATATCGTTGGAGATAGTGATTACTATAGGTATATAATTTGTTTTAAAATTATTAACTGATTAAATAGATAATAAATAAAGTATTAAAAAGAAAATAGTTAATGTTTACATTCTATTGATTCTATGGAAGTAATAAGTGGGTTAGGATTTTAAAGTACAGTTTCACCAATTTTTGTATTGACAATTAATAAGAAAAAATTCAGAATATTTAATGCTAGTTTTATTTCTGTGCCAAAATTTAATGAGGCTTAAAAAAAAATTTATGTCCTAGTTTAAAAGTAAAAGGCATGCTAGAGTGAGATTTAACACAATGTAAAAAAATGCTGCAACTCTTGCACATGTATTATAATGTAAAATAAAAAAAAACTGAGGTAATGTAATTGGAGTCCACTATAAACGAACTATCAATTTTTCAGCTACTCACCATAGGCGTATAAAATTAAGTTAGTTAAATGGGAATTCAGAAAAGACCACTACAACTGAGTATTCGCTATATTCCTAGTTCATTTATAACGGGGTTCAACTGTAATTTGTCAAATATAATAAAGCTCAGGTATCTTGATCATCTAATTAACTTTGCGTTAATGCAGAAGTGTCCCTAAAATAGTTATGAATGTTCCAAATAAAGAAAAAGAAATATTTAATTTTGTTTATTACTCCTCCCCCACTTTGAAATTATAACTTTTAATTAAAATAATTTCATTATATTACATTAGTTTTATTTTCAGGAACATCCAAATCACCTCATTCCAGAACTTTGTAAACAGTTTTATAATCTTGGCTGGGTAACTGGTACTGGTGGAGGAATAAGCATTAAGCATGGGTAATTATAGCAAGAATTTTAAAAAATTAACAAAGGCAAAACAGTATCAGTTTGTAGTTTACATTAAGATGTTGTATTATTAGATCTTGCAAATTATTATGATCATTATTAAGATCTTGTTTGTTTACATTATTAAGATTTTGCAGTAGTGTGCAGATGTGTGTGGATGCCTGGGGCAAACTTCTGGATTAGAAATAGGGATTGCTAAGTTCATAAACAAATACACCCTTTTCTGGATGCCAAATTTAAACTCCATAGTTGCATGCATGGTACTTTTTCCTACAAGTTTAATAGTGAATAATTCTCAAACTTATTATTGAATGTTACTTTTTTCCCCCAACGTAATCTTTGCACATTTTTCTACACACTTTCGTGATTTCAGATATTTTAAGTCTTATAATTTTTGAATTGTAATCCAAAATGTTACCCTGTATGCCTAAAAAAGTAGCTTCGATGGTCCTTACAGTTTTTTTTTTTTTTTTTAAGAAGGGAGATTTATTTTTATAAAATATTTTCCTTGAGCAGAATATTTGTTAGAGAAATAGAGTTAAAGCTTTATTTTTATTAGTCATCAGTTAACTTCTCTCCTTTGACTGATCTCTATCCTCTTTGCAGGCCACCGAGATTTGGGTGACAAACATATTAACTTAAACATACATTCTTTTCTCTTGAGTAAGCATACTGAGTGATATTAGTAATTTCTTCATGATATAAAAATATTTAAAATCAACCAACCTTAATTTAAATTTTGGGTAAAATTGCAAAAGATCCAATATGATTATCAAAAGAACTATAGAAAATCCTAAAGTGAAATAAATTAAAAAAGTTATAAAATACCATTTCACTCAACTGTTCTATAGATTAAAACTAAGAGATGTAAATTCTCATATATTTCATGGTTAATTGAACTGAAGTTTAGCTGTTGTTTCTAATGCTGCTTGCCCATACCAGGAAACCCACTTGGTGAAACCAAGCGACTTTAAGGCAGAGGGTGCGTTTGTTTTTCAGTGGTAGCAACTATGGCCAAGAATAAAACTTCAGCCACACACATCTCACTGCCCGTTTAGAGAATGGACACATTCGTACATCCACATGATTGTAATTTTGACCTGAACCAGAGAACGATCAATCTTCTATTCCATAGCCCCAAAGGTATCGATTTGTTATAGGGACATGGAGGACTTTGTGACCTGAAAGATTTAACATACACCATTCTCCATTTACTACACTCAGAGTCTTCGGCCGGCAGGGATCGAACTTACGACCTCTTGGACATGGGCCCCACTGCCCTATCAACCAGGCTATCCCGACCCAAAAAAATTTATGTAATTGTTATATACTACTGCATTATTATATAAAAATATAGATTTTAAAACTGAATGTGATTTTTTACTATTCCATTTTGGAGGAACGTAAAAAAGAATTCGAATTATTATTGATGTCAATTGTGCTTAATTGTGTTGATAATAACTACCAATATACTAATATAAGTACAGTAATAATATGTTTTTTATGATTAATCAATATGAAATAGTTCTGTTCAATTTTATTAGCTTACTTTTTAATTTTTCTATGAGAATAAACTCTATATCCATATCAGTAACTCTAAATTTAGCCAAATGTAATTTCAAAACTAAAAAAAATAATAATAATTCTACATCTAGGGAAGAAATTTTCATTGCTCCATCTGGTGTTCAGAAAGAACGTATTCAACCAAGTGATATATTTGTAACTGATCTAGAAGGATGTGTCACTAAGTCCCCAGATCCAGAGAAGAAACTAAAAATTAGCGAATGTACACCCTTGTTTATGAATGCTTATCGATTAAGGAGTAAGTATGCAAGATAGCCTACATATCTTCAATAACACTTTGAAAGTGAAACTAAGTATGAAAGTAAAACCGTTTTTTAAGTAAATTTTTTTTCAGAAGACATACATTAGTTTTTTTTAGGCAGTTTTACTGTACATTAAACTCAAGATGGTAGGCTTAAAGTCCTTCATGCTTATTATTCAAATGAAATATATAAATTAATGAAAAAATAATTGTTTGAAAGGTACCATCCAATTCTTCCATTGTTATTATGCTCTTACAACTTAAAATGACAGTTAAACATTTTAATTCCCTGCTTTTATAAACCATGGAATAAACTAAATTTAACTTATTTAGGAAGAAAAGATAATTACAACTGATATATTTTTCTTGGTGGGTATAATTATATTTATAATTGTATGCTAACCAATACGAGTCAAACATTGCAGACATAATTTATTTTGTTATATTCAAAGTTAAAGTAAATATTGTTGCTATAGTAAAAGTTTTCATAGTTTAAAAGTTTAATTGAATCTTTTGTAAGCTATATTACCAAAATTGTTTTCTTTAATTTTCTTATGAAGAATTATTGCCGTAAGAAAGCCGAAAAGCTCATAGAAAGAAAAGAAGGTTCACTTTTTCCATGTGTAATTATTGCACCCACTTTTTTCTTCAATTGATAAACGGCTCAAGATAATCACAAAGTAAAAGAAAGTACTTAAAATGTCTTTTAAAATTACTTTCAGATTTCCCATTCTACAAATATTTGGTCATATTTTTCATCACTGAAAATGCTATAGCTCTAAACAATAAAACTAAATAAATGAAACACAATCCTTATCTCTGAAAAAAGAAGTATTAAAGGAGTAGAAGTATATACTTTTATGCGAAAAATCCATACAGGGTTCTAGATTTCAAGGCACAGGGGATTAAGGTCCCAAATATTTTGAACAGCAAAAATAAAGTCAAATTTTAAAGAATCAGTGCGTCTAGTTTTGAATCGAAAATAACATGTTTAAGTTCATTATTTTGTCTTTAAACCTAAAAAAAACTCAAAATTCATTTATGTCAAAATGTTGTTTAAAACTAAGGTTTAAGTACAAATATAGTAAGGATTTTTTTTAATTAAAAAAAAAAATCAATTTCTTTTGTTCATGAAAAAGTTGTCTTTTTTTTTCCTTCTATTTTAATATTAAACATTAATTGATGAAATAGTTTTCGAAAAGTAATAATTTATTTTTAAAATAAAATTTCATTGCAATTCTTTTTCTGTTGTTCTTTTTTATCCAAAGAAATACTCATTTATAACATAGGTTAAGCATAAATTATCAAGTCTGGAGCCTGTAATTTTCAATTTCATATTACAAAACACACAGACACATACACATAGGGGAGAGTTGGGTAGCCCCGCGCACTTAAGGAGTATTGCTTATATTTCTGTATAATATTGAGTAATAATCAATATTTTTGTATGCTTCTATTGTTTTATCATCTAATTAAATAATGCAAAAAGAATAAACCAAAAAAAAAAAGAATAGTTTAACTTAAAAAAATGGAAATTTAAAAAATTTGACTACTGTATTCAACATATTTTCATAACTATTGTTTACCATGTTACCAGCTGCATAAATACTTGAAACTTTGAAAATAATCTTTTTTTAACATAACAATTAATGTCCGATGGCCCATTGACTTGAAAAAACATTCTATACATATGAAATTGACAGTGGGCGGAGGTACCCGACACTCCCTTATATATATATTGGCATGTTCTATAACTGTAACTTTCTTATGTTTAAAACACTGTTCATCTTTAAATATTTATTTTTAGATGCAGGAGCAGTTATACATTCACATTCAAAATCAGCAGTGTTAGCAACTTTGGCTTATCCAAAATCTGAATTTGTCATTACCTATCAAGAAATGATAAAGGTAAAACACACATAACAAATGTAGTAAATAAATTAATTCCAACTACAATGCTTCTATGAGTGAGCTTTATAAAGTAATTTTTTGCAGGGTATACAAAAAGGATCATCAGGCACAAAATATAGGTATGATGACAAGTTGATAGTGCCAATAATTGAGAATACTCCATTTGAAAAAGATCTCAAGGTAAATATGTGATTAGGTAATTTTAGGTAATCAGTATGTGATAATGTATTAGGTAATCAGTATGTGATAATTTCTATTCTTTATTTATTATGTAGTCAGTCATAATTAACTTTGAAACAGGCACCCAACAAGACAAAGTTGTCATTTATTTTAGGAAGATGAACTGGAACACTTGAAATAAATCATCGCGAAGCATTATGCTTTGTGATGATTTTTCACTTTCAACAATTTCCTCTCATTGTCAAAAATTTAGTTTGTTTACTTTTTTTTTGTTTCCCAGAATTGAATGTCATAATCCCACTCCTCAGTGTTAAATGACATTTTAAATTCTATACAAATAATAATTGTACTTAGAATATTTATTAAAGAATTAAATATTATTATTAAAGTTATTATGGAATTCCTATGAAACTTATTATACAACTTATTAAAGAATTCCTATGAAATAAAGCCACAGTTGTGTGGGATGTAAACTAACTGTAAATATTAGTCATCAAATATTACATTAATAATTAATTTAATATTTATACACTTTTTTAATTGAAACATTATCCCTTTTTACATTTTTGTAATTATTTTTCTATATCAGCCAATAGAATTCAAATTATAGAATAACCACCATAGTTAATGTTTCAAAAGCTAGACAACATACACGTTTATGGATTTGTATGATATACAGTTGATAATTCATAATTTTTTATATTTATAAAATTATGTACCAATATTATATTTATTATTTCTTTACACGGTTAAAATTCTTTTAAATATTTTGTAAATTGTTGATAATTCTATGCTTTAATTTCAAGTAGTAATGTTTTATTGAATACCAATTTCCATAACATAATAAAATAGTATATATATATATAATTTGTATTTAGTCTCAATACATTTGTGATTAAATCTATGCTAGAAAAAATGATTTCAAGCATCTATTAATGTAGCCAAAATTATCAAATATTATATTTTTATAGTAATTTAAGAACCAGGTTGTTGGGTGACTTTTACACATAGAGCATCAAATATAACGAATATATATTTTAATTAGTTGGATAAAATAGTTGGAATTTATGAATGTTATTAAAACTTTGGTAAATCAATTTGATATTCAAATACAATTGTAGGACAGAATGGCTGCTGCTATGGAAGCTTATCCTGATGCCTGTGCGGTTCTTGTACGCAGGCATGGAGTTTATGTTTGGGGAGATACTTGGCAAAAAGCTAAAACAATGTAACTTTTATTTATGTTTCTATCAACCATTTTTTTAAAAATTTTAAACAGTTTATTAATCTCAAATTTTTTTTTACAGGGCTGAATGTTATGATTACTTGTTTGAAGTAGCAGTACAAATGAAGCTCTTAGGACTGGATCCGACTAAAAATCCAAATGAATGAAAATTTATATCTTTTCAAATTTATATGTGTATGCATTTAGAGCATTTATCTTTTCACCGCAATAAAATAAAAATTCTTTTAAAAAATTTTCTTTCCATCTACATACATATTTTTTTTATATATAAAAAGACCAAAGAAGAAGAATATTGGAATCTAAGACACAATGCTGTTCATCTAGAATTAAATTAATGAACATATAATATTAAAATAAAAATAAAGTTATTTTACAAATAAAAAAGTATTAGTTAAAATTTTTGTGGCAGTAACTATTTTTAATTTTAAATTATACTGAATAACAATATTACACCAGATTCCACTAAGGGGAAAGAGCAAACTGCATTAACTGATACTTATAAAAACATATAACTACAATATAACAATACAATATGATTACATGATAAAAACAGAGAAAAAATAAACCGAATTAAAAGTGCTTACTTCTTTGATTTAATTTAAACAATGAAAAGGCAGATAAAATTTTTAAAAAAATAAATCTTTTTAATATTATTATGTTGTACAAATGATAAGGTTTGATGCATGAAGAAAAATTACATCAAAATAACAGTCAAAAATTATAGTACAAGAAATATCTTTTAATTTGATGGCTTAGTTAACAAATTCAAATAAGAACCAGAAATAAGATCTTCTTGATTAACATTTAATTTAGCCATTAGTTCATCTGCAATTTGTTTTCCATAATTTAATGTTTCATTTTCCTTTAATACCACCTAAAATTTAAAAAAAAAAAAAGATTAAATTGACTACAAAAGATGCACAACTAATTGTGTACAGTGATAATTTTTTATATTACTGATATTTGTGAAAATTTAACTGCTCAAGTCAACATTAAGCTATATTTAACGTCAATTAAAGGGCAATTTTGCGAGAGAAAAGAAATGGCTTAAATAATATGATTAAAACTCACTTATCTCATTGTACAGGTTTATTCTGAGATCATGTTGATTATTAAGTTAGTCAAATTAATGCCCTGAATAGTGTTTTGCTTAATAAATGTTTCAGTGAATATTAAGGTTCATACAGAGAACAGAAGAAACCCAAGGAGTCCAAAATTTTAGGACTTATCAAAAATTAAAAAACTTTGTGTAAAAGATAACTAGACAGTTTTTTTTTAAAATTAAAAAGCAGTTATTATAAGGAACTCGCAAAAATGTATAGTTTGCATGTATTTTTCTAGCCCTTTTGAAATAAATTTTAACTTTGTCAAACTTTACCAAGAAAAATAAATAAAGTTATCACTTTTACACACAAATACATTTTCCAGTTTCAAATATTTTAATAAATCTTGTTAAAGTACAGATGTTAAAGATCAAGATAAAAACCTACCAATCTTATATTTTTAAATTTGAATACATAAAAAAATCTAAGGCATTTTATACAACAACAAAAAAAATCACAGTAAATTATTAAGTTTGCTTGTAACATGTAAAATTAAAATTATTTGCGGTTATTTTTCTTCTTCTAACTCTTGCAATTCAATTTTTTTTCTTAAACTATTAGATTTTGACAGCTAAGTAGTATCGTTTAGTTTCACTGTTTGAACAGCAAATTCATCAGCAGACTTAGTAGGTTCATCTATGCAACACAATAATCTAAGGAGTTTCTACGGACTAATTTAGAAATCTAAGTAGTTCCAAGTACTCCTTGGAGACTTTTTTATTTCCAAGGAGTATAAGGAGTCTGTACGCACCCTGGACTGAATATTTAGATGTGACTCATTTTTTTTAATGTTAAATCATCCTAAATTAAAAAAGTGTACTATTTGTGGTAATTTAAAAAATAAATAAATTAATTAAAATTATCATTACCACCTTTAGAGCTAAGACATAAAATTGTTAATGTAAAAAGCAATACAGCAACAATTATTTGAAGAAGAAAAAATTCACATTATTTGATGAATACCATTTACAAAGCTTTACTCTTTACATGAATTAATAATAGAAAATGGCAGGAACATTAAAACTGCCTTCATTAACTCACTAAGTGAGCAATATTAATAAAAGACTGCATATTGCAAGCTCACTAAGTGAGCAATATTAATAAAAGACTGCATATTTTAGTACTACAGTACATGGTCATAAAGGGTTTTTGTAGGAAGAAAACAAAAAGGGAAATATTTTTTTTTATTTTAATTTTCTTTTAAAGGAATGTACTATTAACACTTACTATTTCTTTCATTTACATTTTTTAAATTTTTTTTTGATTTTGAGCATGAGAGAAACTTGTATTAAAATAAATTAGTTATGAAATATAAAAATGAGAGCATGGAACATGTAAGAGCTTTGTATATGCTTTTGAAAACTACCAGATATAAATATATTTAAAATAAATAAACATTTAAATAATTTGAACTAGGCATGTAATTTTAAAACTGTCTATATTAAAAAGAAAAAATCAAAATAGCATGCAACTCAAATAAATATATAAACCTAGATGAGTGTTTTAAATTTATGTAAATTTAAATGATTGAATAAGCAAAAGAAAATTTTTACTTCTAATTCCATGAAACATCCTAAATTTTGTACATTATCTACATGAATTCTCGTTTGTCCACTCATTAGTAAGTGTCTAGTTTTTCTTACTTCTCCAAGAACTCCTAAAGATGAAGTTAATACATCCTATAAAGTAGATAATTATCATAAACAGAAATATTTAGTTAAACTAATTAAACTACATATTTTATATAATATAGAAATCTACCATGTATATTTCATAACATGAAAATGAATAAAAAAAAGTTATTTGCATTTGTTTATTGCACAATAAGGAGATGTTTAATGAAAAACACATTTATATCTGTAACATGAAAATAAATAAAAACTTATTCGCTAGCTACACAATTAAGAGCTGTTTAACAACAAACCCATTTACAGAGCTACCTTTTATTTATTTATTATTCTTTGATCTCAAAATTTGAATTAATAAAAATAAATGTTCAAACAACCATAAATATTGCGAGGTTCCCCTATACTAAATTAGAGTATTTAAAAACTTAAACCATTCCTTGATGTCATTGCATTTGCACTGTTCGTTGTGATGTAAAAAGTAACCTTTTGAAAAAAGTGGTAGGGAATATGCATTTAAGATGAACTGATAATTTCTTCTGTATCTAACACATAAGTTTTATAAAATTTTACAAAAGCATAATTTCAAACCAAATTAAAATATACTTGTACTAAATATGTCAGCATAAGACAAGCAGTTTACTGCCAACAACCTCCTTCTTCAGCTACATGTTAAATGTGATAACTTCAATTATTAATAAATATCAGTGTTCTCCCTAAGCATTTTTAGAAGGGTGGTCAGTCTTGTCCCCTCAACCCGAAAAACATGAAAACATTTTGGAACTATAGACTCGAAAAACATCAAAAAGGAATTTTTCCAATTAGCTGAGGAATCAAGTACAAATTTTATAAATCATATAAAAAAAAATTTAAAAAATGCTCACTAAAGCAAGGTATAATGAGTTTAACCTAGCTTTAGTGAGCATTAGCTTTTGACCCGACTTTAGTGAGTATCCAGGTTGAGGTTTAATGAGCAAGCCGCAGACTGCTTGTTAAAATGTTTGTTAAAATTCTTCAATAAACTTAACATTCTGCCAACCAAGTATTTATAATTTCTTCAGTAAATCCAGGTGCTCATTGATTCAGGGCTTGTTATAAATGAAATAGACTGTACTTGCATTATCCATGTTTAAATTAATAAGAGCCCACCTTATTTTTCTTCATAAAATAATATGCAACTTAATACTGGTAAAAACGTTTCATACATAAAATGATAATCTAATATTAATTTAAAATAATGTAAGTCAGGGCTCGAAATTAACGGTGGTCCGTTGGTCTGAGACCACTAAAATCGGAGTCGGACCAGCATAAAATAATAAACAGTGGTCCGCTGGACCACCATCCGCCGCAGCAGTTCTCCGTTAATCTATTCTCGCAGCCGATCTATTCTCGATCTTACGAAACTTAAACGATCTTACTTAAAACTATTTTAGAGCTTATTCAAAATTTTTTTTTCAAATTTTTTATACAAAATTAATATTAATCAAAAAAATGCGATTTAAATCAAAAATTTATGATTTTTTAAAAAAAAATCATGATTTTTTCAATCAAAAATTTAAATTTTTTTCTTTTTTTTTTTGCAGCTAATAGGAACGCGTAGACGGACCAGTAAAGTTTTGTGCTGACTAGTAAAATGTTTTAGTTACTGGTACTCTGGACCAGTAATTTTTTTAAAAAATTTCTACCCCTGTAAGTGCAGGCATCATAACATGGTAATTAAAGACCTTAAGATTAGAAAGAGTCACAGTAAGATTTTTACAACAAAGAAATTATTTCATACTTACTAACAACCCTTTAACTTCTTCGGAGTTTTTAAATTCTTGTTTAGAATAGTTTGACAGTTTTGGTCCTTCAGTGTCCGGTCGATCATAAAAAATTAACTCTGCATCTTCACCCTGTTTTGAAAATAGTCTTCTAATTAATGATATATTCTAATTAATAATTAAATTATGTAAGGTATACATGAAGAAAATAAAAATACATTGTGATGAGATATATAAAAACAATTTATTATTTATTAGACAAACAAATTGAAAATGTATAACTGTCACTCAATTATTGCAATTTTAATTGATGATTACTCGCACTTTAGTTTAATTTTAAGGAGAAAAAGTTGAAGAACAATTTTGAAAGACCATCATTTAGAAGAAAAATCCTGAAAACGATCCTTCTTCCAACAAATTAAAGTAACACAAAGAGAATTTTTAATAACCATAAAATTTATTAAAAAATTTTGAAATGTGACATAGAAACAATAATAGGCAAATCAAAATAGATTAAAATCGCTTAGTGTTAATCATTTCAATCTCAAAATACTTAAGTTATCCAACTGGGTGGGATTTATTTATTTAGCTAAAATAATTACTATCTAACTTATGTACAGCTCGTGAATTACAAAACACATTTGAGATGTCAGTTATTCTCTCATATAACGAACAGAGATTCAGAGTTACGGCCTGTTACACTCTCTGAAAAATATTATTGTAGGAACTAAGTAGAACATTCAGAAATAATAAGTTTAAAACCTGTATACGTCTGAGTTTCAAGCGTCCGTTATCCACTTTAAAATAAGTGTCCACTTGTTCCAAGATCTGGGCAGGCCCATCAGCTATTGACGATGCTAACTGCAAAAAAGTTTTGATATCGGATATTTTAGCTTTTATTTCAACGTTTTTACTCATTATGATATAATAGGTGGATTGAATAAGTCTTTAAAACAAAAGGGGGTTAAGATGGCAGACGTCTTGCAAAAAACAATCAAGCAGACCACTATGCCTCTGATGTTTTCTTATCGTCCATTTACCGATCAAGTACACTTTTAATATGTTTTGTCTTGGAAAAACAAGAAAAAAGAAGCACAATTACAGTGAACGGCTTGTGGTAGAAAAACTCTGTAACATCAATCCAGTTATTACAGTTTTTACAGTTTCGTTCTGAAACTCTACAGCTGGTACAGTTATAAAATGTCATAGAGTTTAAATGAATTAGAAAAATCAACTTTTACGACGTTTTCGATACTATCTCGTTTCCATGGTTACTGACTGTAGAAATAACAAAAGGCAATGTTTACCAAATTTTAACATCTTGTTTAACGCTAATGTAAATTATTTTTGAAACATTTAATACAAATCTGTTCAACTCAATTATCTACTCTTGTTTATATGATCGTGGGAACAGATACCGGTAAAGAAATTGCATTGAAATGCAAAATTGTATAAGTTTGAGGCGAATAAATATAAAACTTTTATCTGAAGCTAATATTTGTAGTCTTTGTTATTGAATGTAAGAATCATATAATTAATTAAACAAATTATATACGCAATTATTAAAACATATTAAACCAAAACAAAATATCGTTTAGTATGATGTTTTAGTTACTAAAACGTTGCTAATACCGATTAATAAATACATACATGTTACTGATATATATCTTAAATGTACTTTCCTACAAAGTAACTTGTGTTACTGTTTCAAAATTAAAAGCTCATTTGATTTATGATCTGATTTTAGAATGCCGCCATTCTTAATTCAAAGTATGTTTCTTCATGCTTAACAAGTACCTTAAAGTTACTATATTGCAAAATTTGCTATGAGAAAATAAAATTTGATTTTGTTTCTGATAAAACTACAGGCTAATGTGATAGTGAAATAATACTGATAAGTATTTATTCTTTTTTTTTCTTTGTTTAAAAAGACTAGAGGATGTAGAAAAAGTTTCTTTGGGAAAATGTGTGAAGTACATATAATTGGACAGATCCTAGGAGCTTCAGAATTTCAGGAAAATAATTTATTTTGCAAATGGGGTTTGAACTCAGGTAATATTTTTCTTCTTCTTTTCATTAGGATTAATTTATTTTATAATGCTGAAGAAATGAATTATTAGAGGCCGACCACGGATGGGAGATTGTGGACCCGTGGGATAAAGGGGTGTATTCTTTAGCGTCAGATACTTTTTTTTTACCTTTAGAAATTGTTCACAAGTTCCTAGTTAATAAACTATTTTGTTTATATTTAATGCATATAATATATTTAAATTAAGCTGATTAGTTTTTAATAATTGTTTCCTAGAATCAATTAGATAATAACAATCACAAATTCCTTGCTTTAATTATTAAAATTTAGTGCAATTCTTCATTTTGTAAAATTCATTGGTATATATATTATGCTTTTTCTCTTCAATTTTCATTCGTATGGCATTTGTATCTTACATTGTATTGTATAGATATCATAAATTAAAATCCCATACTCTGCTGAATGTGTATGTCAATATTTTTAACTTTACAATTAGTACATCATATATATATGATGTATTTTGTGTTGACATATTACCCCAGGGGGTAAAATGGGATTAAAAAATATAGTTTTTATAACATTGCTATGATAAAACAATTACTACAATAGCATAGTTATGCTTTATATTTAATGTACAATGCTGTTAGGTATTGTCAAATAGAACAATCTATATAAATGGGTCAAAAGTTACATTAAAATTAATTTAATGCAGAGTTTACTTTTAGAGCCTTCTCTAAGAAAATCTTGATTTCACCCCCACTAGACTATTAAAAAGTATTATACTTTTCTGATAATATATATGTTCAAGTTATAATTACAACTATCTTCATATTAATGTTTTTGTTCTTAGAAAGGATTCTGTAAAAAATAAAATAAATTTACTAAATGATGTTTGTTTGGTTCCCTTATTATCAGTGTTTGACAAGAAAATAAATTTAAGGTGCTAAGTTTTGACTGCATTTTTAGCCCATTATATTTTAACGTAAAATTAGTTTTGTTACTCCTTTTGCAGGAAACATTTATTATAACTTATTATGGTTCCAAATGAGCTTGTTATCTAGAGTTTTTTAAAATTATTTGAGTAGTCAAATTAATAAAAATAATTTAATCTTTTTTGAGAACTGTAGTAGGATTAAACTTTTTGTGCATTCCAATCATATTCTCTTTTTACAACACTATAAAGAAATGAAGTTTAATTCTGAAGAACTGTAATGTAATGTTGTCCAACAAGGAGGGAACTCTGATATCCCTCAAAATTGGCAACTCTTATATTAGGTTTGCTAGTGTCCATGAACTTCTATATTTCTTTTTCTATGTGTTAGAAAATATTTCTTAAAATAAGCACTTGTAGTGTTGTTTCTATGTATTAAGTTAATTTTTTAGTCTTTAAATTTATTCTTTTATGCAGCAATAAAGTTTTAAACTTATAATTCAGAATATTTCAGATTCTGATTTAATGATTCAGATCTGTGGCATTATTGTTTAGGTGGAAACAGTGCACAGTGTTCTAAAAACATGTTTTGATAAAACTGCCAAACAAATTTCAGTAAAGTGGGAGAAGTTATTCAGTATATAAAAAGATTTTGAATAAGCATATTCGATAAGTGTTACGATGACACTTCATTTATATTGTTAATTTATTTTCTAAAAATGTATTAATAAGTGTTTTAATTTTATTTATGGTAATAAACTTTAGAAGCAATTATTGTTTATTTTATCATTCCCTCATTGTGAGAGAGTGGCATTTTATTTTCCATAAATGTACTAATAAATGTTCTAATTATCTTTTATGGGATAGTTTAAGAATATATATTATCATTCTAATTTCATTTATGGGTATAAACTTCAAAAGCAAACAATATTATTTTCTCATTTCCTCCCCCGAGAGAAAATAACTAGATTGATTTTAATGAACTGGTTAGAAACATATTTTTGTTTCACTTTGTTATTTTTTAAAGTAGTTAAGGACTGATAGATACTTAAATTTATTCATTAAGATTATTATTTTAAACATGCTTACAACTAAAATTATTATTCACATTATCATTCCCCCCATTTTAATAAGATTTTTTTTTAATATTAAACATGATTGCTAGATTTTTCTTTAGTACCTTCTCTATCTTATGACAAAAAATTAGTTTTTTCTGACACATTTTTTTCTTATTGTCACTACCTGAAAGAAATTCATTTGTATGGAATGATACTAATTCTAAATTTTTATTTATATGTTTATCTTGAAAAGGTGGAAACTGGAAAATTATCGAAGGTTTAAATGGAGGACAAACACAGCTTGACGATCCTTTAAGTAATGAAATGTGTTATTGGTGTCATCCAGTTGATGTTCACTATGCTACAAAAGGGATTCAAGGTAAATTTTAACTAAATCATTAAGTAAAATTATTATATTTCACAACTTAAACTTTCCCTAATCCAATTTATATGAATGAAATTTATAATAATTAGAAACATTATATAAGTAGAATTATTTCAATTTAAATTTGGATTTTTATTAAAATATTTTCGCACAGTTGAATTAAAAATAATTGCATTGTAAATAAGGAAGAAAACTTTCAGATAGCAAATACTGAATTTGGAATAGTTAGTTGCCTTGATAGTTATCTGGAATGTATTTAATCAAAAGCAGAATTCAAAGCAATGAAGATCCATTACACTGTATTTGATCGAAATTAATTTAAAATCTTTATTTCTTATTCTACAAAGAAATATTATTCTATGAATCTCTTTATTATTTAAAATAATTATTCTTTAAATAAAAGATACCAGATAAAAAATTTAAATATATATTTTTATGTTATTATATCATTTCATAAGTAATCAAATAACAAGGCTTATGTTTTATAATTTTTTTTCATAAGATTACAGAATTATATTTTGGAGTGTCAAGCATAAATAGAATAAATATTCTTCTAAATTAAACATGTCCTAGAAATTTGTTCATGATCTCATATTTTTATTTATCCTTTTCAAATCCATAAGTAATACCAATTCAAATGAAATAATTTTGAAACACAAAATAACAAATAAAATTAATCTTAGCAATACATGTTGTTTGTTCTTAATTTACTCTTCCATCATTTATTGATTTATTTAATTGCAATTTTTTCAGAATGTTTCATAACTCCATATTGCATTTCATTTCTTTCAAAGATGTATGTTTAAAAATAATTAGTTTAAAAATTTTATTTTTATAAAAATATGAATTAAGGAATATGCTAAGTAATGATATTAGAAGTGTGCAGGTGAAATACTGGATTCAAATAAGACATTTGTTTAATGCAAATTTATAGTTATCATTACATTTTTAGTTGCAGTTACTACATTACATTCCAGTTATTATTTTATGATATAAACTATTTTCTTCTAAAAAGGTTGGCCAAAATTTCACTTTCAAGTGTGGCATCAAGATGACTATGGTAGAGATCAGTTCGTTAGTTATGGATTTTGCCATGTACCTACTTCAAGTGGTTTTCATGAATTACAGTGTGTTACATGGAAACCTGTGTCTTCTTTCTGTGACAGAATCTATGAATATTTTCTTGGAGGTGGTTTGCAACTTAAAAATCCTTGCAATATATACCAAGGACTTGAAAGATACAGACTTCAAACAACTTCAAAAGGCATTATACACTTACATTTGCATGTAATTACTCGAAATTTTGATAAGTACAAAATTGTAACAAACTAAAAATCATATTTAAATAGGTAATAATTCAAAGTATCTACCTTTAAAATTGATTTCAGATTATGTTGACTTTATAATATTCCTATATATAGTATTTTAAAACTACGCAAAATTATAATGATTTAAAAAAATGAGACATTAATAAAAACTTTATCAATTTTAACAACTGCAAAAAATTAAAGTGCCTTATCTGCTTTAAGATCTACATAATAGTTTTTCAGCAAGATAAAAAGTGAATGTCAAGAATGGATGTAAGATTAAAATTCATACTTTTGTAAAAGTTCTACAAATTATTAATAAATAGTTAAAAAGCTAATGCAAATATATATATATATCATCATACTTGTCATTGTTTGACTTTAAATTTTTTCTACTATTTATGTTAACATGTGAAGACCTATATTTTAACATTTTTCTCTACATGATACATTTAGCACTTAGAAATAACATAATTAAAATAGTATCGGCTGTATTTGACAACAAAAAAAATACACTATCTTTTTCAAAACCTTTAGAGATCTAAGCTAGTTTATGTCGATCAATTTATTTATAGCATGGTAATAATATCATAGGCTCTACTCATCTGCGTTTCATTAACTAAACTCTGCACTACAGGTACATTTGATAAAAATAGAATACAATTAGTAAAGTGTGCTGCTTCAATACCCACTTATCAGAAATGCAATATGGCTTGTCAAACTTTGTAATAGAAATAACATAGTTCAATTAAGACAACAAAATATTTTGATGTTGCTACTTGATTGTTGTGAAATTAGGAATAAATTTGAAATCAATTCAGCATTTTATTAGTATGGTAAAAATTCTTTAGTCGGTAAATGTGTCCTTTCATATTTATGAAATAAATTTTTTAAATCATTAAAAAAATAGTAATTCTGAACAAATAAAAGCATGTACCGCAATAAAAATTTTACCAAAGTTTGACTTAAGTAATGACCCATATGAGTAAGGAAATAAAATTTAAAGAAATGAAACAAAAATGTTATTTAGAATGGTAAATATATTTTATTTTTATGAATAAAATAAAAAGTACATAAAATCATATTAATAATACATAACTAGCACATAAAAACTAAAATTTCAAGAGATAATAAAATAGACAACAACTGTACATGGAAATAAGTTCTTATCAATTATATACGTAGTGTTTGTAAACTTATAGCAATATATTTCTAACTACAATATATTCTATATATTTCAATTGTGTTGGATCTCGACTGAATGAAAAAATATACAGCATAGTTATTTGATTGCAGCTTTCAAGAAATTTTTTTTTGCTTGATATACTAAATACATATTCTTGTTTCAATAGTAAATCACAGTAGTAGAAACTTATGTCAAGGCATATTAAACCATGGGCTCCTTAGGAGGCAAAAAAGGACAAGTTTTATGATCTTTTATATCCAAACTATCATGGCATTCTCTGAAAGAAAAAAACTATCATTATTAATAAATGATCATAAAATCATCAAAATAGATTTTAAAATAAAGAAAAATTTAAATTGGGAAAACATTTTTTGAACAAATTTAAAAATTTAAGAGAATAAGTTTCAAACACGAGTAACTGAAAATAAAAGAATTTGAAGAAAAGGATTTTTTCTGCCGTTAAAAAAAATAGAAATTAAATCATCGAATGTGGATTAAAAAAAAAAATTTAATTTGGCAGCAGTCAGAGATTATTCAGTTATATGATTTTCAAAATTTATGGGTATTTTGATGTAAGATAACTGAGATACACCTGAGAAAGTTTTTGCAGTTTGTTTTATAATGAAGTAAAATGTAAAACAATAACTGATATAATAACTAGTGAATTTATAACAATAAAGATATTTAAAAGTCTGATGTTTCTCAAATATCCTAAGTCTGATGAATTTTAAATTTTTGTAATTCACCCATTCTTAACTAAAAATAGTGAAACATTCTTGCTACAGCCCATTGTGGTGCTGGGAATCACAGTTATTAAGGCCCAACAATTTTGTAATCATTGCAATGTGGTCAGCATTGTACACAACTCGTCTTTACTTCTCGAACAAGCTTGCACAATATGTAACTCGGTGGACTTCAAACTGCCACTGAAAATCGAGCCCCAATCCTTCACAATGATATCTTAGGGTCTTTAACCATTGAGTAACCATCTTGTAATTTATTTCATTCGTGATACAAAGGTATTCAAACTTTTCTTTAATTTATTCCTTTGTCCCATAAATTTGTAATACTTTGTACCACTACTTGTAATGTTTAATTATTGATATCAGTAATAAAATTTAAAAGAAAAGAATACTTTATTCTAATTCATAAAAGAAAAAAATTTTTGTTTAAGCTTATGATACATTTTTAGAACTATCCCTAAAAAAACCCATGATCTTAAACATTTTACTTTTAAATTTATATTTCTTTATTTAACAAAATTTTTTAAGTATTGGTTAGATTTGTGTTGTTTTTTTTTGTTTTTTTTTTTCAACTTGGTACCCCTTTCTCACAATGTGATCAGAAATAAAATCAAATAAAAGCAAAATTTAAGTATCAGGAAATTCTAGGAAATAATAATAAAATTCAAGTAAAGAAAAAAAAATACTTAAAGCTCATTAATGTCGCAAAAAAATTCCAGTTAGCTTATGATACATTTTTAGAACTATCCCTAAAAAGGAACTGTGAGCACTAATATATCAAAAACTTCACTTCTAAATTTTAATTTGCTTATTTAACATGACTCACAATTCCTTTAGATAAAAAATAAAAACAGAAATTTTATAAAATTAAACAGAATAAGATTTATAGAAAAATACAACTTTGTTTAAATATAACTTGCCCAACACATAAAATATTCAAGCATTAACCAATTAGTTGCAGAGCTAGAAGATGTTCTTAGCCTTGATGGCTGGACTCCATAAATGCAGACATTAAAACAATCAGGTTAGTGAACTGGCAACAAGGAGAATGTCAAGGTACCCAGCCTGGAGTGTCATACAAATGATGATGATTTAAATTTCATAATTATGGTTAAATTTACTCATTGATTTATGTTTCTCACTTCTCCCAACTCAGCACCCCTTCCTAACTACTTGATCACACATAAAATTATAGAATAAAAAAATTCAAGTAATGATCTACTTTTTTCAGGTAAAATGAAGGGCATGTTCATCCATTTTTTTTTCTACATAGACGATAACACCCTGAATGAAAAACAATGCAATAGATGAATTTAATCACTTTGACTTTTCAGAGTACAGAAAAATTAATATTTATTGACTTATGGCTTAATATGGCAAAAGTTAAAAGAAAATCGAATAATGTATTCAAGCCTAATTTCATAACTTGAACAAAAAAGGTCAATTTACTACTTCTTTTGTATCGTGAAAAAATGATGGGAAAAAATTTAAATACTATATTGATAATTATGTAAGTATGTATGAACTATTATGATTTTTTCAGGAACCCATTTTTTACGAACTATCGGTTGTAAAGAACAAATATTGCAACTCTTCACAGAGTTCAACTAAAAAGGAAAATATTTTAAGTTATTTCAATGATAATTTAAAATTAAAATATACCAAAAATAAAATTTTATAGTGAGGGTCAGGAAAGATATAATTTTATAGTATATTCATTATACATACTGTATATTTTCTATTAAATTTTTCCACTCAATAATAATAAAGACACACATATTTACCAATAATACTTGCTTCAATTATTTATACTGAATACCAACTTTAAAATAGCATACCTAAAGCATCGTAAACAGTAAAGATCTCTATCACAACCAAAACATCTTATTTTAGCATCTTGAGAACAAATAACACACCATGGAAACTCTTCTTCTTCTGGGCTGTTCTACAATGAGTAAGAAAATTATAATGATGTATTTTTGTATAAGCTATAATTTTAAGAATAAACACTTGTTTTGTAAATATAGAATTTAGTCTACTTTTTTTTCTTTTAATTAACATTCTATGCTATGCATTTCTGTAGTTAAATTGAGTTATTTATTAAAATTTTAGCTTATGTATTTTAGAGTGATACGACAAAATCCAGACAGTAACATGTCTTTTAAGAAAAAATATATATAAAAAAACACTGTTTTCACGCTCACATCCCCTACCCAATGAATGAGGCAATAATACATTTATTTGACAGATTATACTAAAAATTTATGTATCAGTTAAATGTTTTTAGACTCTGAAAGTAAGCTTTTTATACACCTGATTTAAGTATATTCAGGTGCATGTACACTGCTCTCATTCGTCCAATACTTGAGTATGGCAACCAAATTTATCAGGTAGCTGCTCTTACCAATCTAGAAAAATTAGAAAGAATACAATTAAGTACAGCCAGAATTATCACTGGCTTCAAGAACTGTTGCCCAAATAATATTGTTCGATATGAGGCTGATCTGCAACCCTTGTGCCTAAGAAGAGAGACTAACATCACAAAGTACATCGCTAAGCTTAAGAGCTATAGCTTCCTTAATAGACGGCATTATTTTTATCAAACTGGACAAACAATCAGAGGCTGAAAAGGGACAGCCCTCTTAGTTTGATGGAGAGACAGGGCCTGACTGACATTGATGTCGAGCCATGCCCTCTTTTTAATCTATTGACACCTAATACTTCTCTTAGTAATGTAGTTTTTAAAGATGACTTAAATATCGATTTTACTAAGCTAAATGAACATCCGGAGTTACTACGTCACCTGGCTCTCAAGGTAATCAATAATATCCCTCCCGGAGCCTTGGTCGTCTATATGGACGGAAGCAAGTCTGACTCCGGTAGAACGGGCAGTGGTGTTTTTATGAGGACAGGCGAAGGAGAGCTCAACCGCCGACTTAGAAGCCCCGACCATGCCTCGGTCTTTCGATCAGAGTTAATTGCCATAAATGAGGCCTTGAGCCTAGCCATGGACTCTGGCGTAACTGACATATGGATATTAACGGATAGCAAGAGTTCAATTCAATATTTGAAGAACTCTCCAAGTATCTTGGAAAATTTGGGACAGGAAATCATTATCAAATTGACTGCTTTGTCTCAGATCGGCTCAGTGCACTTGCAGTGGATCCCCTCCCATGTGGGTATTTATGGGAATGATATTGCTGATCGGCTTGCCAAGGAAGGGAGTGAACTTACTACTCCCCCTTCCTCTAAACTACTAGTGTCTGAGGTTCACTCCTTGAAGTTAGCTAGGGTAAATTCAGTGTGGAAGCACCCATCAGATCATGATTGGTATGCTGCCAAATGCCCCGGATTATCCCTGCAGTGCACTTGTCATAGATTTGCTCAAACAGCTTTGTCAAGACTTAGGACTGGCTATATTAAGTGTTTGAACTTCAGAGTGAACGAAAAGACTTTTGCCTATTGTCATTGCTCAGCCATCGCTTCTCCATCTCATCTTTTGGATTGCATCGGTGCCTCTGTGAGGCAACTGATGAGTGATGGAGAGACTGTCTATGACTTGCTGATGCGACATGATCTTCTGAACTTGGTCTAGGGCTCTAGACCAAGGGGATACGTATATTCAAGATTTAGATCTTAAAATCTGTCTTGCTTTAACATATTTGATTAAATGAATTTTTATTTCTCTGAATTTAGGATGATTTATTAATTAAAATAAAACACACTTATAAAATTAAATTAAAGAATTAAATATATAAAATTAAATTATTTTAAAATTGAATACACTTATTTACATATCATAAATGGATAGAAATAAAAAATATTAACATTTATAGTAGAAGTAAAGTTCTAAATTTGAAGGATATATATCTTAATATGCCAATGAAATCATAAAAACAGAATTATAAACACCCAAACAAACATCTGTTATAGATTTGACTATTATGACTGGGGCAGCTCAACCAGTTCCGAGATATAAAGAAACCAGGAATAGTTATTTAATTAAAGAATAAATTTAACCCTTTTAAACAAAATAAGTAGATTGATTTAATTAACAGTTTATTACATCAATTATTTACCTAATAACTTTTGAAAGAAAAATAACTGATCTTATACATTATAAATCTATAATCAATATTATATTTCTTCATAAAGTAAACAAATAAGACTACATAACATAAATCAAAACATAAATCATAGCATATAAAGAGGAGAAATATTTATTAATAAGCTAGGTAGAAAGAAAATAAATGACTGATTTGATTATAAAGAGAAAAAAAATTACTTTGTCTCAAGTAAAACCAAAAATATAAAATGTCTTACTTGATCATCACTTGGAAGTGATTTTTCTGATTCTTGTTCATTTAGACTATCTAAACCTTCCATTTCATCATCAACATTCGAGGCCATAAGCTGAATAAAACATACTATTAAAAATGATTAAGTACTAAAATAAAATTTAAGAATGATGAAATTAATATAATATTTTATAAGTACAGTAATATAGAATACTTGAAATAAGGAAAAAAAAATGAAAATAAAAATTAATATCTATCAACTGCTAAGTTATAGTTGATAGAAATTTTTCAATTATTTTGAAATATTCTTGATAATTAGATAAGTACAGTACAGAACCCGTTATCCGGAAATCGGAAAACCAAAAAACCGGAACGAAATTCGATAAATTTTCCCGCCATTTTTAAAAAAAAAAATTTTTTTTCCTCATAAGATTTTAGGATTTTTTTTCTTTTTTAAAAGATGTTTACCTTACCATCATTTTGGAAATAATCATTAGTGTATTACTCCATCATTTTTTCGTCTTTTTAAGATTATTTCCACAAAAAAAAAATTTTTTAGTTGGGTTTAACAATAAAAAAAACGGCTTTTTATAGCGCTTCAGAAAACCGGAAAAATCAGTTATCCGGAATAGCGATGGTCCCGATCATTCCGAATAATCGGTTCCCTATTGTAATAAAAAATTAGAAAGTAATAAACACTAGAGTATTATAAACAAAAATCAATAAGCATGACTGAAAAAAAAAATAAACAAATGACAAAATAGAGCAATTTCACAAAAAAAGAAACAAGAAGAGAAAAACGCTGGTGACATAATATAAGCATCAAAACAGCTTTTAAAAAAAAAAAGATACATGAGTAAAGCGATGTAGAATATTTGTTGTTGCTTATCCTCTTCTGGCCTGACGAAGTCAGACCAGATCTATGAACCTGTTGACTTGAAGAAAATTGAGAATATTTACTTAAACTAATTAAACAAGCATTACTTTCTCAACTAGTTTTTCTGCTTCCTCTTCTTCATTCATTTCTACATCTGAAAGAAAAAATACAGTTCATTATTTTTTTAATTAACACAATTCATTAATTTTACACATATAATATGAAAATGTATAATAATGATAATGAATTTTTAGATTCAATGAAATATCTGAGTCAATTGACTTGGTTCTATTTAAAAATTATCATCTATACACTAAATAAAAGTACTTTATATTGTATTAGTAAAAACATGCATTAAAATTAGTACTTTTTAATAACTTGGTAAGCCGTGTACAATGAAATAAAACTATTTCTATTTTTTTTTTGGGTGAATGATTATTCTGCTCAGTGTTTAAAAAAATAAAAACATAAATAAAAAAAATTTTAACCACATTTTTTAGCAATTTTTCGTTTACGCCCCGGCTAACCAAAAAAGAGCAAATAATTTTTACTATTGAAAATTATGGTTCATAAAGTATTAAATCGAATACAGTACAATTAAAGTTAAAATCAGTATGAGGCAAATAAAAATTAATACAAATGAACAGTTAGTTAAAAAAAAAACCACAAATTCCCACACCTAATGACTAGATTTAATGATAAGATTTTTGTGCATTAATCAGCAATCTTTAAGATTTAAAAGAAACCTTTTAAAATTTTGATTAATTAATGCACATTATTAATTATGAACACATAAATCGTAATCATAAAACTCTTTTACCCAAAAATAATATGCAAAAAATATGTTTCAGTAATAGTTATTTTTCTAAAATATTTGTTGACTAAGAAATATGCTTGACAATAAACCTATTATGGGACTTGCTAAATTTTTTTAGCTAGAATTTTTAATTTAAAAGATAACTTTGCTTTGATAAATTTTTTTGTGGGTATCTATAAAAATATTTTAATAATAATAACTTAATATACAGGTAATTTATAAATCTTGAAAAAAGTGTTTTAATAATTTTAAACTTTACATACAAACAATTTATTTCGTATTGTGTTTTTTTAGCCCCAAAAAGTCAGCTATATCAGTTAGTTAAAAAAAAGTAGTAAAGTGATCTTTACTGTTTTTAATGAAATAAAATGAGTTTAAACTAGTCACACAATCAGATACAACAAAGTGTTTTACATAAAATTTCAGCTATGAAGTAAATGGCTCATTTATGTTATTGCTTAAAAATATTAAAAAGCTGTAGTATACTGATTTATCAGATTACTTTGAGAGAAAAAATGGTATAATATAAGTGGCTACAAGATGGACAACTAGTCATTTTTACATTTTGTGGTGTAACAGTTAACTGAGTACAGCCAAAATGAAAATATTTGCCTCATCTTTGACCAAAATCCAAATAAATACAAGGCTTGAAGCCTGCTTGAACCTCTTTCAAAGCAGAACTTGTTACATAACAGAACTGGTTAAACCTCTTTCATGGCTTCGGAGATTAGCTTAAAATGAGACAATTTACTGTAAAACTAAAAGAGTTAAGAGCCTCTGTTCCATTCTAATAGTGTACATTTATTTAGTGTGCAAAATTACAAAAAAAAAAAAAAACTCAAATAGGACAGTTAGCACTGCGAAAATGTAAGCTCTCAAATTGATAATTGTAAAAAAAAAAAAAAAACCTATTTCTTTAAGAAATAATCCTTTTCTTTAACAAAAAATTTATTCAATTATATTATAATGAAGTCTATTTGTATAATCGGAGTTTAACAATTTTAAGGTATAGTGAACCTAACACATTTTCAATTTATCCGTAGACTTTTAGGAAAATGGCAATAAATTATCACTAAAAATAATTTAAATTACTAAAAAAATTTCCCAAGACAACTTTTATAGAAATTTTAAACTCTACAACAATATTTTGATTTTAAAAATTGCTACATTATATTTAGATTAATGTAATAAGTTTTATTGTGTTCAAAAAAAAAAAAAACTTTCAAGATTTTTGCTAAATTCAAGTTTCATAATGCAGCAATTCTCATTTTTTTTTTTTTTTTTGGCTGTAGAACCCTAAGTGAATAACCTACATATGGCGAAACCCTGAGACTTAAAGAAAAATTTCATTAGTAATTGTGAACATATTAATTAACAAAAGACTAGTAATTATTTGAAAACCTGTAATGATCTAAATTTAATTAATTATATTTTGAAAATATTTAGTGAATGAATAACGAATGAATTTTTTTCATCAAATTGTTTTTTCAATATTAGCCTTAAAATTGGGTTTTATTTCAGACTTGAATTCGCAGGTACGGAGCAGCATCAAGTCAACTTCTTAAGTTGATTTTAATTTACGCATAAACTAAAAAGAAAGAGCTGAAAATCTGCTTCCAACAAAATGAACCTAGAGAATGGTTATCAGAGAAACATACTTTGTCGAATTTGGTTATTTTTGCTTGATAAGAAATACTAATTTAATTTTTTCATAAATGCATATCCCTTTCATAATTTGTTCATTACATTGTTTAGAAAAGATATTATTTTGAAATTTATTTCTTCACTCACAAGCAATTCAATTAAATATTTTCATAAAAACAATAGAAATATTAAATAAATGAAAGATTATTAATTGGATATAAATTTAATTACAGGTTTCGAAAACTCATAACACATTTAACTCTCGGAACTCTGGAAATCATTCCACATAACTATGAAGTTCTGACGAACATTATTTGTGAATCGCTGCTATTATGAGTCGATGATTGTGATTTACGATGTTCCATAAATGTAAAGAAACAAAGTTTTTAGTAAAAAATATGAATAAAATATAAATGTTCATCAACAGTGACTGCCATTTTACATATTCTTGGCAGTTTTACAAGTGGGTAAACTCGTAAAATATTTTTCTTCTATGCACTGTTTTCTATGTTTTTCATAACATGAAAATATATAGAAATGAGTTTCAAATCATATACAATTCTCTATAAGTTTACTTGACAGAAGGCAAAATATATGATAAGCAACAAAAAAATATATTACCTTCATGTGATTTTGAAGTTGAGGATGTTGGAACTTTATATTTCTCAAGAAGATATTTAATTTGTTCTTCTTCAGATCTACCTTCCCATGGTTCTTGATATTTAGAAAGCAGATTTTCTGGAAGATTTTCTTGACTTTCAGGTTTTGAAATATTCACATCACTCTAGCGACAAATAAAAGAAGAAAAAAAGATTTTTTTTAAAAATCATTCAGTAAATTAAATGAAGGTTGAAAGAAATTGCTAAATATATGGCTTTATATAAATTTCTATTACTCAACTATTTTAACAGTGGCCACGTTTTAAATATAGACTAACAATTTAAAAAAAAAAAATTAAAAAAATTTTGAAATTAAAAATATTTCAAAGCATTTCTTAAAATATGGTAAACATTGAAAAATAATTTTTAAAATGAAGAAAATTTTAAGAAACAAGTGTAAAATGAAGTTTAAATTAATTTTGAACTTTTTGAATATTAAAAAATATTGAAAATAATTCCACATTTATTCAACAAAAAAATAAATAATAAAATTCACTTGAGGTTCAATTTTATTAAAAAAGTAACAACCAGGTGGTGACCATTAATTTTGTTCGATAAATTGCAGCTTATCTCTTTTTGCATCAACAAAATTTTACATCATGATGAATTAGTTATAAATCAATTTTTACTCTTCTGACACTCTACATCTTAAATTATATTTTAAATACATTAAAACCTAAATTAATTAAAAAAGATACGCTTATGCATACAAAATCATTTAAAACTTAATCATAAATTATATTTATTAATACAATTAAAAATCAAAATGTAATCCAAACAAAATAGGGCATTTAGAACGTGATGTTCACAAAGTCATGAAGATTTTAAAGAAATTTCAAATATAATTATATATTTTGTTTTCAGAAAGCAAATTTTTAGATTACTTGTTATTCAAAGTCTAAAGGAGCAATAACAGTGTTACACATATGCTTATTTTTCTCTTTTACAGTTTATCAACTATCTTGGAATCATATTTAGTTCCCTATTTTAATTTGCTATTTTTTTTTAATGAATCCTAAATGTTCACAAATGATGCCTACATTTTCTCCCCTATATGGTTGTTTTATGTAATTTCTTGCTGTGACTAGAATTGAGGTTACATCAATCTTTATAACATAAAAAATTTCAAAAACATTAGAACTTGTTAATCTCGCATATTTATTTGTTACAGTTCTCGAGATTTAACAGAACTTTCACATTAACCATTTAATTTTTGATTGTGGATATTCTGAAAATGTTTTTGCCTTAGAAATGATTGCAACCCTAAATTAATTATGTGTTTTAGAGAAAATGCTCAAAAAAATACTCAAAAATAAATGTTTAAAATAAATTATCAGAAATAATTATTTTATAACAATGAAGCGCTTCCTATTTAACTTGTAAGAGTCGTTTTTTATTTTTCAACCAGGAGAGCAAAGGAGCGTTAACTTTAGATGGTTTTCTTTAAACTATAAAAAAAAAATTTGAGTTGAATCTTTTGATTATAAACCAGATAATTCCTCTAGAAGTTTCATTCTTTTGTGACACACTGCGTATAGGTAAGCAATAAAAAAAAATTAAAACAGAAAAGGCAATATTAATTGATACATCATTTCTTACAGTTTCAGAATCCATAGCCCGTAATTTAGCCAAACGAGCTTCAATTTCATCTTCAGGTTTAACAATTTTCGAATCCAATTCAACTTTTTCAGACATTTCTTTCATGAGGTCTGATGCTTTTTCAAAAGAAGATCTTCGATCAGCTGGTCTGAACACCTAAAGAATGAAAAAAGACATTTAAACTTCTTAAGTATCTTTTGAACGATATTTCTAGATTAAATTACTTTCAAAACCAAATGATGATAGCAATTTGTAAATTTAAAAGATTTTTTTTCTCTCCATCATTTGAACCTATTCAATTTGCACTTTGTCAATACATTATTTCAGGAAGCTGAAATGTGGGAAGTTTATTATTCAGCAGGGTAATATGCCCACATATAACAAACACCAAGAAAAGATATCAATATAGAATAGTAAAGCAACAAGTTTGTCAAGGCAGACTCGTTAGCATTTGCAGCTAGCCAATCATAAATAAACTTACTTCAATGGGAGGAGCTTTGTATTTTGATGGGTCCATTCCTTTCAATTTTGCAATTCTTTCTTCGATTTCACTATTACTGGGCAAATCAGCTAAATATTTACAAAACAAAACAATAATGCATTACTAAAACAATCTTAAAATTTGTCAAATATTTTAATAAAAATTGAACTATCAAATTCTAAAGAATCTAATTCCTAATTAATTCTTTTTAATTTGATATCAAGGGAAAACATAAATATCCAAATTGTAAAAATTTTTATTTGTAAAAAAGAGCAACAAAAAAATTTATAATTATTGAGATTGGGTCACCTAGATTGTAATTGATTTGAAACCACTCAGTAGAAAAGATGCTATCTACGGGAAATACATTTGGAGAATAATAGAAAATGAGAAGCAATTTATAAATATTGTGAGTGAACTTAATTAAATACTTAAATTAAATGTATAAGTACAATAGAACATCCTTAACCTCAACTTGAAGGGGTCATAAATTTTGTTCACATTATCAGTTTAGATATTTTTTTGATGAAAATCAAACAATACACAGATATTTTCTACTGTCTATATCTATAACCTGTCACATTTTCTAATTTTTAATTTCTATTACATACAAAAAAATTAATATTTCACGCTTTCTATTCAATTAATAACTTCTATATACCTCATAATAAATGCAACCAATTAAATAAAGCTTTAAAGGAAGAAAAAATATTACAGTTCAGACAAAATTCAAAAAGTGTAAAATTTTTGTGCTCGGTTTTTTGTTTCTTTTAAATTCTGTAGAAGCAAATAAAAGATTACTAAAAAATTACTAACTAATGAGAGTTAACTGATTTATTCCAAAAATTTGAAAGGATTACTAACAAAATAATCAGTAATAGTAGTAATCTGTTTTGGTTTCTTATTCTCACATGCTTTGCAAAGTTTTCAACTTATCAATGGTATCAACAACAAAAAAATAGATAGGTTAATCAAAAGTTTCATTTTGTATTACAAAAGAACAAACAGTTTAAATTGCTAGGTGTTTGACTGAATATGTAGAAATCCAGCTTCTCAAATATGTTTAAAGTATCTTATTCGCTAATATACTATTATGATAAAAAATTTCAAGCAAAAGGTGATAAATAATCATTCTTAAAGTCGCACAATAAATTTTTTGATATTTTTAAAAATTTAATTTGCTAAAAAAAAACTTATTTGAAATTTCCCCTTCCGTAAGGAAAATTATGCAATATTTTATAAAAACTCAATTGTTAATGGGAAAGTATTTTAAAGATTATTTATTTCTAATTAATTAAAACCATTAAGGAAAAAAAATTATTTAAATTTAGATATGCCTTTTATTGACTGATAGCATTTTTACACCTAATCAAGGTTTCAAAATATAATTAATCCTTTGTAAAAAAAAATTTGGTGCACATAATAATAGATAATTAGAATTAATTAATTAATAGTGAAAAATAAAAGATTTTAAAACTAAGATTACCTTTGATTCGATCACTTTTAAGTTTTTGAAGTCTCTCAGCAATTTCTATGTCTTTATCACACCATTCAGATTGTAGTTGCACATGAGTAGCTGAATCCACACTATAAGATTGTTTTTTCAAAAGAGACATACGTCTAAAGGGAAAGGAAAGCAAGAGCTACTTTTTAAATTCTTAGCTTGCTTACATAAAAAACTAATGGTTGAAAAACTAAATACTAAAACTAAAGTTTGCAATCAATAAACAAAATTTTTCCTTAAAAATGCTGTATTTGCTGAAAACTATTGCTCAGATTATATCAATTTTTTTACATTATATACGCCACTCTTTAATTTTCAGTCACCATACTTCATAAAATTTTAATAAGAAAATAAGAACCTTTAAACACGAAAAAACCCAAGCCTTGGCAGCGGTGTGCTACAGTAATTTTTTTAAACAGGGTGTGTAGCCATATTATTCAACAAAAAATAAGCACCTTTTAAGCACTTTTCAAGCAATTAAAAAAATCTTCTTAAACACTTTAAAAAAATATCATAATTAGGCAGGGTTGGAAAGTTTTTGACAGTTGATGGTTTTATCTCGTTTTAATCGTCATGTAAAAAAAAAACCTTTTGGCATTGTTTTTGACAATTGTCAAAAATCATGAAATTTTGAATCATGTAAAACGAATGGCGTTTTCATACGCTACGGAATGACAATACACTAAAATAGATTGGGGTTGAATTAATTGTGAAAATGTTGAATAGAACAATCTGAACTGTATCTTTTTGCATAATTCAAAGCGAAAATCAACATAGTTAAGGAAAGATATCATTCTGAAAAAGGGAAAATTAAGCACTTTTTAAAAACACTACGCACCCTGTTAAAGAATATCAATCTATCTATTCATATATATGTAACATAAAAAGCTTCAATTAATCTTTTTATGTTAGTTTCTTTGCTATAAAACTTCATCCTAATTAATTATTCTATTTGAAATACTTTCTCACACTTTTAAAAGCCACATCCTGTTTTTAAATCTATTTTTGGCTCAACTATGCATTTAATTAAGAGCAGGACATATTTCCCTTGCTTTGTGTGGGAAACGCGCGTTCTCTTTCATAAACCAATAGCAACTACTAAGATTTCCCTCTTTCCCTAAATTAAGACATTTTACGGATTTTACTTTGCAAGATTTTCCCTAACATATAACCAAGGAGCGCAATTTTTCATGTGCACTTTCACTCACTCTCATGACTGCTCTTGTCTAATAATTAATAAATAAATTTTGTACCCTCCTTCCCGACCTATGACCTGTTTTAATCCTTCCACTCGGCAACGACGTTATATATATATGGTCTCGCTTGGAATGAACTCTGCTTCTATTCTTTATTTTCTGCTCTTACAATATTATTGATTAATTAATTACGTAACAGTAAATATTTATCCAAATTAGGAAAAAAAATTTCAGTGAAATCAGCATTAAAAAAAATGAAAATGAAATTTCAATGAGAGTGATTATAGAAATCAGATCAATGTTGTAACAAATGAAAAGATGTTATTTTGTAATTTTGCGACTGTTTGAAGAAGAAGAAAAAATATTTACCAAGAAAATGAAGATAATAGGTAAAGAGAAACAAATATACCACAATGATTTAATTAGTCGCAATTTTCAAATTGAATAAGTAATCACATTCGTAGATAAGGTCATCATCAATCAAAAATAACACTTACTTCAAACAATAGTTACAAATACAGAAACAATAATAGTTACAAATTAGAAAAAGAATACCACATCAATCAATCTGATATGACTCAAATTTTTTGAAAATTTTTACTCTTAAATAAATCTACTGTGGTTATGGAATTCTAACACTAAGCTTCTCCTGGTAAAATGAAATCTGGCAATAGGCCACATTGACAATAATTTAACTTTTAAATACAGATAAGCATCGGCCAATTTATTAAAAATTATTACAGTACAAAACGTTTTATCCGGTAACTAAAAAACCAAGAAACCAGAAAAAATTTTGCTGGGTTTACCTGTCATTTCGAACTTAAACGGTTGAGGCAAATTGCAGAAATTCCAGTCACTCTTGAAGTTCAGTAGAGGGAAAGGTGTGAGTCTTTGATTTACGAGGGGGAAATGCATTACACATGCTTACCAATGAACAGAAGGTGGAAGGGTAATAAAAAATTATGCTGCTATACTTTACTATGCAAATATAATAAAGTAAAATGAATGAAGTAGAAATTTTTAATTGGAATATTAAAATAGCTAAATTACAGCTACTTTTTAATGAATAGTTAAGGAGTATAGTTAGCTGCACAGTATAAAACCTTTTATCTGGTTTCTAGAAAATCCAGAAAAACTTTGACTGCTTTCCCTGCCATTTTTGAATTAGAATCACCAAGTCCTCTTTGAAGTTGAGTAGATGGGAAGGTGGGAAGGGATTCTTTTTCTACCCATTCAATCAAACATAAAGAAGCGGCAGACATAGATAAATTAAATGAACCCAAAATCTCAATTAAAAAACTTTCTGTAAGCAAATTATTGACTCTTGTAAATAGTTTCAACCCTTTCTTCACCATATTTGAAAATCACTAAATTTATTAAAGGTTTTTATTTTTATTTCATAAAATATTTATATCATGTTTTTTTTTTAAAGTTGAACTCCAGAATAGAAATGTTCAAATAAAACTACGATTTAACAAGACACAGTGAGAGCTTATTCCTAAAATCCTGTGACGTCACTTAAAATAAATAATATATGAAATGACGAGCTTGCAAACCAAATGCTGAAAAACAGCCCTCTTTGGTTGGTAGAAAAACCAACAGCTGTCCACCTGATTCTTGATGTCTGAAAGCCAAATGGTATGATGTAATTGTGAGAAAGTGCGACTGTGGAAAACAAAGAGAGAAATTCTCCTCGAATAGGCGCTGCCAGATGGATCACAGAGTAGAATGAAGGAATTTTGATCTTTTTTTTTATTATTTATGTTAATTTATTTTTAAAAACAAAATCAGATGAAATGAATGATTTCGTTTTTCACTTACGAGGGGGAAATATCAGCAAACAGAAAGTGGCAAATTGCAAGAAAAAAACATTGCTATGCTTTACAATATAAATATAAAAAAGTAAAAATAGTGAAATAAAAATACAACTTTTTAATTAAAATCAGCTAAAACAAGGTATTAATAGGTATTGTATTAAATAATTTTTTAGTGGTTCAGAAAACCGGGAAATCCAGACATCCAGAATAGCGTTAGTCCCAGGCATTCTGGATAATTGGTTCTCTACTGTATATGCATAATACATATAATATAAAGTACCTATAGATTCAGATAATTAATAACAATGCAATTAAGAACATTTTTTATGTGATGTTTAATTATCAATTGCATATAACTGACTTTAGTAAAAAAAAGTCATGAAATAGACTAATTTTAAATAAAAATAATATAATCAATTGATAATATTAATAAATTGCATAAGCAGTTTGCTAATTTCTGATGCATTTAGAAGATTCATATGTTTTATAATACAGTCCCATAATTAAGATAAAATGTTAGTTTTCAGTTTGAACAAAATATTATAAATAAATATTTTCAGCATTAGTCATATTTCAGATAAAGTTTTAAAACAATTCTAACAGACTAAAACAATGGAGGTAAGAATAAGAGGAGTAGGAATAACATTTGATTCCATGGAAGGTTAGCTAAAGAAGATTTTATAAGTGAATTTGTATATTCTTTACACTTAGCATGTGAAGAATATATAAAAAAATATTTGTAGAATTGTTCTCTACCTCATTTATATAAAAGAGAGGAGGCCTAATAAAATGCATTTTCATCTGTTATCGATTTTAATACCACAAAATAAAATTAATTAAATGCATATTGTCTCCGAGTTTGATGAAAAACCACTATATCTATTTTATTTGTTGTAGATGACCATCTGGTAAATATTTGTTACTACTAAAGAATAGCTGTCCCTGAGTATACCTATCAATGCAGAAATCCCCTTTTTCTCATCGCTTATCACCAGAGAGTTAATAACTTATTGAGATAAGGAATTCAATAAATAAAAAGTTTTATTTTAAAACTTGTAAGTTTATTATGCTTTAACCCAAATACAGAAATATGAAAGCATTAAATGAAAATTTTTCATTGTAGTTATCATGACATCATCAATATCCACACAAGAGGTTTTAAAATAAAATATTAGACTGATTTTATAAACTATTTATCTAAAATCTAACAAGTTTTGTTTAAAAAATCATGGATATCTGGGATTAAATTTAAATGTTGCTTTAGATTTTACAAATAATTGCATAAAATAAAGGTATCTATGTTTTTATAAGAAAAAAAATGCACTGAAATTAATTTAGTATATAGTTTAGAATAAAAATTGTGTCTTGGTTTAAAAAAGAAAAAATATTGCATTAGTGTTAAAACAAATTCTTTAAAGAGATCAATTTACTAACTAAATAAATGTTACTTCCAAGGCTTCTGTGTTCATGTTATTCCGCGATTTAAGTTAACAGTTTTAGGATTATTAATCATATTCTGTTCATCTAAAAAATGAAAATAAAGTATATTACACTATATCTTTGAATATAAAATAAATTGTTATAGTTAGAATAACAAAACTAAGAATAAGAGTTTTCCTAAAAATTTAAAAAAATTAATTAATCCACTGGCTACTTTTGGATATGCATTGTAATATTGTGTATTTTGAGTCTTATGTGATTTCAATTTATACTTCAATAAAATAATCTTTATCTTTAATAATTAGTTCAACTTTAGTTACATTAATGTATTTTTAAAAAATGTAAAGATATATAAAAAACAACTAAAAACTCTAGTTGCATAATTTTATTTTTTAAAATTAAAGAAACCTTTAAAAAACATATCACAAATTATTTTCATTGTACAGCTCTTAGAATTAAGAACATTACATTGAAAGCAATTAATGATATAAAAATACCATTGGACAAGTATTCTATTGCTCTCATTACCACTTACTAAATTTAATCTAAATTAAAAACATCATTAAATTACAAATATACTGTTATGTTACTAAAAATGGTTTTGGTTAAAAAGTTCTCGGTGTTCCGCAATAAAATTTTTGAACAAATAATTTAGTCCAATTCTACTATAAATGCTCTGATTAAATTTGGTTAATGCGTTGACATGGCTAAACGAGGTCCACAAGATCATTATAAAACTTATTTTCAAGTAAAGAAGAAAAACAATTTTTTTAGTGCAAATTATGTTCTTAAGTACAGAAGTGCAATATTAAGCTAAAATAAGTCTTCAATTTATGATAGGTGAAATGCATTCTACGCTAGATTTGGGACAAATCATCGTGACAGACTCGACAAGAAAATGGGTTCACTTGCAAGATGTTTTGCTCATTCTTCTTATTCTTACCTCATTAATTAAAACAAATAAAATTCTCTTATACTGATAACAGCAGAACTTACTTTTTGTGGGCTAATGGGGGTGAAATATCGGCAGTAGTTGCAGCACGGCCTCTAGTGGAGCAGGAAATAAAAAATGGGTAATTAAGTAGTTTGTTAATATAAAATTTTAAAATAATGAATTTTTTAAATAAAATTCACAATAACAGAATCATTACAATATTAAAGTCTGTTAAAATCATCTTTAACAGGATGGCCACAAACAATAAGAAGAAAAAAAATTCACTGTGATTAGACTGATTTTATTAAATTTCTCCCATTTTTATAACCCACGGCAAAAAATTTTAAGTAAACTTTTTAGTTATGCTTTATTCTTATAAAATATATTACAAGACACTTATACTTGTGATTAAAATTGAAAATAAAAATAAAAAAAATTTTTAAGGAAAAAATTATTGCAAGACCCAATAATTTTAGAAAAAATATTGGACTTTTAGATATATCAATTTCAAATTACTTTATTTTCCCAGATTTTTTAGTATTATAATTAAATTCCCTGACATTTCCCTTATTTCCTCCAATTTATAAAATTCCCTGACTTTTCTCTGAATTATATAAATATTTCAGAAAAAGTATAAATTAAAGGTTTGTTCTTTAAACTAATTTAACTCATTTACTAATAAACTAATTTAATTCATTTACAATGTAATAACCACAGTAACTTTAACTGCAAAAATAAATATAAGACACATAATAAATAAAATTTTCGCTATTAAAATATGTTTTATATAGATTTCAGCAATTAATATATTCATTTTTAGTTGAAAATTACTCCTATAGTAAAAAATAATAAATATAAATGACAATTTATTATTACTATTATTATTTTTTTGTGCTATGAGAACCTGATACAGGATAAGAACCTGCATAAGGGAAATGCAGACATTACAACCGTTTTCTTTTATAATTTATAACAGTCAAGAAACATAAACTTTAAAAGAACACAAGATTTAGGAAATAGATTAAATTAAAATACAAAATAATAGTGAAAAGGATGTTTAATGATGTAAAACAAGTAGTCATAAAATATGTTTAAACTCACTTTGTCTTCTGCAAAAAGCAGGCATTACAAATTAAATACTTTTTCAAGTCTCCACTCTCTGATTGTACTTCTTGTTTCCTGCAGCATTTTCCACAAAAAGCAAAACCACAATTTTCACAACCAATCTGTAATAATAAATGAATTTTACTCTCTAAACAAGACAATAAGACATCAAAACAATAACAATAGAATAATTTCTTTTAATCAATTTGACTCTTGTACTAAACAAAGCTGAATAAAAAAAGGGAATAGAAATCTAGCTATTGAGGTGTTAATATAAATCAAAAATTTATTCATATTCTTGACAAATGATCAATTGTGAATACAGCAACTCCATAGTACCTCGTGCCTTACAAGTAGGTGTATCAAAGATGTCCTTTAAGCTTCTTTGTGGATAATTGTCACTTAGAAAAAAGTAAAATGATCAACCATTTTAAATTATTTCACTTAGACAGGTTTCAAAAAGGACACACCTGTTGGAAATATCTTGCAGATGTCATAAATGACACAAATTCTGATTATCCAGTTTTTGAATTAACAAATTTGATTCGCTGAACTAGAGAAAATGTTATCAATAATGATGGTTTTGTAAACATTGATAAGAATATATAATGTCAAAAGAATGAATTAAATATAAATGAAATTGAGGAAATAGCCACACATAATGATGCCAAGAATATCAAGAAACTAATACTCAATTGATGCAATCAAAAAAAGAACCAAAAGAGAAACTATCAACTAAACTAAAAGTGTTTTATCTATCCAAAAATTAGGAAATCAGTGTATTAGTGTGACATTATTTAAAAATGTAAAATGAAAATATAGTAAGTTCAGCCGCTTCAAACAAACTTCTATATCAACTGGATAAATATAAAACACAGGCATATATATACACATCAAATTTCCTTATCAATTCTCTTATAGATTTTTTTAAGTTAAAATAAACATGAATATAAATAGATACATATTATAGAATATTTAATTATTTCTATATTATTTAAAAATATAAATGCAATTCTTCTTCGTTATTTCTTTCATTCGGCTTTTAGTAAACTGTCAGTTCTCGTAAACAGGCAATATTTTCTGTTCCAGGAGAGTCTGCTTAACCGAAGTTTCACTTTATAAATATATTTTTAACCACAAAATATTTACATTTCATGTGTAACTTTAAAATAGAGATTTTGATTATTATTTTAAAATACAGCGTTTGGTAATAAAAATTTTAAAAAACTAGAAATTTGGAACACCTAGGCTTCAAACACATATACTTTCCAAAGTAAAGCAGATTCACTGACAGTTTATCTTTTTATTGATAAAAGTGCACATATTGTTTTTTGACTGGAGACAACCTTGATATTTGAAAAAAAATCCATAAGTTTTTCAAAAAATAGCAATTTAACATGAATGGTTAAATTTTATCTAAACCGTAATATTTACCTCCTTCTTGAAAATTCCAAACTCTGTTCCACAAGCAGAACAAGGCATTATAAAAATCTGAAATTTAAAAGATAAATAAAAAAAGTTCATCATTAGTAAAAATACACTTTACTTCAGTAGTTTAATTAAAAATCTATGCTAAAACCTAAAATAAACCTAAATTTATAACTATAATAAACCTAATAAAACCTAAATTTATAAGGAAAAAAAAGCAATAAATGGAGCATGCATTTTTAAATAAAAGCTATTTATTTAAAATCACTGAAAAATTCATCAATCTATCCACTTCCCAATTGAAAGATGCGAATATCTCTGTGTCTAAATATCATGTGCATTTTAAATATTTAACTAGACAACATAAAAATATCACTAAAATGAAGGAATGAAATTAAAAATCATAGTTAAATATCAATCAGTAACTAATTAATCAGAAATTGACCTTTCATTAAAACAGGTGGTTAAGAAAACAACCATTTCCCTACAGAGCAATAGAAGCAAATATAGAGCTGATGCCTAAAGCATTTTATAATACATGAAATATATATTACATCCCTAAAAAAATTATGAAGCTTAATCAAAGTCAATAACTATGTATGGCAACAAATTTCTAAAAATGCCCCTTTTTTAATTATGAAATAAAAGTTACAACTTTTGCGAAGATTTCTATTTCAGATATGCAGCAAGTTGCCAAGTTTTTGCAACAATCAGACATCAGCACATGTGAAATTAAGAACAAAGAGAAACAAATTCAAAGAGAAAAAGAAACAAATTCAAAGCCACACCTAGGTAAGAAATAGGGGAGATTTCGTGATCTGTGGCAGAATTATAGCCAAGTCTTGGAAACTTCCGGGCAGCAGCGAGTGAGAAACTAAAAAAACATCACAGAAAGGGACCAACTCGTAAGGTATAACTCGTAACCACCCCCAGGCAAACATCTACATGTTTGTTTGTTTTCAAAATTTGCAAGTTTAAAATCTATTTGGCACCTTGGCGATTATAATTGGTGCGACAGATCACGATACGAAAATATCCCCAAGACATAAAATATTTGTTTTCGAAATTTTTGTAAGCACAAGAACCATACACTGACACTTTGATGATTGAAATTGACCTGACTAGGATCCAATATAGGACAGTGCCCTCAACTACTATCACACAAAATCTTTTGAAAAGTAAGTATAGAGCTAAGATGGCTATTTGGAGCAAAAGAAAAGTCCCATTTGTTAATGATTAATCTCACACTATAAATATAAACATATGCATTTTATGGCAGTTAAAATAATTTTAAGCAACAAAAAATTTATTTATTTTTTAACAAAAACTGTAATTTTTGGTTTAAAAAGTAAATTTCTTTATATGAAATTGTATACATGGCTAAAATTCATTAAAACTCTATGGTGCTATTACTGCAAGACTCATTTAAAGGTGTAAATTCTTAAATCATAATTTTAATTAAAATAGAGAATATAGTTCATCATAAAAAGCTCTTTCAATAAAAAGGGAGAGTTAAATGAAATAAAATCAAATGGTACACTATTTTTGAATATTCAAAATAAATATAACTATGTTTGAACAAAATTATAAACATCATCACGTCTAGAAAATAATGACTGCTCCTTAGCTTTTAATTTGAGATGATACGTAATTTTGGAAACATTTTACAAACAGATAGATTTTACTTGACAGCATATTTAGTTTTAGCCATATCTCAATTAAACCTTCATTTGGCTGGTAAATTAAAAGAAATTTTGATAATCAATCAGTTTTATGAATTACTTTTGATTTCTCGATTAGTTATGGACAGAATTCTTTGAGTTATTCTTTTATTAAAGTGTAACAAAAATATACAAGTATAAACAAACGTAGTTCGTTCTTGGTTCTGGTTTTGTTGTCAAATTAACACCCAAAATATTCAACTAAATTTTCTTCTCTTCATTTCAACTTCAATGGATGAGTGATCTAATGTAAACAATAATAAACAAAAACATTTTGTAAACAGAAATACTTCCTTTTCCTAAAGAGCTTCAACCAAACAAATCTGAGCAGCCGGAAACGTTTTACATCCTTCAAACATAACAAAACACAACTAGACACGCATTTCTACATTTCTTATAATTACTATATATTTTAACAGTTAAATTTTTCATTTGAATATTAAATGATTTATTATATTTGCTGGAAGTCATCTACTTGAATTAGCCTACCTTCGTTTGAATGTGAAGTTGTTTTAGAATATATTAGTTTTACTTGCTTTATGTTTCTTTCGAACTTAATTTTTTGGAATATCTTATATCTGATCGAATTTCTAAATGAAATATTTGTAACTAGTGTTTTAACTATGATTATCTTTTTTTAATGAGAGGAATATTTTATTCTCATCCTTATCACTATTAGCAATTCGTATTTGAATAGAGATGAGAAACTATGTTCTTTACTTTTCATATAAATTGTTTTAAGATCTTGCGTTTTTTTTTTTAATTAAATATTTAGACTTTCCTTTAGTTGACTACAAATTTCTTTTGATACTTTTATATGTATTTCATAAATTTTTTCTTCTTAATTTTAAAAAAAGATTTGAAGCAACTGTTTTTAAATTTTTTACCTTTTGTATGCTTATATCTTTCTAAATACTCTCAATCTCTCTTAGTCTATTTTTCTCTCACAGGAGCTGGTCCAGAAAATATACTTTCAAATGTATCTTTTTTTAACTTGAGCTTGCTGACCTAATTATATTTTCTATATTTATGAACATTTCTTTTACCTGGACTTTTTTTTCTTTCTTATATATTTTTACAGTTCAAAAGCTCTTCTGTACTCTAAAGTAACCTCTATCTTCTTTAATGAAAAGTTATGTGAAATTGGGAATGTTAATTTTCCTCAGTTTTTAGTCCTTTATACAATGTGTCAAATCATTTAGATAATTCAATTAATATTCATTGTGTCTGAAGTTTAAAAATAATTTGTGTTTCTTTAAAGAAATAGTGTGATACTGATAATTAATGAATTATTTATGTGCATACACATGGGTTTTATTTCTCCATTAATTATCTGACAAATAATTATTATCCTGAAAAGAAAGGAGGAATTAATTCCCCCCCCCAACAGAATTATTTATTAATTATTATCATTTCATTATTTGTTAGTTTACTTTTTATTTGAAGAAGGATAATTAAGAATATGTTGCTATAATTATTTTCAGACATTTTTGGTCTATTGAAATGAGCAGTTTCACAAAGAAGAAGCATGTTACTGAAGAAGTATTAAATTCATATGATCTCCCAGCAAGCAATCAGTCTATTGTTAAAGTAAGTTTCTTTTTTTTTTTTTTCACTAAGGAGTTCAAAAATTTGATTTTATTGAAATTCAGAATTTATGTGTTCCAAATAAATGTGTTATATATTTGTTCTGCAGTAAAAATACATCATATTATAAAACAAAAAAATCTGGGTAATAATCTTTCAGAGTATATTGAGAACATTCACTCAAGAATATTTGAGTATTCCAAAAAATTGTGAATGCATTTTATTGTGAGAACTTAGATTATACATCATATTATGCAATTTCACAACTGTGTGTTTAATATTTTCTTATAATTTTACCTTAGTGTTGTAAAAATATTAAACAAAACAAGACTAACATTTCTTTAAATTTCTATTATTGATAATTGGCATACATTCTGCATATAATTAACCTGCACTTAATGTTGTGTAACAATTATGGATACATTCGCACTAAACATGACCACCAATTTTATTTTTTGTTATATGAAAGTTACATTTTCTTAATTTATAATATCCAAAGACAAAAAAAAATTACCCTGATTACCTTTTGATCTAATGATTGGATCTGCTCGTAATGGGACACAATCTTAATGGTTCGAGGGGTAGCCTTAAATATGCTAATTATTTACTGTAGAAGATATTTTAAGTTATGTAATCGGACACAAAAATGTACTTTCTCTGAATAAAAATACTTTTTTTTTCCTCCACAGCTTTGGATTTCTGACCCTCATTAATAAATAATCAAAAAAAATAATTTTTAATAATTATTTTATTAATAGTAAAAAAAAAAATTTAGAATTGTAAGGTACATAAATATTTACATAAAGAATGTGATTTTCTATGTTGAAATACAAAATTTGAACAAAATCAGTTGAATAGTTCCTGAGTAAGGAATTTTAAATGTAAAACTTCCTTACCCCCTCACGGTTCTGCACGTAAAAAAAAATAATCTGGATTTTGCCCATTTCCCAAACCACTGGTGGGTTAAATTTAAATTTCTCAAAAACTATTCACCAGATTTTGTTCAAATTTTGTATTTTGCCTTAGACTGACTAATTATGTACTTTAAAATGAAGTCAAACTTTGTATGTCTTACAATTCAAACCTTTTTTGACTGTTAAATAATATTTATTTAAAATTCTTTTTTGTATGGAATTATCTTTGAATGAATGAATTGTAATTTTGATAAATAAATTAATAATTGTATGTAAAAAATTTGCTTAAAAGATTCTAAAATATGGAAAAATATTCAAAAAGTACAAGTTAAGTCTGATTTTATAACTTAAAATCGTCTGCACTAATGGAACCAAAATTGAGTCATAGTATGTGAAGATCATAAGTTATTCAAAGTTATTCATTTTTTGTTTTTTCAATATGTACATTTATCATTGTAAATATTCCAGTTTATTCTTATAAATTGTTTATAAACTGTTTTTTTTTTATTATTATCTTAGATAAAAAAAATTCAATAATGGTAAAAGTTTAATGTTAAATGTTTACTTTTTATAAATAGCTACATTAAGAATTTTTTTAGTAATTGAGTTTTATTCTTGATTTTGATTTTCTGTGAATTCTTTACTTTAGTATTTATAAAAAATCTAAATGCAATAATTTATTTATTTGTTTTATAAATTTTTCAACATTTTTTTAAACTATAAAATATTATTATGACAGATCGTTGGAAGCCGGGGCAACAATCTACATGAAATTCTTACTCCAAAAGGTGATACATTCTTGGTCAGCATGCCTAACAAGTTCAGAAAGCATGTCTGGATAAAGAGGGGTAATGTTATTGATTCAAATTTTAATAAATAATTTATTTTAATTCTTATTTATGTAATGCTTTTTTCCGAATATATTTGTAATATTTTTCTCTTATTTTTATTATTTATTATTATTATTTTTTATTTTTTGTTACAAATTTGTTCTTTCGAGCAATCAAGATGCCATATTTCCTGTTTGCCATAATTTACTATACCTTATTATTAATTCATAATACAAATTCATATTATTTTTTCCTTGATTTGAATAATATGCTTTAAATGGAAAAAAAATTTATGAGACTTCTTGTCGAGTTATTTGAAAGTATCTGAGCTTCTGTGTTCAATAAATGTAACATAATGTAGCGGACTGTCAAAAAAATCAATTCATAATAGAAACTTTTGTTTTCTTTTTCTTTGATTTTAACTATGTTTTAGATGGAAATGAAATCAGTGAAACTTCTTGAGTTTGCATTTGAATATGCCTGTATTCAGTATGCAATAAATTTTACATTATATGTTGCAATAATTTAGCAATTTTGAATGTTAGATAGAATCTTATTTCAATCCATTATAAATTTTTTGTTATATAATTTATTTTAAGGCATAAGATGATTAATGTAAAATTATATATTTTAAATTTATGCATAGTTTGCTTACATTAAAATTAATTTTTAAAATTTGTTTTAGCTAATGCTCCAATGTTTGTTTGTTTTTTTTCTTATTCAGATGACCTCCTCGAAGTTAAATAAAGTAAAAATACAGATTTTGCAATTTTTTCTGTGTTTCTGTTTTATTACAGATATAAGTTCATTTTAGTTTTCATAAGCTGTATTTTTAATTTAGTTCTAATAAATGCTAAAAGCCCTTTCCTGACAATAAGAAAAACACATATGTATTTACATTAATCCAATCTATTTTTTCATAAAATCTTTCTTCATTTATAATTGCTCTGCACATTCATAAAATGTATTTGGTTGAGATCAGGACTATAGCTGCCTTTGGTTGCTATCTTGTGACTTTTAAACTTGAAATATTGTTTTAATTGTAAAGTACAGTAACACCTTCATTCAGGAACGTAAATAATTACTTTGAATATTATTAGCTTAATGTATGAACCACAACATTTTATGTGTTTTCTTCCCCCTTCCTTAAGATCATGTGTTGTGTGTGTTTTACTTTTTTAATTTAAACCATTTGTATCATTCGAAAAAGTAGATTTCTTGCTGTTAGTTACAAAAACTTATATGAATATAGTGTGCAGTTTCAAAAAAAGAAATAAAAGATAAAAATTATTTCTTTATTTATTTTACTCAAACTACAAAGTTCTTAATTGTATATTGAAACTCACCTTCAATTGCCACCTTATATTGATGCTATTGATTAATCATAGTCAGGGGTCTGTCCAGGCCGAATTTACTACCGTTTAACGGTACCTTCACAAATTCAACTTTAGGAAAAACTGTAGTTTCACAAATTCAATTGTAGGAAAAACTGTAGTTTCACAAATTCAATTGTAGGAAAAACGGTAGTTTCACAAAATACTTTTTCTTAAAATTTTATTTTTGTATCCCTTAAGAAACGATAAATCCATATTTTTGTGTTGAATTTTTAATATAATTTTTAATTTTTCACAAATTATGTCTAAATTTTCACAAAATAGGTACCTCTCTGAAAAACCTAGAGAGACCCCTGATTTGCTGACATTATCAGTTAAAATCAAATTAATATTAAGACTTCATTTATAATCTGTGACAAATAAAAAAGAATTAAGTCTTAATAGTATCTATCTATATACACACACACATGTTCAAATATGCAATGTTGCAATTAACTTCTTCATGAGAAATTTTTTTTGACTCTTTAGGAGATTTTGTAATCATTGAGCCAATAGTAGAAGGAGATAAAGTCAAAGGAGAAATCATGCGAGTTTTACTTAAAGATCAGATTCTTTATTTCCAACAGCAAAGTGTATGGTAAGTTATTAAATTATTCATAAATATCATACTTGAATTGTCTTTTGCCGTTATAATCTACGTTAGGACTACATTGCATTAAATTCAATATAAATTAAGAGTTTTTTAGTTTGTTATAATAGTTCCTACTTTGGTTTCCCATCTCAAACAAATGTTATTTTTTGTCCCCCCCCCTCTTTAGTTTTGGAGCAAAGCAAATAAATGATTTTTTTTATGAGTATGGTAGAACTCAAAATCTAGAAAACCTTGAATTCACAAATAATAATAATTCGCATAACTCAAAACCTATACATTTTTCATATTTATATTGAAAATTACAAATGAATTCTTGTAAAAGAATGTTCCAAACAAAATTAGTTTCAACTAGTATTTTTTCCTGTTATATATATATATNTATACATATATATATATATATATTCTTCTATAATCTGTCATTGTTGCCAATTGGTTTAATAAACATAGCAATTCAGGAAATTTCACACTTGGCAATCGATATCACAAGTGTGTTTTAAATCTTATTTGTAATGTATACGTAATTCCCAATTTTGAGAACTCAATGGATGGAGAAGTATTTTATTTCTACTTAACTAACCCTTGCAATACAATCCGTTAAGATTCTTTTCTTTGTCTTTCTCATGCAATTTCTCTAGCTCTGTCTCTCTCATTAAAGATCGATTAATGTTTATTGCAACATTTTTAATGCAAGATTAATATCACTCCTTTTATAAGAGATCTTATTGTAGCTTTAGGCCATTTAGTACTATTTCTATAGACCATTCAGCAGGCAAGTTTCCATCATCATATTGTTTCAGTATTTTTAATTTTGATTCATTTCTCAAAATCAAAATAGCTTTTTATGGTGTATTGCAAACTTATCAAAGGTTTTACTTTATTTATAATGATGGAAGATTTATTTTTAGAACCAACTGAATTCTGAATCTATAAATTTCAAGATTTCTTTTCATATATTTCTTTAAAATTGGATTGTAAAAACTATTTAATCTTTTACAAATAAAATTTTAACGAAGTTAATTAAAAATTTAAAGTAATCAGTGATTATTTAAGATTTAAGCATAAACAAATTTATTGTATCTATGAAGCTATTTTTTTATGCTATAGATTCTGCACTGTAATAATTTCTTTTTGTTTTCTCAAAATCATTTTGTTTTCTCATGTGTGATATAGTATATACTCTTAATGTTTAATTCTCACTTTTAAAAAGTGGACTTATGAATTCATTTTACAAAAATTAACTTAAAACGTCTTTTCATATAATTTTTTTTGTTGTCCTGAACAAAAATTGGAAATAGTTTTATTTTTAACTAGTTTTATTATTGAATTTCAAATATCAACATTCTCTCACATTTTTAATCCATTATTAAAAGAAAAAACCTAATTTGTAGAGGAAAAGCTTTCTGCATCAAGTGATTTTTTTTAATTAAGAAATAAATTAAAGGAATTTAATTTGATTAAAAAGTTATCTAAGTTTTATTAAACCAAATGTAGTTGATTATTAAATTACGGTGCTATTTAAGTAAAACATTTCATTTTGAACACACTAACTGATAAAAATCTGTTAAGTCTATTTTTCCACCTTTATAAGTTTTATAGAAATTAAATTTGTTAAGCAGTTAATTACTTGTATTCAATATGAATTCGAAATTGATTCCAAAATTTATTTATTGGTTCCCAAATTAATTTTGTCACAATTAATTTCTTAATTAGGATTATTTATTAAGTATAAAAAATTTATCATGTTTATGATTCATAGCTTTTATTAAATAGGTTGAATCCTATTGCTAAAAATAATATTAAAGATATTATAAGTGCACAATTTTCTATTTAGTTGATCTTTATTTTATTTTCACATATTTTTTTTTCCAGGCCTGAACAGTTTTCTGAAGCAGTCCCTCAGAGGCAAGAAAGACAGGCATCAAATTCTAATGATGAATTATTTATAAATACTAATAGACCTTATGTAGATATTTTGATATCTTCATCAGATTCTGATGCATCTGAAGAAGAAGAAAGTGACACAGAAAGTTGTAAATAAAGATTTTATTTTCAAATGTGGGTTTGTTTTTAGTACTTTCATTAAAAGCTATTCCTATTTTGTTTTGTTTTATAACTTTAGATTTAAGACTGCAAAGTAAATCATTAAATCCAAGCATAAATTTGTCTGAATGCTGAGACTCATTACACACAAAAGTTTAAGGATACCTATATTTCCAGTATTTGAGCATCTCTCTTACTTTTAAAATATCTGGATATTATATTTTTGAATTTGAATTGCTTATGATTATTTAATTATCTTTGCAATTATCAGTTATGAATAATAATAATGTGGATAATTGAAAAATTACTTATAGCAAGAAAATTGGTTAGTTATGGAAACCAAAATATAAGAATGATAAACAACAAAATATTTCATAGTAAGAATTACAGAAAAGAATTACACATTAATTCTTAAATATTAATAATTTACTTGCTTTTAAGCTGCACATTAAGGAAGCCGAGTAATATTTTCTATTTATTAATATCATTCTTAAGTTGTATTTCTTAACCTTTTGTAATGTCTTTATTTTTAAATAAGTAATAAGAATAAGTTTCTTTTTATCTGAATAAGCCAAGCATAAACTTTTACTATAAAAGTTGAGTTCTCTACTTGAGTAATTGAAATGAATAAACTTATTAACCCCATTTATGTTTCTTATTCTCAATCAAGTTTTATACTATATATATTTAAAAGGGGTCAATAATGTTTCTTATTCTTTATATGTATAAAATATTTAACAGTTGTAGAAATCTAAAAACTTAGTAAGGCTAACAAATTGAAAATCTTCTACCAATTTAAATTATTCAATTAGATATATTCTTTTCATAAATTGATGTTAAAACTGATTAAAAATCAAAAATGGATTTTAATTATAGTGAATATTAAATTTATGCAATTCTTTGAAATTACAGTCATTATTTTATTGGAATTTTTAAATGTCTTTTGTAGAATAAAAAAGATCTAATTTTTTTTGAAAAATTTATGAAACAATATTTTAATTATTTAGTTATATGCTGGGAGGTCAAAAAAATATTGTTTATTTCATTTCTTTTACGATTCCTACATAAAATGTGAAAAAGCATTTCTTCTTTCAGTTTTTAAGTTGCTATTTGAAGCATGGAGGAGTTGGGCATAATGTCTGATGTAAAGCCATACCCTAAAGGAGACCACCATATATTACTTGGTTCAAGGTCACGGTAGACACTTTTCGAATATGTCCTAATTGAATGAGTTATTTTTAATCGTAATTATACTATTGAACAGTTCTAAATTTTATGAAAAAACTTGCTCAAAAAAAATTATTTTTCTTATTTACTCCAACATCAGTTTGATAATAATTCAGTTGATAACCAATTTTACTACTTTTAATCATGAATTATTCAAATATATGAGAAAAGAAGACCAAATTTTTGTTTCAAATATTTTAGTTGGGCAATCTTTTTGACAGTTTTTAACTAAAACTATTAATTTTAAAGGGCAGTAAATTTGCATTTTAATATTTTTATAAGTCTTATTATTGTAAATGGTACTAAATATTTAAGTATAGTAAATGGTACTAAGAGTATTACTACATTCGTTCAGCAGCACTTTCACATTCGTTCTTAATCTTTTTCACATATGTATGTGTGTGTATATATGTTTATCACTTTTTAAAATCATGATTTGCGATCTTTATTAGTTAAATTAATATACTAAATTATTTTCTACATAATTTTTTCATAAAATTGTGAACTATATTTTGTGCAACAATTATTTGAGAAATCTAAAACACCAATTCAATTTCATTCTAGGTATCTGCTTTTTATTTAAAAAAAAAAGATAAATAGTTAATTAAAGGAATTTAATATTTTATTAAAAATAATTCATGTGATATTGAAGTTACTTTGATAGCTCCTATCTAAAAGCTTCATTAAATAATACTCTCATATTTCGATATTTGGGTTGATTTAACTTGGTAAAAAAGAACTATTTTCAGCATATATTTTTTATATATTCTTCATTATATCAAGTAAGGATGAAGGCTAAACCTGCCTTTAAATTCTCTGCTTTGCATTTCAATGACTCCAATGTCACCTGCTCACTTTAAATGTTACGTCGACTCCTTCTCTTCTCTGATTTGAAGTGAATAGATTTTGTTTCATGAAGCAGAAGGATCTACATCTAGGCTGCTCAATGTTCACCAGTTAATATTGGTTACAGTACTTTAACCAATCAAATCAGCCTTTTACCTTTCAATGGAAAATGAACTTGAAGTGTTCCCTTCTTCCAAAGAAACACCTTACATCAAGTTTGCATGTAGTAAGAATTTCCAGGCATACTCTGCTGGTAACACTGTATTTGTTAGCCTTATCTAGTGTTATAAATTGATTTTGAGTTTCGGCACTAACTATGTTGTTATAACAACATTGATGCTTGCTTCAGAAGCTACGTTATATTTTTATTTCATTTTGTTTAAAAAAACAAAAACAAAGAACCTTTATTACAACTTTAGCCCACCTCTTTATGAGCAATGATAAACATAATGCCCAATTATATTAGCTATCATTACTAACACCTTAAATAAGTTGAAATTCTGTACGAAAACTTTATGCAGCAAACTGATCGTCATTTCATTAAATTTCTCTTTCGCAGTCCCTTCACTTTTTAACGAAGATCTAACACACATCTGAAGAGCTGACAAAATTGAAAAGAAAAGAAATTCAACAATATAAAAGAAGCTTAAGTTTTTTTAAGCCGATTGAACGAATTTGAACTCATTGTTTAATAAACTTAACTCTTGGGGATTTTTTTAATGAAATGTAAATATTTTTTTAGAAGTCCTTTGACTACAATTACAAGTTTCAAACACTAGTGAATTAACAAGTGAAGCATGTGGCATAAAAAGTTTAGGTACTAACTATCCAGCTCTCCATTGTATTTTTCCTTTGCAAAATGTGGACAGAAATTAATGTAGAAGGTATACTTTCACCTATAAATAATTCAAAGTGTAAGTTGTAAGCAATGTAACTTGGTTTTTGCTTTGCAGGTTGTCCTGAAATTCATGCAAGAAATAATTTTGATGGAAATCACAAGATTTAAATTAAAAAGTGTAAATTTTTTATTGATTCATATAGGGTTATATGTGCGTAATCGCAAATCATGTAAGTGGCCTCCACGGCTTTGTCGAAATTTTTCATGAACATTTTGCATAAATGTGGCTGAATTTTGTTGACACAGCACTCTGTTTCCTATTCAAGGTATGGGTAATGATTAGCTGGTTGGCGTAAATATTTAAAATAAAAATCAAAGGTCTTATGGGGTTTAATCACTTGATCTGGACTACCATTTCCGGTTGCTGAAACGAAAAATTAGGACAGGGGAATAATTCAACAATGGAAACGTGTTCTTTGGTGTGGTGACTTTTCATACTTAATTCTGAACTATTAGCTGTCCCCTCCCCCTTTATTTTCTTTTTGTTGCTCACATTTTATTGCACAAATAGTCCAAATTTATTGTGAATTTTAGGACACCCTTCATGGTTCTTTCGATATATTTTAAGCCACACTATTGAACGATGAAGTGTAAGATAACGAATTGTAGTTTTTGTGGCTTGATAATTCTCTAGATAAATACACTGACTTTTTATTGTACATTTCATTGAGTGTTCTATATTCAAATATTTTATTACCGTTTTTAATGTTGTATATACAATGAATGCAAAATCCATGAAACAAGTTTGATTGCACAACACCAATTTAAAAAGATTGTCAATTCCAGAAATTTGGAGGCAGCATGAGTGTAGCTCTCGGACCAAGTAGCACTTCTTCCCATCGAATATCTTCCACTGGTACTGGTTCCCGGTTCATAGAAAAGAAGTAGCGTCCTACTGGCCATAGGCAATAATGCAGGAACCTATTGACACAGATATAGGTAGTGGCTGGCACACAGATTTTATGAAGGCATATCATTTAAAAATAAAGCATATTGATACAAAATTGGCACTGCGTCTATTTTTATGCACACTTATTGATTGGTTGATTTGAATCGATTTATTTGTACATTATTTGCAAAAGTGGAAATACAATAATGATAATTTACAATGACAGTAATGGTTAATGAAGATGCTTTACTAATTTTTTGCGAAAATTAAAATAGTGATCTACATTTACTATTCATTCAGAATTTTTTTTTAACCCTATTGAAATTTTAATAAATTGTAGCTTTAAGAAAAATTCTTAATAACTTTTGTTATGAAATGAATTATTAGAGAATTGATTTTTCCCATTGGTCAATTGACAGCTTTTTAGTACTTTTGTTTTTAAAAAAGTTGCTCTTAAAAATATTTTACTGTGTACTATATCTGGTTTTTTGTGCTTTTACCTATTAGTTCACTGGCAATCTTGCTGATAATCTATCTAATAACATTCCTTTCCCCATATTTTATAGTGGAAAGTGTTCATCATGTTTTATCACCGCTTAAAGTTTGCACAGTCATTATCAATGCTAATCCAAATGAATTTTAAATGGAAAAAAGCTAAAGAATTTTGATAAAAAATAGTCTTTTGTAAGTGGGAAGAGCAGAAGCTAATTTTAAGAAAGGTTTTTTAAGTTTACATGCTGATCTATCTAGCTTCAATTCTGCACCGTCTAAAATCAAAAAGAGGCTTGCTCTAGAGACATATGGCTTGACATAAACATTCATACATTATTCTAGTCATGGAGATATTGAGCCATATTAATGTATTTGTGTTATTTAAATATCCCCTTTACCTTCCTTTTAATACCCTCTGTAGTCTGTACCCTCCTTTTTTAGGGGTAAGCTATGATTATCACTCATACCTTGTTAATTATTTTAATAGCTTTTTTTCTGTTTAAATCAAATTTTCATGCTATTTTTACCTTTCTGTATTGATTGAAATATTGTTGACAATATAAATTTATAGATGTTACTTTTAAGGAATTTATTGAGTTTCATAAAAGCATAGTAAAATAACAATGGTTTGCTTAATTTCTTTCCCTTTTCATTAATTCTTAAAAATCTATTACATTTATTGTTTGACTACCATCAACTAAGATTTTATTGCAAGTGAATGAATAGCAAATCGTAAATAAGTGTGCATAATAAAAAATGGCATGACAAGGGATGGGGTTCTATTAACTATATCTACCATAGCTACCAACTACTTGGCATGAAGGGGTTTAAAAATTTTTCTAGATTTTCCAATGGTAAATGTAACTTGCCATTTTTTGTTGTCTTTCAATTTTGTCGCTGGTAGCTTGAAAATATTTCTTTCTTTTCCTTGCCTTATCTCAAATGTTATTGGTTCGTCATCGTCGGGATCTATCACTGTCTCTAAAGGAATAGGTTTCACCTTCCTTCCCACCTGCTCTTCATATCTTGAAACTACTTCTCGAATTTCTTGAACTGTGAAAGCATGCCTCATTTTTGAACTGATGTTTTCCGCTGACATCTCAACCACCACGGTGTCGTCTGGATGGACCTCGGGCCCCAAACGTTCACTGATAGCTGCTAACAAGGCTGCTGGCACTCTTCTGGGAAAAGGATTTGATAGGCTCGGCAGACTAGTGGAAGTTCGAACACTGCCCAGTTTTCCTGGGCATGTTGCGAACACTGAATTCTTTCTTGGGTTATCTTCTAATCTATCCCAGCTTTTTGACCGATTGATTGAACCCTTGAGCTTTCCAACGTTTGGTTCAGACTTTTGAATTATCTCTGGTAATTGTGGAATGCTGTCTGAACGATGTAATGAATAATCTGGAAAAGGAAATAAGTTTGAAATTTGTTGCAAAATTATAATTATTTTTCAAAAATCGTCTATTTTGTTACGATTAACATATTAACAAAAGGTTCTTAAGCTATAATGATTGTATATTTTAAGAGCAAAATGTTCTGTATTTTTATGGAAAGAATTGACTTTTAAGAAAAAAACTTGATGAATGAGAAGTAATTACGGGGATTAGGGAGAAGAGGGTGGAGCCTCCTAAGGAATTAAATAAAGTCATAATGATGTTATTTAAAAAGGAATAATCTCCTACTCCTTCATAGTATGTTAAATGTGGTAGACATCGTGTTTTAGTTTTACTAAAAAAAAATTCTTAAAATTTGTAATCGCAAACAAAATATTTAGATACAATAAAAAGCGTTAGAGCTGGGTTATAAAAATAATTTTAATTACATTATTAAATTTTAGTTAGTTATATCAAATTTTTAAAAAAAACATTGCATTCCAACCAATTTAAACATGTCTAAAATCCATGCCTAGGATCCATCCTTTTTCATAAAGTTAGCTTTAAAAGCCATATACTGTGCCTTCTTATGAAAAAAATTTGCATGAATAGCAAATCTACATACAGAATATCCATGCAAAGGCAAAAAAGGAAAGCAAATATTAAAAAAAAATTACTTATTTTTTTTATTTGTATGACAAACAATGAAATCAAAGTTGCTTTTTAAAAATTGAAGAGAATGGCTGTTTTTTAAAGTGTGGAAATAAAATAGTGAAACAGATGTAAACAGAAAACCAAGCTCCATTTAAATCGATAGTCACCGGTTTTATTTTATAGACCTTGAGAAGTAAAATTCTGGCTTAAGAAGTTGTGAAATTAAGAAATAAATAATAAAATTATGTTTTTAAAGTAACAAATGACTGTTAATTTGAAATATATTATAATACGCATGCTATATATTTGCATTGCTTTATAAAATAAATACAGTGTAAATGATTAAAGGTTTTGAAATGATATGCGATAGAATTAAAAATTTTCAAAAATTAATGTATCTGCTTCAAAGTTGTAAGCAATTGTTCTCTTACCAGAATCGTAATTCCGTCCATTATGTGAACATCTTTTCTTTCTACATAAGCATATAGCACGATTCCATAGTCCATGATTAGAATCAGTATCTTTTTTAGTTGTTGGAGCCATGTATATCCGTTCAGGTAAGTCTTTATGACTCTAGAACATATTTTTAAAACAAAAATAATTTAATAACATAATTAAACACGAAATTTAAAAAATGGACAATGTTTTGCTAAGAAAGAGAAATTTGCTATAGAGAATTTTACACAAAATTTAGAGCGAACTTAGCAAAAATATTTAAATAAGTTTTAAGCAGAACTTAGTTATATTTCAAGGACTGTAGCATCTTTTGGTTTTAATGGGAACACTCTTGCTGATGTTTAAAAGATAAAAGTGTTTTTTATAAACACAATTTGATAACTTACACTTTTAAGAATATCACGTAATAAAAGTATAAACTTAAAATTAAAATATTAACATAAAAAATTTAAAAAAACTGCTTTTTTTAAGTGTACCAAAAAGAAAAATAATTCTATTTTTGCAGATATTTAAAATGGCGCATCATTTTCGAAAAAAAGGGGGGTATTATCAGTGGTAGTGATAGAAGCTTATTATGGAAGCTCTTCGACATACGTTTCTTATTTTAGGTATTCCAAAAATGAAATTATTTCCTCATTTTTGTCCAGCTTGAAAAGCACAATTTTTAAAATTTTTATTTTCTTTTATTATTTCCTCATTTTTAAATTTCAGTTAATTTGCTTGGGTCAGAAAATCGCTGAAACATCGATTGGCGAAATTTCAACGGAGATTTAATTTGCCTGTAACATTTAGGAAACAATAGCAACTTGTATTGTCGTCTACCACAGAACTCCAGTTAAAATTTGAGTGCTCGTTATAGTCGGAAAGTGGTCGTAATTTTAATTGATCTCAAATTCCATATGGAAGTAATTTATCTGTAACTTCTGCTTAAAACCACTCAGTAAACGATAAAAAACTTAGTAAATACTTAAGTACTCTAGCTAATCAAAAAATAGATGAAATTAATTGCTAGACCGCACCCTCACACACACGAAAACAAGTAAATAAAAAAAATGATACAGTCCTTTTTTTATTGACGTGAGTCTGGATGAAATGAGCTTTCATGAACTTTAAATGATGTTTTCTCATAACATTTTGATGTTCTAAAAGCAACTGAGTGTATGGTTGTTCATCACTTAATTTCGTAATTTTTTTTCATTATGTTTATTGTTAATAAGTAAATAGTTTAGCAAAATATAAATAAAAAGTATTAAAAAAGAAAAAAATATCTGCATTTTTTGATTTATGCGATAAAAGAAATAATTTCAAATTTAATATAAATAAACTAACTACATGGCATTTTAATGTTTCTAAAAACATTAAGTTAAATACCATTTTTTATCAAATAAATAAGATTATAAGAATTTGCGATGATGTTTATTTATCGAAAAAACAAATAGACCAACTCTTCCAAAATTTGATAAAAAAAAAACAACAAATAGATGTTTAACTATAATTAAATTCCATCTAAAATCATTGAGTTAAATGTATATTATAATCTAATATGTATAATTCTCGTACGTGACTCCCAAATTTTGGCTGTATTTCTTTTCCGCCGGTGGTTTTAATAAATTTATTAAAAATTTCTTTGTTAACTAGATTGTTGTTTTTTTCCATTTACAAATCCAATTTGGGAAAGTTTGTGGCTAACTATTTAATAAAGATTCTTCTATTATCTACTATTTAATAAAGATTTTTGTTTTAAATAAAATAAAAAATTTTTTATTTTTTTTCTTCTTAAATGTTAATTTTGGTTGACACACGAACTATTTTGAATTAACCGTTAAAAAATCGACCTTAAAAATTATAATATGCAAGGTCAAAAACCTAATGGCAATCAGGTTAAAGGTTTATTACATGTTTTTTTAGCATTCAGACAAATAACTTATAAGCTGCACGTTAAGTTCCTATGATCCTTGATTTTGTCTCACTGTACGCAGACGACCTATTAGATTTCTTTTTCACTGTTTTGAAAATTTTTATTGACAACGTGCTGAAATATTTCCTGAACAAAAATCTATTCTACAATTATGAAAAAGATTTTAGTTTTTAAATGTAAAACAAGAGCCTTGATGGCTCAATGGTTAAGGCACTGAACTGTCATTGTGAAGAACTGAGTTTCGATCAATAATGGCGACTCGAAGCCCATGAAGCTTCATATCAATGAATCTTAGCTATATTGGGAAGTGAAGGTGGACTGTGAGCAATGCTGACCACATTACCACAATCATGCCGTTGGTCACGAGCTGTTGTGATAAAAGCTTTAACTTTTTTTAAAATATGAAACGACATAAATTTATTTAAATTAGGTAAATTCTTGTTATTTAAATAATTTGAAAAATGTAAGGTTGCTTTAAGTATGCTCTGAAAATCTGACTCTTTTTTCAAAATTGTAGCAGTGCAATGTTTATCGTATTCAATTAGATTCAGATTCTGAAATCAAAATTTACTTATAAATAAATTTAGATATAATCAAAATTCTTAGTTGATAAAAAAAAAACTATTTTCATCAATGGATAAAGATTTTAAGATTAGCAGGTAAGTGAAAATTAATTAGGTTAACTATTTCATTTTTTTTTTAAATTGGGTACTACTGATTTCTCCTCTGATTCTGAAGTCACTGTGTTTTCTCCTCACTATCTGTCACAGAAAAATTAAGTGTGACAATTTTAATCAAATTGTAAAGCTAAATATTTATCTAATTAACTTGAGATTGATAAAAAAAAGAGTATTTTTGTGTTTGCGTTTCTGAAAATTTGTAACTCATACTTTTTTTTTAAATTTTATTCACTGTGATTTATTTATTTATTTTTTGGCAAATCGTAGTTCACTGACTAATATATCACTAACACATAATCCACTTCTATCGTACTTTCTATGAAAAATAATGTTTTTTAAGTACATTGGCAACTTTATTTCGACAAAAATATCAATTATCTCGATATCCTAGAAAACCTCACACGTATTAATCCGCTGCATGCTTGGTTCAATTTGATTTATTCTAACAACTAAAATAACTGCCAATGCTCTTCTAAAATTCTTGGTATCTCCTTAAAACTCATCAGAAGGTAACGTGATAATTTTGCAAAATTTTATATTATTTTCATGCAGAGTAAATACAAATAACACAACATGTTTAATTTTTAATACTTGAAATGGAAATTTTTTTTCCACAAGTATTTCAGTGCGAATAGGATTCGTAAATAGCATTTCATTTATTACATAAAATATATGCTGACTCTTATGCAGACGTAACTATTTTTCTTAAAATATACTTTAGTTTTTAAACTTCGTGAACTTCTTACATCGTTGTTACAGGATACATTTTTTTTTTCCTTATAGTCCGTGTAATGTTTGTTTATGCTGCAGCGTTTCAAAAAACATTTGCAGCGAATTCTCATGTCGGCCAGAGACAGAAGTAGATAAACAACGTTACAGAATTCCCGTGGCTAAATTACATTTCCACCATTTCAAAAATACAGATACAAATTGTCCGAATGGCGCAACCTCCAAATGTGTTTGTCCTGACAGTGCGCCAAGGTACTCTGGTAAGGCAAAATGTTTTCCTAACTCTTTGTGTAATAGTGAAAACAAATTGCATTCATTGATTTTTTTATAGTGTTTAATTTTTGATACATATGAGGTATGAAAAAATATTTCTCGAAAATTAATGTTTTAATTTTCACCAAATACTTGTTTATATATAACCAATAAAAAGTTTTGGTGTATAGTTGACACCACTTTTGGTGTTAAGGTAAACTAAAAACAGAAATGTAGTTATCCTGTCTTTAGAACAGAAACGCAGTTATCCTGCAAAAAAAATTATATAAAAATGACAACATAACATTTGTTTGAAAGTATATTTTATTTTATAACCGTCGTTGAACAGCAGACCAAATCTTTGGATTTACGACTACTAATGTTCAACTCCGTAGCCTTGTAATTTTGAACCCAATCCAGAAGACAAGGGAACTCTTGGATCAAGTAGAACCAATCCGCATTTGCGTTACATGGATATGAAAATCCACGGTTAGCCTGACGACAAGGGAATGCGGTCCCAATTATTCGGTTTACTGACCAGTCACAGTTGGTTTTTTTTTAAATTTTCGTAAGGGCCAGAAGAGGGCTATGCAGGTCAGCCACTGTATGCTTACGTAGGGTGTGGCGGCTGCCCATTGGTTCCTCCTGTTGGCGGGACTGGGGTAAGCAAATAAATAAATATACTTCTAGTGATTTGAAAGAAGAAGTAGTCATTATTGCCCCACTTTCATCTGGATATGAAGTTTATTTCTAACTACTAGCTGATGTTTGGTGTACGTCAGTTTTATTTATTCTGACCTTAGAATTACATGTTACTGTAAGGAACAACATAGTGGTGATGCTAGCTGATGTTCGGTGTACGACTATTTTATTTATTCTGACCATAAAATGACATGTCACTCTATTGAGCAAGCTAGCTTATGTTGAGCGTTCGACAATTTGAATTATTCTGACCTTAAAAGGGTTTGTTATTCTATGGAACAAGCATAGTGGTGATGCAAGCTGATGTTCGGTGTACGCCAGTTTGATTCATTCTGACTGACCTAAAAAAAACTGCTATTCTATAGAACAAGCATAGTGATGAGCCCAAACATAGGATATTTTTAATCTACAATAGTAGACTAAATGGGGTAGTGATGAATATACATTACTCCAAAACTTTGTGTTTTTGACAAGTTATAATGATATCAAGCAATTGCAGCCTCCTACGTTAATTTTGATAACTATCTTCATTTTTTTATTTATCCTCATATACTAAAAATTTTAAAATTCATGAGTATCACTCAGTGATTAGTGTTTGATATCAATTTATCAGTTCATGATATCATCCCAGAGATTCATATTGAATATTGCTCCACCTCTCCACTTAGGATATCTTTGTGAAAAGAATGACCGAATGATTCGAAAACAGTTCCGCTGTCCTGTGCGAGCTTATCCTCTCAGTTGCAGTGAATCAGGATCACCTTGCATGAAATGTTGTAACTGTCCCCCATGCAGACCCATAAAAAGGGAAGTGAAAAAACCTCGCAAATATGGGGATTACGGTACAGAGGTAAAGTTTTTTTTTTCTAAAAATTTACGTTCAATTTCAAAAACAGTATTTTTTAAATATTCAAAATATTAATATACCAACAAATAACGAATATTATTAACTCTATGAAGCAGATGGGACACCGGTGCCCCCTTTTATATATATTTTTCTGATGATCTAATTAGAAGCAAAAATATATTTTGGTATTTTTTAATTATTAAAAATAGTCTAGTTACTAAATAATAATATTTTTTTAACAGTTTCTTAAAATAATCTGTTAAATTATAGGAATTATATTTGTACTTAAATATAAAATTCATAAAAAGTAGTTGGAGTTTTTTTTTCTCATTTATATTCAAAAATTTATCAATGATTGATTTTCTAAATTAACGAAATTTCAATGATGAATGACTGTTTCTCTTACATCTAAATAACTGCAAATGCGAGGATGTAATATCATTTTCATAGAAAATGAACGATTTTTGTTTCATTATTAATTTCCCTATTAGTAAAATTCCAACATTAAAATACTGGAAAAATGAAAAAAAATGGGGTGTGTGAAAATATGATTTGGAGAGTACGTAATAATTATGATTTCAGGGGAGAGAGGGAATGTGAATAAAGTTCCGCCATCGGGAATGTGAACAATTTTTTCTCATAGGATCTACGTGAGTTATTTTTCAGCATTCAATCCCCTGAAAAAAAACATGCGTTAAAAGTTTATTTAAAAATTACCTAAAATATTAGTTTTATGCGGGAAAGAGGGGTGACATCTTCTCGTGAAGTGCTTATTTTTTATTTTCTATTGCTAGACCTCATATGAGTATTTTTAAAATGTTTCACAGCTTTATAAAAATTTCCCATTATTTATCATTTTTTGATTTAATTTGAATGTACTATAATGCTTGTATGATTTTTGTTATAGGCATTTTGCCCCATTTATCTTTGTTTTACGTTTTCTTACCTCCCCCAGAAACTAGTTAGTGCCATAAAATTTTCTCATCAGTTTTTGCGTTCTTTCATCTTTTTATAAAATATAGAAAACGTGGTTTGTTATAATTTCACACTACGGCTTTCAGTTAATTCAATATCTTAAAGGTAAAATATGTACATGTTTTTCCTCTTCTATAGGGTTACTTATGCACTCAAGTGTGTGGTGAATATATGGGTAAAAAGAAAAGTAAAGTTCTTGACAGTTCCAAACCTTATTACTCATCTTGTTTTCGAGGAAGTTCACGCGATAATGGAAAAAAATTAGAAAGAGAGATCGAATCTTCTTGTTGTGAATTTGATGGGGATGATGAATTCAGAAAAGGAGGTGTGATTCCGAGTTACATGGGACATGTTCCTGGTGAGTGATTCAGAACTATGACCAAACACTTTGTTCCTACTCCCCCCCCCCCCCCCNCTCCCCCCCCCCCGATGTTTTCCTACAAGGATTAAATACTCATTACCCTTAGTCATTCAACGAAATAAATATACATATGGTTTTTATATGGTAACAACGAAAAAATATACAGTTGAAAATATGGTATTGAACAGAATTGCAGTGAAACAAATTTTGAATCGAGGCGTCGCTAGCAGCATTTTCTACAAACGTTTTTTCCTTCTTCTATAAAATTTTGCTTTAAGTGAAAACCGGTTAATCTATTTGAAAAAAAAAAACTATTTAATTTGCTTACGTGAAACATATATAAACTAATGATAAAAATAAAAACCTTAAACGTTGAATTGAGAGTGAGGAAGAATCGCATAAAATTTTTTTCAATTATTGCTCTTACTTTCATTATTCAGTGAAAGCAAAATCTAACAGCCCAGTGCCAGAAAATTGCTTACATCTAGCTGTTAAAACAAAAAGGCTACCGACGTTAGCCGTCATCTCCCCACATACTGAAATAAAGGCTGACCTAGAATCGAAAAAACAGAGAAGCCATAATCTGGGCAGCACTTTCTAACTTTCGATTCCTGTAATTGCTGACAAGCTTTCGAATGTTATATTTTATTCTTGTGAATTAAATGTAATCGGGTGTAGTGGGACCGTAACAGCCGGCGTTCCTGTATATTTTAGTGTTTCAAAACGGATTCCGCAACTTTCCTGAACTTATTTCAAGTTTACACTTTTTTATAATCTGCTTGTAATACTAACATGAAATTAGCCATCTATGTAACCCTACATTTCTGTTTTTAAATTGCGATTATAATGTTTTATTCCTTTATAGATCTTCTATAATAGCGGTAAATTAGAGGTAAACAGTAACTCAGAATTTTTTTTAAAGGGTTTAAAGTTCGATGCTAAAGTTTTACTAATAAAATAATTCATAAATTTGTAAGCACCTAGATATTGAGAAGTGATTTTTAAAAATAATATATAAATAAAAATTAGGAAATATTCAAAAAAATATTTAATAATGTTTTCGGTAAATAGAAAAATTATGGAGGTTACAATAATGTAAAAATAAGGAAGCTTGAGCAAAAAAAAGAAAGAAAAATACTTTGATTACTACAGATGATTTGATAATTGTCGATGAAAAATTGTCTTTGATAATTTTAGATTCCACCTTCCTGGACAATGCAGGGACATACTTTCTGGTAAAAAAAAATAATAATAAAAAATAAATAGTATCGCAGAGAATTTAATTTAAAAAATCCACTAGGGTCAAATAAAGAACTAGTTGATGCTTTGATGACGAAGTCAAGCTGAGTATCGTCATCCTCCATCTAGTACCCACAAATGGATAAGCGCTCGTTTGTTTGTCATGTGCCTTAGACATTAACTCTAGGCATTAACGCAACACATAGCAATTTTTTTCAAATTGTTTTTTTTCTTTAATAAATATGCTAACAATATCTAATATAGTTTAAAGTTTGAGCTTTTTATTACAAAAGACTGCTCTGTAAATTATCATTTATTAAATATCATTTCATAGTAAATAACATTCAATTTTAATCATTTATTTAATATTTTCAGGGCTGCACTTTACTTTTGGCTCATGTTATGGCTTAACAGCAAATAGATTATTAGCTCGTCACTTTAATGAAATGGAATCAAGAGACTGTTGATTTTAATTAACATAACAATTGTTTCCTTATTTCGTTTGCAATAAAGAACTTCTTAGTTTAAATTCTTTTTCATTCAAAAACTCACTTTCATAAATAAAATAGTTATAAGAAATCAACATTTAAATTTTAATGAAAAAATTCTTGGTATTTGCAATTGAAGTTACAAATTTCCAAGAAATTAGTTTTTATGTTTATCCATAACGATATGTTTATCCATAAGGTTTATCTATGTTTATTCACGTGTAATGTTTTTCTATAAGAATATGTTTATCCATTATGTTAGTCATGTTTCCTAATGCATAAAAATACCGAAAGAGATTTTAACTTTTTTTTTGAAAAAAAAATGAAACAATTAATAATTGACTTGTTGCTTAGAACTGAATAAGTTGACATATTTCACAAAAATGAAAGTTATGCATCGGACTAAAAATTTTAATAAAACTTTTTGAAGTTTTATTCCTTGATGAAATTTGGTTGAAATTTCTTCTTACCAGATATTTGGGAAAATATCATAAAAATTCTAAAAAGGGGTGAAAATATCTATAGATTAATAAAATGGGAAATTAATGAAACATAAATTCAGTGTTGTTTTAGGATAGTTTTAAACACGATAAAAATATTTTTTTTCTAGCGGAACACATTTTAAAAAACTAGTTTTTTTCTAAATGAAGATACCTATACAATATATCTAATGCCATTAAAACAGTACTCACTTTCAGCTTTGGGATTTTTCCTCCCATTGATAATTTTCTTAGCTGCTCTAAAATGAAAAGTTGGAGATGAATATATTAAAGGAGTTTTTAAATTTAAAGATAACAATGTAATCAAATATTTTCAACACGCAACAACAGGCGAAATTAAATGTTTTGAAAACATTTTGTTTATTTGTCCAATTATATAAGCGTAAAAAAAGTCAAGTAGTATTTTCTTAAAAATGAAGAACGTTGTTTAATAATATAGATGCCTTCTAGGCATGTTAAGCTTCATAATAAAATAAAAAGTAACCAAAATGGTTAAGAGAAAACTTCATTGGGATTTTTTTCACTCTTATCCTGTTTTTCAAAATGAGGTTACATTATGAATAAAAAATATATTCAGATACATTGAATAGAAAAAGCAATGGTTATTGAAAAACATTTTTATAATTATTTTTCTCAATATTAATATCTTTTTCTAAGTAAATTACGTAATGAATAAAAACGTATATATTCAGATATATTAAATTTAAAAAAAAGAAATTGAAAAAAAAAACATGACTGTGTTTTTTTTCCTTCAAAATTTGCCTGCTTTTCTGAATGAATTACACAATGAATAGAAATTTATACATTATATGTATATTTAGACAAGCTGAACTTAGAAATAAAATTCTTAATGATAATGGGTATCGCAATGATTTTTCTCAAAATAAACCTGTATTGGCCTAGTAAATTATGTAATAAACAAAAACACATATATTTAAACACATTGAACTTAAAAATATATTACTTTGATCTAAATTTTGAATAGTAAAATAAATTAGTCTAAACTAGAAATTTTAAAGCATTCTGAAAGATTTTAAAAAATGCATATTTTTATTTTTTTCAATTTTTTCCATTCCTCGACTTTTAGAATTTTAAAATGCTCTTATTTTTGGGAACCAGTGGAAGAATTGTTATTTTCTGTTGTGAAAAATGTCGATTACTTCACAGTTAAAAGTTCTCTTTGTATGCATCCATTTAAATACTAAATTTGAAATGACAGCACCCAAACTAACTAAATTTAACTAACCAAGTATCTAAATTCAATCCTACGTTGGACGAAATTGAGTTATAAACATTAATGCGTGGAATTAATAATGCCTGAGCTATTAACATTATTTAAATCAAGAACAGGGATAAACAAAAAAAGAATGCTATAATTCTAACCATAGAGATATCTTTCAAAAGCATAAAACGTCAGAGGTCCTTGAAAATCTGTCATAAACGGTGACTGAACATGGTCTCTGAAACGGTCCAACATTTTTTGAACTACTTCTTTCTCTTCCATTAAAGAACTGGTTATCTGCTTTCTTTTTAATTCTTGAAGTTCATAAAACAGTCGCCGTTCCATCTGATATCTGAAATAATAATAAAATATATCTTACAACTCAAGAGTTCCTTAAATACTCAGTATCATTTACTGTAAATACTGATATAATTATGTTAGTTACAAAGGGACTAAGCCCCTTTTCGCTATTGCTCACAAAACATATAATGATTGCTTCGCAGTAATTGTTTCTTACCATAATACAGTTTTTTTTTTCCAATTTAAGTTTAAATTATTCACTTAAAATATATATACTATAAAGTATTCTGTTTGCTCATGCTTGTGCCCCCACTTTTCCCACTTCCAACATTCATTTCTTTAAACTAAATGCTAAATTTGAATCAAATTTGATTGGTAAACAGAATAAAAAATCTCGTATGATTCGATTTACCTTATGATTCTATTAAGATTTACTAATGAACATAAACAATTTTGCTTAGTAATTAATTTTTTTAAAATTAAAGGCATATTGTTGCAACAAATTTGGTGAGTTCACAAGAATAATTTAACCCCTTGCCTGCCGCAGGCGTATATATACGCTTCTATAAGCCGATGCGTTGACTGCCCCTGGCGTATATATACGCCTTTCAACTACGCATTGCGCAATACACTTTGCCATGCGCTATCAGTAAAACAATTCCACTGCTTTGGAGTGGAATGGAATATAGTGGAAGGAGGGTGGTGAATTTCTAAATTTTCCTCTGCTGACACGGGGTTAATATTTTGGCTTAACAAATAAGTTGATATATTAAATACAATTTGTGTCTGCATCTCATTGTATACGAAGCTGATTGTTGAGTTCTAATTATTACACGAATCTCTTTAACGGTAATTTATAATGGCTACAATGTAATTTGCACAAAAAAACAATAACTGTAAAACGTTTAATGAGTTCAGAGACCAATGTTAATAAGTTAATCTGAAAATGTAGCGCAATAAGGTAATATCATAGAATTGGATAGTGACGATGACCATCAAAACTAATTTTAACAAGTGACGTCATAGTAGGTAAATTGTAGCATTTGTTGATTCAAGAAGCTAATCAGGTTCGACATACAGGCGTGACGTCGCTTACGGGTATCAAATTAAATCTGATTTATTAATAATGGTCAGGTTAATTTGATGGTTAACGATAATCACTTCACTTCTTGAGTTGCAACTACACAATTACGTTCAAAACATCTCCTTTAGCTTAAAACTCTTAATTTAGAAAGCAATCAAAACTAATTTTAAGATATGAATGTAATTCTTCCATCTGTTTATAGTATACTTACATTTACTAAGTATAAATGACAAATTTTCAACCCGATGATTTGTATATATCGGGGGGATCCTGAAATTTATCTACCGAATTTTCACTTTGAATAAGGATTGTAAAAGCATGCAGAACTTGTTGAATATATATCTGTTTAGAACATATTTGTTTGTTTGTTCAAGAACCAGAAATGAATTTATTGAATTTTATATCTGCCATGATTGTCAGTAAAAAATGTATTATTAAATTTATCGGTTTCTGTGTTCATAAAAAATGTCGTACAATGGATGATGATGAAACCGTTAATTAAAATTAAAATAAATCACTTTGAATGCGTCTTTTATTGCAACTAGAAACATATTGGTTCAAATGTAACAAAATAAGTAAATTATTTATTGGTTCTTAAGGAATCCAGTAACAAATTTTTCTGGACAGTGAATTAAGATCATTATAAATGAAATCAACTATTTATTGTATATATGGTTCTTATTTTTAATTAAATAGAATTTTAAAAATTTTCTGAGAATGATTTATTTACCTGAATTTTTGTTTTATAAAATGACATTCTTCTTACTTTTAGGAACAGACATAACTGATTGAGATGCGACATCATTAAAAAGTTAACGTTTAAGAATTTAAATTTATGCATTATTAATCATATTAAAGTTAAAAAAGAAGTATTTCGTATAAAATATGTAAAAATAATATGGATTCCTAAGAGAGACGACAATTTTCATTGTACCTGGACAAACAAAAGTATAAACTAAAAATAATTATGAAATAAAAGTAACTGTATAAAAAACATTCAAGTACAGTAGAAGCTTTATATAAATTACATTGTACTTAAAAATTACATATTCTCATGAAGCATTTTTTTCCTTTTCCATTCCTAGTAAAACCAGAAAAGATCCGTTAATAAAAATAAATTTATAACAGCAAAATAAACCCATATGGTTTGAATGTGTGGTGTATTAAACAGCTGCAATAAGTTTTTTTGTGTATTTTAGCCAATATCTAATAACTCTACTTTCATCGCTAAGGCGTAGCTAACTTGCTTCCAAACCTTACATAATTTTGGTGTGCTTGATATACGTGAAACTTGTCATTTTTATTAAGTGATAGAGATTAAAAAAATCTAATATGGTGATTAATGATAAAATAATAATACATAAAATGTTAGAGTATTATAAAAAAAAGAATTAAAAAAAAAAGAAAAAAAGAATTATTTTATCATATTTTTTTCACTATTACATTTTAAAATTAAACATTGATACCGGATTAAATAACATGTTTAATTTAAAATGTAGTGAAATGCACCTTACTTTTTCAAACTTCTTTGTACTTCTTTCGTTACTGTTGGCCTATTTAAGAGACGAGGATAGCTATCAAATGCTTCTTCTCTCTTCTTTAATTGGGGCAAACTAGATGATCGGGGTTTAGGTACCACAATTTCTTCCTCTTCATCTTCTTCATCAAGACGAAACGTTTCAGCCGCACCACTACTCACTATATAACGAGCAATGTGTTTTTTCTTTGTCCTGCCCGACCTACTCTCTGAGTCAGAATAATGTTCCCTGTCATCATCATCTGATGAGGAAGAAGCCTGATGTCCTCTGTCAACGTCATCGCTAAAACCGGAATCTTTGATTGTTGATTCCAAACTTCGGATGCTGGAGAGGGGGGATTGATTCTCCATGTCAAACCCAGCGGTCATGAGAGAAGAGCGTCGCCTCTCCTGTTCTACCGAGAGCATCTGTGGTGGATTATCTCCATTATGACAGTCGCAGTCACACGTATCTACATCTTCTTCGTGGTTGGAATAGCAATCACATTGCTTGTCCTTCTCATCAACCCTTTCTTCTGGAGACTTTTCTCTTCCTTCTTCTACATCGCCATCTTCTCTCTGATCTTGTGGTTCAACAACATTAGGTTCTGGTTCTGGATCAGTCTGAGACTCTTGAGGCTCCTCTGCCTCAATGACATGAGGCATCGGATAGGAGTCATCGAAAAGCACAGGCTGTGATACTCTGCGAGTAGGAGCCTCTTGCTCAATTGGAGAATCTTGAGACTCTTCCGTCTCTAATACCTGAGGCATTGGATAAGACTCTTCGAAAAGAGTAGGATATGATGGTTTCCTCACGTAAATATCTTGATCAGACACTGGTTCTTTGGGTTCCTCAGTTTCGATTACTTGAGGCATTGGGTAGGATTCTTCAAAGAGCACTGGCTGGGATGCTTTGCGACTGGGGATGTCTCTCTCTAAACTCGTCCGACGTGGTGTTTCTACATCAGTATGATTATTGGAAGCCCCATTTCTAGAAAAGTGATAATTATCATCTGATGGCCTACGATCGCGATTGGAGACCTATAAATCAAAGTTAGAGGAGAGTGTTAAAAATAATGCATACTAAAATCTAAAGGAAGATAAGAAGAAGGAAGAGCAGAAGAAAGTTAGGAAATAGAACAGGGAAATAAAAAGTGGGGGGTTAGAATTTATTTCGAGATAATTCAAATAAAAATGAAATTCCTTAAGGCATAAAATATTTATGTAGCAAATATATATTTGTATTTTATAGTCGAATATTAGAACATTTTGCTAAGTATGAAAAATACTAAGTATAAGCTCAGACCTCAGTATTAAAATTTATTACATTTTTGGTAATGAATTCGCTAGAAAGACATAATAAATACAAAAAAACAGGCACAAAAAGTGTATGAATATGGTGCTATAGATGCTTAAGTATAATTCTAAGTTTAAAAATCTATATGTTTTTGTAATGAATTCACTAGAAGGACTTAATAAATAAAAAAAGGCACGGAACAAAAAGTACTTACTCGAATGAAAACTTTCCTCAGAGTTGCCGAAATAATTTTCTGAGATAAAATAGATTTTAATGGAGATACTTTTCTGAGATAAAATCTATTTTTGATTGAAATTATGTTTCGTAGTTAATAACGTATAAATGTTAGATGTTTTCCTATTGTATTTTTTACAGATACTTTCTAATAATCTACTACTTTTTCCCATGTCTTTTCATTTATTCATTTTTATATAATAAATTTGCTTTTTTTCAATCCAAGTTTTCCTTATGTTTTTTAATTATTTATTTTTCAGGGGGAAAAATAACCCTTCTCTTATGATGGGTTAGTGTCACAGTTACACTTTGTGTAATGTTGCAATTGTTCCTTAATTTAAATCTTTTCCTTTAATTTTTTTAAATCTTTAATTACCTTTAGTTTTATAACAGTTTGAGTTAATTCTATGCGTATGTTTCACGTATATTTTTTTAATTGAGGAATTCTTTTCTTAGTTTCAGCGTAAATATATTGCATATATTTTTGTCTGGCAAAAATTTCACTTGTTTTTTTTTGGAAAAGAATCTTAACTTTCTATTCGCCCTTCTTTAGTCATTTCAAGGGTCATTGCACCTCTGGTCTAATATATTAAGTTTCCTGTAAATACTCTCTTTCCTCGCCTCTTGTGACTAGCCGATTTTTGAAAGAGGATGTCATTGAAAATATTTTATGACTTTATTTTTTTTAAGTCGCCAACTGTCGGCGTTAATTTCTTTCAGTTTTTTTTCTTTTTTGGGAGACAAACTGAGCCAATCTTAATCATCCGCTTTTCAAACTTTCTGCTCCCTGAATTTTAATCGGTTATGGGTTGTCTAGATTTTTCTTAGTCAACGAATTTTTTGAATATTGTAGGATACTTATTCCCTGACTTGTTTTCGATACACCTAAAAGTGTATAGTTTGTCTACGGTAAGAACTCCCGCTGTCACAAAGTCTGAGGTCGTCTGCTGCTATGAAAACAAGAAGAGCTCGTTTTAATGGAGGGTAGCTTCTCTTCACTCTAGGGCTTTCCGAATTGACCGAAGAAAAATATTCCCTTTCTCTCGCCGACACAAGCCAAAATCTGTCCTAAACAATGACCCCACACTCCTATTTAAAATAGTTATACCTCGTTACCATCATAGTCACCGCCACGGGTCCAGATGAATGGCTAAGGGAGTTCTTACTTTAGACAAACTATACCTCCTGTCCTTTTTTTCCAAGATACGGACTTTGGTCTGTATCGAAGGAATTAATTCCTTTTACTACATCCTTTTTCTTTGGCTTTAATATAAATACGAAATCCTCAAATTGTTATTAATTTCAGTAATTTAAATGTCTTTTGTATCGATTTTTTATACCGTTAAATTTTCTTTAAAAATTAAAGATCCTTTCAATTTAAATTTCCCACTTGTATTTACCTTCTTATCACCCATTTTATTTCTAATTAAATTTAGTATGTCTTTGTTAAAACTTTGTCAAAAAGAGCTCTTATTTTATTTATTTATTTATTTATTTTAATTGAAATCAATAATTGTTTTTCTCCATTCAATGACAGAATATTTCATGTCCAAATCCTTTTTACAATATCGTTCCATTTCAATGTATAATAATAATAATATTATAACGGACGATTATTCTGGAACCATTATTTCAATTATTCCATCTTAATATATAGCATATTTAGTCTGCAATAACAACATCCATACTTTTTTTTATCTTTTTATTTGTAACCAGGATGATTAAAAAAATCGTGACCGAAATGAAAAGGCAAAGCAGTCATATGAACGTCACTAGAGAAGCATGCAAATTATGTGTAATATAGAAGGAAAATAAACAAATACAATTTTCTATCACTTGGTTTTGGCTGTATTGCCACCCGTGTTACACATTTTTGACTAATACTATTACAGGAGATGCTCAAAGTTTTGGCTAGTCGGTAGCAGTAGCAGGATACTTCTGGTATGTTTAACAAGGTATTCCATTCTATTTAGCGTGAATGTAATGGGCAATAACCAGAACTATATTAATATTGATTATAAATGATAATATTGAATATTAATATTGATTATAAATGTGTAACATTGAAAATACAGTAAAAACAAAATGATGTGAAATAATTTTTGTTCACGGTCTTAGTATCATTTAGGCTCCGAATAACATTTATAAATTCCTAATCCTTTTGAATCCCTCTGTATAAGCTGAGCAGATTTCACTTTCCCAACGAACATACCATTTCACTACGTTAGAAAAAGTATCATACTTAAACAATTTCGTAAAATTAATTGTACTTTAAGCATAATGTTTTTAAGAAGAGTCGGTAGGGCATATATCAATGATGTTAACATTAAATCAGGGCATTATATCAATAATGTTAACTAACATTTTTCGATGTAGCTTTTCTAAGAAACTTCTTATGATTTCCATTTGAAATTTTTTAGGGATATTGATACATTGAAATTAAAAGTTCTTAGTTCATAATTTTTTTTACAAATTTCTGCCAAAGAAATGAATTAACAGTTAACACAGTGTAAACATGTATATATTCATATTCTGTGGAAAAAAACTGAAGTAATATCTTGTTAAGATACTGAGAAAAGGTACGTCGTAAGAGATCAGTTTTAGCATAATTGGTATATAATATGCCCTACCAACTCTCTTAAGAAAGTAACAATGAAATGGTTACTTTTTCACCAGGACATTCTCTTCTGTAGCCGGTGGATTTTCTTGATACCCTTCGAATCTTCGACCTCTTTGTGTGGAGGTACACTTTCGCAATGATTGGTTTTCCCGATCGCCCCATGACTTGGCACCTTTCACTGGATGATGACATTTTTATTCCTGTTATGCTGTTACTTCTACTGAGGTCTGCCATTGCAGACACTGTTTTAGATTCGACACGAGCTTGAATGTCCACATCTCTTAATTGAGTCTCCGTTTGTGCTGAAGTATCCCTAAGGAGACGACGTTTTGTGCTGGGACTTAATTCCAAAGTTTCTGACAAATGAGTTCCTGTAAATCTATTCGAGAGAGAAAAAAAATTTAAATCGCAAGTTACCCCGTTTTGCACAAGTAGGTTTAAAATTATTGCGACTTGCTTATTATTATTTACTTTACTTATTATTTATGGTACTTTGGATTACGCGCAGTGTCACATAATTGCCTATAAAGCATCGCAAAATTACCTCCATAAACAAAGAGACTCACTAAAAAGTCAGTCGTCGTTACGAAAATATTTTACTACTGGCATGAAGAAATACAATCAAATTTAGAAAATGTTAGCCATTTTAAAATGCTGTTGAGTTAGACGGAGTCGTCAGGATGTGGTAAACTGACTATTTAATTAAATATAATTAGTATCTTTCCACCTGCTAAAACATTTTCAAAATCAACGCACTTCTGTAAGACGTAACAATTATAGGTAACTATTACAGGCTCAAAATAAGAAAACTATTAAAATTGTTACATTTGAGGAATCTGCAAATCAGTGAATTATTAGCTATTATTTCTATAGATTTCTTCAGGATACCAATGCAATGAAAGTTTTTTTTAAAAGTAGAATCGACTGAAATGGCTTTGTTTAAAACATGTGTCAATGTTTTTTTTTGTACATGTTTTGTGGATGACTCAAGGAAAAATAAGTTGAGTGACTCATTGCTTATGACATTATTATGATAAGTGAGACGAAAAAACTTCGCATCAAGAACGAACTTGTCACCATACATAAAGTTTGTGAAATAACAATGTAAGGATATATTCTCTTCAAAATGCATTGCATATTAAAATGCATATTAAAAATGAAACTTTTGAATGAAAAATGAATTAATTAACTTAAAAATGAATTAACTTTTAAAGTATTTGTGAATAATTATGAGTAGAGCACGCTCATCGTTACCTACCGTATTTTTTCAATTTTACAATAACGTATTTTACGTATTTTTTGAATATTTGCATTTTAACGTTCTTTAGTAGTTATTACAAAAAAACGAAAGTTAAATAATTAGAGTAAAATAATTAAAACAAGATACGAAACAAAATAGCTTGTTATGCAAAGAATTGTACAAAATGAGACATTATTAATATTATTAATTAGGCAAATAACTAAATTGTCGTATCATAAAATATTTTTAAATTATATAAAATGAAATACATTAATTAAGAATTCATTTGGATAATTTTTATCTTTACCGAATTCTTATATACATTATTTACCTATTATATTCTCGTTTTTCTAAAAGTTTACTTGCAGGTAAAGCTCCATGAAGATTTAAATATTTGGCACAGCTTCGATTACCACGGTGTAATGCAGCATCAAGAGGTGTCAAATGCTGACCCTAAAAGAAGTTTGTATTTATTATATAGAGATAACTACAGTGAATAGTTTTAAAAGAACTTTTCTGGACACATATATTCGCTTTGATGCATTTATGAAATATGCTTTAAGTTATATCTTCCTGATGGTTTGTTATCATTATTTACTGATGGTTTGTTATCATTATTTTTTACCTATAGCCCCCTGCCTTTAGTGCATACTGTTTGGTGACATTTGTGGGTGTAAGAGAGAAATAATGATGTTGAACGAATATTTCAGATATACACCAAACCGACTATGTGAATTTTGACATTTATCGAAGATTTTAGGAACTTGATGACTTCTTATGGAATTGTTTGAAAGGCAAGAGATTTTGAATCTAGTTGTAATTTTTTTCGGAAGGAGCTTAAATTCAGTAAAGATACATTTGAAAACGGTATTTGCATATGGAGGACTGGTAGAAATATTGTTCGGCTACCGGCAGAGATCGAACCAAGGAGCTCCGTGTCCGTAACCGGATGTTTTAGGAAAGAAGGATTTAGAAAAGGTTTTCCACTTCAGACCAAGGTGACTTGGAAAGCGTTACATGGTACGCATCGCAACTATATAACTTTTTTCTTTGTTATTTAAATTAAATATGAGTAGATCAACAGGAAATAATTTGGAACAGGGGCAAATTATTACGTTCTTAAAAATTTTGGGAAATAAAAATTTATTATTCCAAAAATAGATTTGTTATGTATTTTTAAAGATATATGGGTTCTTACTGTGTGTTGAAAATTTCAAGTTTACTAAATTCGTATACACTTACTTACATATGTACTTAGTTATATTTAACTATAATTATATTATAAATTGATAGTATTACGTTTTTTACTATAGTTGCATCAGCGATCTTCTGCATAATCCCGGGTTTCTATTTTCTTTCCATCTAACAAACTTATTTTAGAAGCATTCCTTAAATAAGACGGGTTTTATTTTAAATTTAAAGAACTTTTCATTTTGCAGTCTGCAAAGTGGAAAGAAATGAAGAAAAAAATTACATAGAACAACAAATTTAAAACTTATATTACTTTTTATACCATCACTGATTTAACATTTGTACAGATATTGTGTTCAAACCGAGAAATAAATTATTCTTGAGATGAAAATGACTTGCTTTGGAATTCCTCATGATGGGATTGACAAAAGCACCGTAGTCCATTAGTACTTTGCACATGTCTACGTTATTTGTAATGGCAGCGATATGCAGTGGCGTTCTCCCATTTGCATTTGAAACGTTAACGGAGCCCTGATGTTGTTGCAGCAGCCATTCCACGAGATCTAAAAGAGTTATGGTTAGTAAGAATAGGTTAAATATGGTAGTAAGAGTAAGTGCATTCTGATTTTATGCAATTATGTCATTTGAAAGAGCTATGGTAAGTTGATAAGAATATCTTAAGTATGATAGAGGAGTACTGTAATAAATGTTAAATGCATTATGACTTTCGAAAGTTCTGAAAAGCAATTGTAGTAAATGCATGAAAAAGATGAACGAAACAGAATTGAATTGTTCACTTATTTTAACAAACCTTTCCGACCAGATTGGACAGCTTCGTGAAGCGGCATATCACCTTTGGTGTTCCTCAACCATAAGTTCGCTTTGTGGTGTGCGAGTATCTTTAGGGTCTCTAACTGTCCTTTGGCAGCTCCACAGTGGGCAGGTCTAAATAAAGTAAAACATCGTGAAGATTTGAAATTCTCTATTATATCTACGAGTTTCTTTAAACAATGCAAAAAATTGAAGTACATCTTTATAAACTTTTCTTACTAATCATTGGTTACTTAATTATCATTATATAAACTAATTCAGATGCTTCTTGAAAAATAATTTCAAACGATATATGCTTCCTTAAAAACGAAATGCTTCATCCCTAGTAGCGAACAATATCAGTTAAGTCTTCATGGGCAAGAGACCAATAGTCATAAATCTTGGTTGAAAAATGACCACAGGGGATGTTATCATTTAATATTTTACCTAGATAGGGCTTATTTAGAATTACTCGATTCACCTGATGTTTTATGTCCATTATTCAGCCCATATCAAAACTATATAAGTTTGAGTTTGACCTATTCAGACTTTATTTTTTGACCAATATTCAGCTTAGGATGGATCTATGCTGTTGTCCTGGGCTAAAGTCCATAGGGGTGAAATATTAATGTAAACTCAGTCTTGGTCCTCCAATGTATGTATGTTCTTGTAGGATCTTTGTTGAAAAAATTTTGAATTTTTCCAATTTTACCCCTATATAATGTAAACATAATTTTTAATATTGAAAAATAAAACAAACCCCATAGTGGAAGCTTAAGTAAATTCTCGAAATCCACAATACAAAAGGAAAAAAAGAAAGTTGTCAGCGCTGTCCCATATCAAACTAATTGTCCCTCTTAAAAAATGTGGAATCCTAACTTGGCAAAAGCCGAATTAAAACTAATTCAAATTGAATTGCTGGTGACCTCTTGTAAAATAACTCTAATATTTACTCACGTCCTATTTTTGTGATCTTGCTTGTTTGCATCTGATCCAAAATTCAGGAGAAGATTTGTGCAGTCAGCATGTCCCAGAGTGACAGCATAAAACAATGCGGAACAACCGCTGTCATCAATCTTATCGACTTCGGCTCCACATAGTGTTATTATTGTTTCTAGGCAATCCACGTGACCTCGACTGGCCGCGCAGTGAAGAGCTAAGCACAAAAAAATACAACTTGGATAGTGTTTTTATCAGATTTAAATTTACAGAACTGTTTTTTAAAAAAAGAGGCTTTTTACGATGAGTTAGTAAACCATAAAATAGAAAAGAAGATTGTTTTAAAATAAGCCTGTAATAAGTTATTACCTGTCAAACCGTCTCTGTCTATGGCATTGACATCGGCTCCAGACTTCACAAGGGCCAGAATGGCATCACTGCTTCCTGAAGGACAGTACGTTTTACTAGCTCTTGTCTCTTTAATCAGACAATAATATAAACTTCAAATTAATCTTGTAAAAAATCACGAGTATAAAACTAAAAAGCACATTTACGCTCACACATACTTACGCTCAAATATCTTAAACTTATTTTACGCAACAAAATCTTTATACATATTAAGTTCGAAAAAGTAGTTTATATAGTGTATTTTTCTAAACATTGATAATATATATAAGTTTGAATATGTTTTAGGGATTAGTGAACTCTTTGTATAATTTTAAGACGAGGTTTTTTCTTTGAAAAAATATTAGAATTCACTAAAAAAATATTGTTAGGTATTATACGAGATTTTCAAAAAAGCCAAAAGATTCTTCACGCTTTTCTAAATAAAGCTTTTCTAAATAAATTTTTGGGCGAAAGCTCTTTTTCATTAATTGAAATAAATAAATATAAACATCAAGTAATAATATATTAATAAGGAGTGTAGTTTAAAAAAAATTATATACCATGAAATGTAAATATAAGATTTAAAAGTAGTAGCTTCAGATAATGTTTATGTATGTGTGCTAAAATTTACAGTTTTGAGAATGTAGAATAATCGAACAGACGGAGAAACGGACTAAAAAAATCATAAAAAATACTTGTAATCTAGTTATAATAAAAATTAAAACTGTTGAATAATCGTTACACTCTTTAACAGAAGATGTGATCCCTTTAAAGAGAACGATTACTCTTCATCTTGTACTAAGTAATAAAGATAAAGGATTTTAAATTTTATTTCTGAAACGCATTTTGAAAAAAATTCATGCAATATAATGTTTAAAAGTTTTTTTCTTCTAAAATTTCGTTCTAAATATATAATCCTGTAAAATCTAAGTTTAATAAAATTAGCTTGAGTTGTGCTATCAAATTACCTTGACAAGTATTCAGCTTATAATTTGTAAAATGTGGTAAAACATATCAAAAAATAAAAGCAGTCATTTTAGTCAATTTTGAAAGTTTTCACGAGTAGTTTTTATTTGCTTTCTGAATACATAAACCAAAGATATATACGTGTTTCTATTTCATCTTTTTAGCATAGACTTAACATTGTAACAATGAAACAAAATGCCCACATTCCTTTCACTCAAGAATTTTATCGTAAATGTTGATAATTTCTTTACTTCCATATTCTGGTAAAATTAGTCATGAATATATATCTAACATTAACAGAAAGTTCTGATACAACATTGAAATATCTTATTTACTAAGAAGAACTTCTTACTGATAGGAAAATTTCAGTAAGGAAAGCACCACAAAAATTACATTATAAAATCATAATGAAGAAATAAATTGTAATATTAAATATGGATTACAAAACCTAATAAATTACACAAATGAAGTATAAAGAATATTTTGAAATTCAGTTAAGTCGATTAGATCATGTAATANTAAATAAATATAAACATCAAGTAATAATATATTAATAAGGAATGTATTTCAAAAAAATTATATACTATGAAATGTAAATATAAGATTTAAAAGTAATAGCTTCAGAGAAAGTTTGTGTATGTGTGCTAAAATTTACAGTTTTGAGAATGTCGAATAATCGAACAGACGGATAAACGGACTTTAAAAAAAGCATAAAAAATATTTGTAATCCAGTTATATATAAAAATTAAAATTGTTGAATAATCGCTACACTCTTTAACAAAAGATGTGATTTTTCGTCGAGAAATTCGATACATGATCCCTTTAAAGAGAACGACTACTCTTCATTTTGTTCTAAGTAATAAATGGAAAAGATTTTAAATTTTATTTCTAAACTGCATTTTGAAAAACATTCATGCAATATAATGCTTAGAAGTTTTTTACTTCTAAAATTTCGTTCTAAATCCTGCAAAATCTAACTTTAATAAAATTAGCTTGAGATTGTGCTATCAAATTACTTTGACAATTATTCAGCTTATAATTTGTGAAATGTGGTAAAACATATCAAAAAATAAAAGCAATCATTTTAGTCAGTTTTGCTAGTTTTCACGAGTAGTTTTTATTTGCTTTTTGAATACATAAACCAAAGATATATATATGTGTTTCTATTTCAACTTTTTAATTTGTTTCTATTTCAACATAGACTTAACATATTATAACAATGAAACAAAATGTCCACATTCCTTTCACTCAAGAATTTTATTGTAAATGTTGATAATTTCTTTACTTCCATATTCTGGTAACATATTTACTTCCATATTCTGGTCATGAATATTTATCTAACATTAACAGAAAGTTCTGATACAGCATGAAATATCTTATTTATTAAGACGAACTTCTTACTGATAGGAAAATTTCAGTAATGAAATCACCACAAAAATTACATTATAAAATCATAATGCAAAAATAAATTAAAATATTAAATAAGGATTACAAAACCTAATAAATTACACAAATGAAGTATAAAGAATATTTTGAAATTCATTTATTCAGTTAAGTCGATTAGATTATGTAATATATGCTTTTATAGATCTCACCTCCACTCGCTGCCCATAAAAGGGGAGGGCGACCATCTCTGTCGACTACAGAAACGTCTACACCACGTGATAGAAGTTTCTGAAGTACAGCTATTCCTACTCGCACATCATTGCCCATCTCACTGTTTGGTCCACACATCTGTGCAGCGTAGTGGACTGGGTAAGCTCCGTGAATATCTGGGGTTGAAGCGTCTGCACCAGCGTTAATCAGCAAATCCAAACACTCCCAGTCACCACTAACTATTCCAAATAAAACGAACGTATAAAATGGAATTGAAAATATGAGTGTATATTATAGTAATATAAGTAACAATGTTACATAATCTTAACTGGGAAAGAAATATAGTTCTATATTCATCCAATTTTCATTATGGTTCAATAAATAATCTTTTATTCTCTAAAATATTTAACTTGTGTGTTTATTATGATCAACAAAATTTCTCAATCTTAATAAAACTACATAAATCCTCCTAAAATCACTTTGTCGAAGAAAGTTAATTAAATTGGGAGAATGACTTTTGGAGAACGGTATTGATACCACCATAATCTATCTATTTCCCTTATCTTCTCACTAAAAACTCTGAAATTTCCTATCTATCGGCAACACTATTCATTTTGTTTGGTTGCCTTAAGTAATAATTTAAGTAGTATTGAACAGCTAGTTATACGTAAAGTATTTATTTAGAATATTATATTTTCGTAAAAAAAGAAACTTAATTACCAAGTAATTAATTATTAAGCTTTATTTTTGATCCTCTCTGAAAATGGCTGCATAAATTTTACAGTACAGCACGTGATGGAACACTGAGATGAGCTTTCTGTCTTATCTCACTACAGAAATAGAAATAATTTTAATGCTTCTGATGTCTACTATGCTGAAATGTCCAGAATTCATACTTACGGTGGTTTGTGTGATTTAATGGCGGCTGGGCAGATTTTAAATTATTTCCAAAATCCGATACATAAAAAATGTGACATTATCACGGACAGAGTTAACATTGAAATCAAAGTACTTCCACTCGGCCACCAGGTAAATGGTTAGAAAGATTAATCAATACATTGTTCATAACTAATTCAGGTGTTACGATTGTAGGAGGGGTTGAAGAATTAAAATATTTAAATACGTTTCGGCAGTATATTCGGCAAGGTTACCATCAAAGCTCGTATGTTGCATGAAATAATTTCGAATGGTGACCAAGCTGGTTGCCAAATGGCGGCTAGTTCATGAAATAAATGTTACAAGAAATTATACTCTTCCTGATCGTTTTTCCATTCATCCCATTTCTATAAGGACTCTCTTTAAATGTATATTGGGGAACTCCTATTTTTCACTTAAAATATCTGCATATGCATTTTTTTAATTGAGACCTCACAAAAATAAAGTTTTTATTTGTTAGCTTAATTAGTTGAAGTAAATAATCGAACAGAAATTGGTTCTGTTTACTGAAGACAAAATACAGTAAGACGTTATATCTTAAAACACAACTAACAATTTGTTTTCAAATCCCTGTGTTGAAAAAAAGTATTTTACAGAATATTCTACTTATGTACTTAAATGTTGTGTTTAGATTGCAAATATTTTAACCGTCAAAGTTAAAAATTTAAATGCTAAAAGTGTCCCAAGATACGATTCTCGCCTTTACACGCTTTATAAGAATATTTTTTTAAAAAAATTATGAAAAGCGCATTAAAAAAGATGTAAAGCACTATTACCTGTTGCCCAATGTACGCAAGAATGTTTTTCGCTATCAACTGCACTTGAATCTGCTCCTCGTGCCAATAAATATTTTACCAAACACTTGTTGCCGCTTATGACAGCCAAGTGCAGTGGAGTATAGCCTTCATCGTCAGCAGAATTCAGCAATGATGGGGCTGATGAGTGGATGAGATTGGCACACTCTGTGCTGTTGTTCTCGGCGCAATAATGAAGAGCATTCTTTCCTGTGCGATCTCGCTGTAGGGCAGCTCCAGGCTGTTGTTAAAGCAAATAATAAAAAAAAAAACAATCGTTATTAAAATAAAAATGTCCTTATAAAAATATGCTTTTATTTGACTTAAAATTTTTATTTAAATAATTATTCAGACAAAATCACTATTTTATTTTAACGTAATTTTTAAATTCCATTTTAAGACACTTCATTTTATTCAAATAAGTATAATGATTGAAGAGAGGCAAGATTTTTTATAACATTGTATATTTGCAGTTTCTGGAAAATAAATGTTCATGATTTTCAATAGGAACTAAAAATACTCTGTTTTTATAAATGTGAATATTTTTTAACACTTTAAATTCAATTTATTAAAATTCAGTGATTTAATTATTTTAGGAAATCATTTATTTTCTTTGGAAACTAAATTAAAAAGACGTCTAAAAGGAATTTTTTAGAATTAAAAGTCGTCTGGTGAACGGATTAGCTTTTTTTTTTCTTCTCTAGCCTTAATCTTTTAGTTTTCAATTTCATACAAAATAAATCGTTTAGTTAGCTCCATTTTTCTTAATAGTATGGAATTTAAAAACCGAATGAAACTTATTGGATAAGTGAAACATAATATATGAGATATGCATAAGTTTAAGAAAATGATAACTTAAGAACAGATCATTTGCGTTTAAATATTATATTAGTTTTTATCGAAATATTTATTATTCATTGATAATTATTTTTATTTAACGGAATCATAAAGTGGCAAATTTATCAATCGAAGTTAATTAATATTTTAAGTACAAAACTGTTTTAAATATTCTTAACTAATATTTATATATTTTTTTAATACAAGACATCTGTTTTTTTTCCCCATCATGATTACTTTACCCTTTTTCATTGTTAAAGAGTTTATTTTAACAAATTAGAACGAAACTGTCACAAAATAATGATTTACCAAAAAATAAATTAAAATAAAATAAAAAATTCTAAAATGACAATACGTACTGACATAACAATCTTTTGGAAAATATTTTTCTTTAAAAAAATGCGTTTTAAATTTTTTTTAACTATTTTCTTTAAGAAAGTCTGTTCTTATGACAATTTACCCCTCTTTGATTACAGGCTTCATTTTTTTATAATGAAAATGTCACAAAATTTTTATTTAACAAAGAAAGACAAAAAAAGTTCTGTAACGAAAATACTCACTGATATAACATTCTTTCAAAAAGCATTTTAATAAATATTTTTCTTTAAAAAATTAAAATGTTTTGAAAAGTTTTGACGATTTTCTTTAAGGATCAATTTCTAGGATCGCTAGGATTTCAATCGCTAGGATCAATTTCTGACCACTTACCCCGTTTTAATTCTAATGTTCCTTTTTTGAGATTTAAAATTAGTGATTAATCACTACACTATCTACCATTAAGTATTTGTACACGTGTGATTGAAAAGAAAAACAAACTTTATTCATAATCAATAGTTGGTAGAGTCTCCACGAGAGACAATTACAGCGTGAACCTTCCGGGGCATACTTTCCACAAGTCTTCGTGTGACGGTATTTTCTTCCACTCGGCTTGGAGAAGACACGTAAGTTCCTTCACTGATTTTGGACTGGTAATACACCCCTTAATTCGGCGATCCATCTCGCCTCAGAGGTTCTCGATAGGGTTCGGGTCTGGGCAGGCCAGTCCATTCGATTAACCCCACTGGCACCATACCAAGCCTTGGTGACCCTCGCAACATGGCAGCTGGCAATGTCGTCCTGGAAGTAACAGGGGTCCACCCAGTAAAACTGCCACGACGTCGGAAGCACATTGTCATCCAAAATAGTGCAGTAGGCATCTTGCATGGGACTAATGCCGATGTTGTTCCCTACACGATATAATATACCGGCGGACGGCGTGACGTATCTCAGGACCGCCATTTGCGTAGGTGTCCAAATATTTATTGGTTAGATAGTGTATAAAGAGATTTCGAAAAATAATAGATTTCAAAAACATTCTTTCTCTTTCGAATGTTTGAGGGGAGATCACCTGTCTGTCTAGGATATTTCTGACGTCTTCCTTATTCTCCTGTTGACATGCGAGCATTAAGGAGGAGTGACTTGGTGATAGAGATCGCTGGATCTTCTTATTACGCCTCAGTTCCATGAACGGAGCGGATCAGCTCCATTCTATCACATCAGGGCATGTATGTTTGTATCCTGAAATATAACGTGCCGTTCATTACAATTATTATGTATATTCATTTTTAATTATTTCAACAATCTCATTTCTACAGGGTGTATCTAATGGCCACTCTTAATATGTATTTTTGAAACTTCTTCTCAAAAATAAAGTTAACAAAGTTGGTAAGTTATGGGTAGCAAATCAATATTTAGGGGAGGAAAAAATACAAAATAAAATTGAAACCTAATGAATCACTACTGAGGAAGGTGGGTTTAAGAGCATAAAAATCTGTTTGGTTGCCCGGGAGTTTCAAGATGATTCTTAGAAACATCTACAAATTTCATGAAACAATCAGACTTGTTTTGCTGTTTTTCAATTTTGCCATCCCCTTTATACTGAATCGATAGATTTCGATAAAGTTTTTATTTCTCGCTTTAAAATTACTTTGAAGCCCCTCTTAAGGATACTTTTTTTTACTTCAGTTTAGACAAGGATTCTAAATACGATAATTACGGAACAATCTGGATACTCTTTCGCTTCTTTATTTTTTTTATATATTTATTTTGTTAAAGTTACGCTACACTAATGGGCTATCAGCGACTGCCTGTCGTTCATCTTTAATGATGATCCGAAGATATTAATGATCATCATATTATCACAAAATGCGCATTACACTACCAATATTTAAATCGGTGGAAGGCATAAAGTGGTATTGATTAGCTGGTCTCCGTACCAAGCTCTACAACCACCCAACCGTTTTTATTGTTTATCTTTTTCTTTATGCTATCTTAAAATGTATTACTTATTATTAAGAAAATAAGTCGATGTTTGAAAACATTTTTTAGACACTTTAGAATAAGATTTAAATTACTCTTATCCTAATACACAAATGGGATACAATGAGCTATTTTCTTTTGGAGTTATTATGCTTTTTAAAAGAAATTGAAATACATTATTTTTAATAGTTTTTAATAATATATTTATCATTGTAAAAAAAGGAAAAAAACTCTGATTTAAATGTATCAAAATGATTTAAAACACAAATACTAACTGTTATGTTAATTTTTCAGCCATATCCTTTTGTGAGATTGAATAAAAAATATGAAATATTAACTTATAATTTTCTAAATATGTCTCAATGCAATAAATAGCTCTGTTGAATAAGCTCCACCAGACTATGCATAAAAATACTAGTTTAAAGATATCTTAACAATCACTGCGGAAATAACAATCCTTATCCCCCCTCCGAAAGCATTTTAAAATCTAAAATTTGTAATCATAAAACAATTTCTATTTCTATCGAAGTTTGCATGACTAAACTGCGTGCCAGACTTATCAGTTTATAGAATACCCGTTGAAAAGAACTCATTTTAAGTAATCAATATATTTAGCATGATAAATATTATCAACAGCATGACATACTTTTGAATCGGAAATCGAATGCATACTAACAACAAGCGTTATAAAATTTATTCATCGCTTATTTCATTTGCATTGGAACTGCTATGCTTTGAAACATGTTTATTGTTATACGTTGATCGTCCTCCTTTTTATAGAAAACATTTTACTGTAAATAAAATCACTAAGAGAAAAAAGCTATTTTTTTCCTTGAAAAATTTAATAGAAAAAGGACTTTCTTTCATAGCGCAAAACTATTAGAGCCATTTAAATCACTTTATTGAAAAATTCTCATCTAACTCACTTTTATCAACGTAAAACTGGAACGAAATATCTATTTTTTAGAGCTTTCGCATTTTCCTTTCATAGCACTTTATTTCCTAAATTATTCCTCAATACATAGTGAAAAATTCAGGAACGCATTGATTTATAAATATTGGACAAAATTACTGCAACCTTTGCGCGATAAAATGTTGAACCATATTATTGTGAGAATTCATTCTTCTTAATCTCAGTACACCATTAGGAACAATTTTAATAGAAATAGGGTACAATTTAACACCTTCTTAAGGTTAAAGCGAATCTGTTACTGTTTAAAACACCGATTTTATGGTTGAACTGATTTTTTTGAGAAAGCAGAGGAAAGTCCAAACTTGAGATATTCTTTTTTTATTTCAAGATTATAACAAAGCCATTATGATGATGTCTTTTATTATATTTTATGTACAATGAGCAAAAAAATATAAATAAATTAATTAAACGAACTTTTGATCTAATAATCGCATTTTGACATAATAAGACTCAATCTTAATGGCTTGAGGGTGGACCTCAAATAAAAATGTTAATTAGTTAACCTCAAATTTTTTTTAATTAATTAGTTCATGATATTTAAAGTAACGAAATCAGACACAAAAAACGTACTTTCTCTGAATAAACAAGCCTTTTTTTCGACAAATTATAACACCTGATCTCCAATCAGGTGTCATAAACAAGTGTAGCCGCAGGTGTAGCCACAATCAGGGGTAGTCGCAATCAGGGAAAGAAGGTCCCTACAGTTTGGTCAAGTTGTGGGTTCAAAGTTTGGCCCCTTAATGTCAGTTTTACTTTTTGCTTATTTTGCCAAATCTCGAGAATTTTTCAAGGGAATTAAAACATATTTGTACACAATGATAAAATTCGTTTATCAAAAGATAATTCAGTGCATAAAATCAGTTTTAACAAATCATTTATTTTTTTTATTTAATAATAGTCGAAAAAGTATTGAATTGCAAAGTATTCAAAGTTTCAAGTCTTTTTAATAAGCGTAAATTTATAAGGTAAAACACAAAATTTGATCGCAATCGGTGGGAGGGATCGAATTTTAAAAATAAAACATTTTTAAAATTTGATTTCTCAGAAACAATTAGACCGATTTGGTTCAAACTTTGTATTTTTCCATATAAAAATTGCACTACGTTGATAGAAAATTAAGAATATCATATAAAAATGTCTAAATCTTAGCAACTAAAACAATAAATTCAGCTTGTTTTAAACAAAATCCTTCATTTTGTAGTGCTTAACCATTTGCATGCAAAAAGCTCCAAAAATGGAACATGGACTTTGAATTGAGTGAGCGATTTTAAGTCCGAATGATATTATTTCTCATACATTTAAAATTTACATTATAAAGTATATTTACACTCACTTAGGTTCCGTTTCCATAACTGTTCGATTTTCTTAGAATTTTAAAAGTTTGATATGATTTGTAAATTTTTATTTACTTGTAATATAATTTACCGAAAATTCAGTTTTTATTTCACGAATACAAAATTTACAGGATTTTAAAGGGATAATATAACCTTATGTTAGGCATAATTCAGATCCTGTTATGCCATTCTATAATAGAAAAATATTGTTTTTAAAGTAATATTGAAGAAGATGAAGGGAAAAATCAAATCCTAGAGTCCAGTGCAAATAAAAAATAGAAAGGCTAATAATTACAAAAATCGAATAAGAAAGTGAAATTTGATGAGGCAACAATATTGAAAAATCCTGAAACAATGTTGCAAAAATATCATGAGTGGATGAATTGTGCTCATCTTGACATATTTTGAAAACTATTCCTGGAGAATATCTCTTGTTCCGACAGAAGATATGTACTGGAACACAACTGAAGCGATCTTGACCATTATCAATAAAAAATGACCCAGTCAGACGTCAATGTTCCCAAAAATGGAACATCGTTAAAAACACACTTAAAATTTGTTTGCTCTATTTCTTATTTTATTGTCTTTAAGTTTGCGAGTGAATTTATCAAATTTCAAGTTATTTGCTTTCCCCTTTCTTAAGTCGGCATTTAAAAGGTTAAAATCATTTAAAAATAATGGTGATACATATTAATATCTTTTTCGTGGCTTATCTGATATACCATTATATTTTTGTTTTTAGGACATTCAATATTCTTATCCAAGATAAACAAAACAAAAAACTGATTTCTGAATACATAATTTGTTCTAGATTCAATTGTTTGAAAAAAAACAAACAGTGAAACGAATATTTTTGTCTTGTGTTTACTCTGATTCCATTTACATAGAAACAACAAACACGAAATGAGTGATTTTAGTTTATTATATGTTGCTAAGTAATGAATAAAAACTTCATCACGAAAATGATTGTACTCATTTTCGTGATTCATTTTCAAAAGCAAATGCAGCATAAACATCTTTAAAAAAATCAATATGGCATTTTTCTTTTAGTTCAGATACTTTTCTTAAAGTAGTAAACAAGAAAAGAAATTAAATCATAAAAGTTTGCTCTAATTTAGTTTTTTTTTTCTTTTTTAGTTTTTTTCCCTTCGTTTCAGTCAAGGTACCGCATTTTTTAAAATACAGATCAAATTATCAAAATTATGAGTACACATATGAAATTATAAAAAAGTTAATTTTTAAAATTCATTTTTTTTACGTATTAAAATAATTTAAGATTATACTTAAATTTACGCTGCCACTTGATACATGTCACTCCCTATATGCTAAAGATATGGAGAATGCTCTGTAACGAGCACTCTTAATGTATATTTTAAGCAACCTTCTACAAAAGAAGTAAAAAGGGTAAGCACATAACTTGTACACATCGAAACAAGTTTAATTGCCTGGGAAAAGTGAAAAGTTTCTAACAATTCCCTTTCGATACTTCTCTGCTTACACTGGAAGTCAAACAAATTATGATGTTTTCAGCCCGCTTTTCTAAGTCGTTATTCGTAAGATTTCGGCATCGTTATAGTTTTTTCCTTCCTTGAATATTAATTTGCCATACATATTATTGCAAAAATTGAGGTATAATATTTTGCGGATTATGCACCCAAAGTACCAATTTTGATACCGTAATTTGATCCGGAATTTCTTACCTTGTTTTTACGTTGTTACGTTTTATTTTTTTCAAAAACAACACAAGAATATTTTCACTAATCTTTTTTTTATTTTCTTTTATTATGGATTTGATGGGTAAATTGCGTTATATTCAATTTAATAGCTTCGATCTGCAAAGTAACATTGTAAGCATAATTATGAAATTCCAACCAGTCATTAATTTTTAAATATTACTTTTTCTGAGACACTTATTGCTCTTTATGATTATTTTATTTCATAACCATCATTGA